GCTTGAGTTCAGGAGTTTGAGACCAGCCTGGGCAATGTAATGAGAATCCATCTCTATAAAAAATTTTTTGAAAATTTCCTGGGCATGGTGATACATATTTGTGGTTCCAACTACTTGGAAGGCTAAGGTGGGAGGATGGCTTAAGCCCAGGAGTTCGAGGCTGTCGTGAGCTGTGATCAGGCCACTGCACTCAGCATGAAAGTTAGAGCAAAACCCTGACTTAAAAAAAAAAAAAAATCTGGCCGGGTGCAGTGGCTCATGACTGTAATCCCAGTACTGTAGGAGACCAAAGCAAGCAGATGGCTTAAGCTCAGGAATTTGAGACCAGCCTCGTCAACATGGTGAAACTGTGTCTCTTCTAAAAATACAAAAATTAGCTGGGTGTGGTGGCACACACCTGTAGTCCCAGCTACCTGGGAGTCTGAGGTGGGAAAATCACTTGAGCCCGGGAGGCAAAGGTTCCAGTGAGCTGAGATCGCACCATTGCACTCCAGCCTGGGTGACAGAACGAGACCGTGTCTCAAAAAAAATAAAATCTGATTTATCAATTATTATTTTTATGATTGAATTACTGTGTCTACTGTTTGTTTTTTGTCGATAGGTGTCTTGACAGATTCAATCTCTTGCCCCTGCCTTGCTTTAATGAATTACAAAAACTCAACCAAAGATAACACTTCTTAGTAAAAACCAGCAAGTTTCTGTGGCTTATGTACATGGCCTATTGAATGGGTGCCTTGGCTGATTGTGAAATAATTGCTGGACTTTCCATATCTCTGGTAAAGGTGAACACTGCAGAACCATTCATGATAGCGCCCAGGCTTGCACCAGTCACAGTGATGAGGAAGATCAGGTCATTTGGACCACATTATTGGAAGAGATAGAGACAGTGACGAGTCCTGAAAATTAGGTTGGAGAGCCCACAGGCCAACAGAAGAGTCTTCGTGTGAGGGAGCCATTCCAGTTTGTAAATTATCCTCCATTGTCATGATTTGTCACTTAAAGTAATTTTTCCTGAAGAATTATAGGTTACTTCTAATAATTTCAGGGAACTCTAGTTAGGTTTTGGATTTTTTTTTTCATTTGTGTATTTTTCTTTTTCTTCTTCTTCTTTTTTTCTTTTTCTGAGACAGAGGCTTGCTCTGTTGCCCATTCTGGAGTGTAGTGGCGCCATCTTGGCTCACTGTAACCTCTGCCTCCCAGGTTCAAGCTATTCTCATGCCTTGGTCTCTCATGTAGCTGGGACTACAGGTGTGTGCTACCACACCTGGCTAGTTTTTGTATTTTTAGTAGAGATGGAGTTTTGTCATGTTGAACAGTTTGGTCTCGAACTCTTGACCTCAAGTGATCTGCCCACCTTGGCCTCCCAAAGTGCTGGTATTATAGGCATGAGCCACCATACTCAGCCTCTAAAATTGATTTTTTAAAAAATCTAGGCCTGCATATGTAAAATTGATTTTATTAATATAATATATATGGTCTCCGCAAACACAGGAAACGGGAAATTTCTTTTTAAACAGTACATTTAACATTTTCATATAGTATATTCAATGTATTTTTCAGCCTCCAGATACCTTTTTTATGTGAAGTATCTCTATTAAAGCAAATGGTCCAGTTAATTCAAAAAAAATGGCAGGAAATATACTGATTTTCTTTACATTTTGGATACTCTAAGGCAGGTGTTCCCAAACTACTGTGGCCCCCTGAGGCCATTTATCCGGCCCCCTGCCGCACTTCAGGAAGGGGCACCTCTTTCATTGGTGGTCATTGAGAGGAGCACAGTATGTGGTGGCCCTCCAATGGTCTGAGGGACAGTGAACTGGCCCCCTGTGTAAAAAGTCTGGGGACGCCTACTCTAAGGTCTGTGTTCTATTGTGCTTCTGTAGAGCTTGACATTGGACCCAATTCTTTAAGTTAGGCACACTTCACCCCTGGCCATATTACGAATGCTACTTAAAAATGTAAGTAACATGGTATTTTTTTAAAAAAACCTCAAAACTGTGTATTCATATAGTTTAAAAAGTCGAATAATATAGTAAAAGGCTCCTCAAAAAATATGGTGGGTTCACTTTCTACTCTGAGATTTCCCAGCTCTAGAAGCAACTACTTTGAAATATTAACAGCTTATTGTGACATTCATTTATATTCATAATTACAAGTTATATAGGTAAACTATTCTTTGAGTTATCAAATTAGGTATTGTCTGTTGACTTTCTGTTATGATCAATAAGGGTTTTAGGGCCCTTTCCCTCTGCTTCTGCTCCCCCATCCTTTCAATACAGTTATAGTATAATTTTTCATTGTATTACTATTTGATATTTACATTATTATGTCCAATTATTTCCAGCTGAGCATACTAGTACTATGACTGTCTTTCTGTTTGTTTCCAGTGTACTTTTTGTTTTTTTCTGAAGTTAATACTTGTCTCATTTTTATGTTTGCTTTATTTTCTTTGTGGCTGTTGCAGCACTGTGTTCATGACTGTTTAACAGCTGCCAAGCTCCTATTAGAATTGTTTGTGATTGTTTATATTTTTTTATTTCTTTTCTTTTCTTTTTTTTTTTTTGAGACGAAGTCTTGCTCTGTCACCAGGCTGGAGTGATGGAGTGCAGTGGTGTGACCTTGGCTCACTGCAACCTCTGCCTTCCAGATTCAAGTGATTCTTCTGCCTCAGCCTCCCAAGTAGCTGGGACTACAGGTGCGTGCCACCATGCCCAGCTAATTTTTGTATTTTTAGTAGAGACGGGGTTTTACCATGTTGGTTAGGATGGTCTCCATCTCTTGAGCTCATAATCTGCCCGTCTCAGCCTCCCAAAGTGCTGGGATTACGGTTGTGAGTCACCACACCTGGCCCGTATTTTTGATTTCAAGTATCAGTGTGAGGTCACTGAAGAAGGAGTTGGGGAAAAGATGCAGATGGTTGGTTGTTCTCAGCTGGCTCTAGCATACCCCTGAGTTGTCACTAACTGTCTCACATCTGCTAATAGCCCACATTGGGATTGTAGAGCAAGGTTTTTTTCTTTTGTTATTTAAAAAAAAATAATTTGCTCTGAAAAAGGACGTATTTGTTCCGATTCTCAAGTTGAATCTCCTTTTTTTGAACTTGTGAAAATTCTAATAGGCCTTGAGACTTTTCTGTGTATACTCATACTTAGAGAAGGAAGTCATTTCAGAGGTGAGGTGGATTCTGTTAGAGGTGTGCAGGGCCCCGTCCAGATTCGGGGGTTTTGGCTAGGGAAGAAAGGCAAAAGTTACACAATCCCCAGTGGTATTTGTTGAAGGAGAGATGAGGCATTGGTGAAAGGCATGGTGGCGGGGGGGGGGGGGGGTCCTATTAGTGAAGCTATGATGATCTTATGCCAGGTGATGATCTTCTTGCTAGGCTCACAGGTTTCTTTTTAAGTCTGGTTCTTTGACCTCATGGTCAGCTGGAGCCCTGCTTCCCCTCCCTAACTGGTGTGACTACCCATGTTTGGCTCTTCAGCAATGCCTGGCACCGTGCATGCCAAGCAAGGTCTAGGGTGGCATATTTTGGCGTGTTGTTGCTGGTAGAACTTTTTCATAGAGTTGGGAGTTGGCTGCCTTCTGGAAGTTGGGACCTTGACTTTGTCTCCAGGTCCTGATCCTCCGGCCCTAGGAGGGATTTGAGTCAGGGCAGAGTTCAGCTTCCTGCAGAAACTGGTGAGTGAGCCACCCTGTAGGCATCTCCAGGTGAACTGGGACACTGCCATGAATCCTCCATGGCAATGCCCAGCTCTGGCTAACACGCCGTTGCCCTAAGTGTAGACTGGAGGAGCAGCACACTACTTTCCCTTGCCCACAGTTGGCACTGCTCTGAGCTTAGCAGCATTTGGAGGTCATTCTAGGGGTCTCATTTACTTTCTAGCCCAAGAGCTTTTCCTTCTCTTGCATTGTTTCCTGGCCAGGATCATGCAACCCACATTCTGAATTTCCAGTTCATTGACGACCTTCCCTTGACTCCCCTCACCGTTCAGAGGTAAAACACACTTTTTTCTTTCTCTTTTAAAAGTTTCCTCCATGCCAGGCGTGGTGGCTCATGCATGTAATCCCAGCAGTTTGGGAGGCCAAGGCAGGCGGATCAGTTGAGGTCAGGAGTTCGGGACCAGCCTGGCCAACACGACGAAACTCCGTCTCTACTAAAAATACAAAAATTAGCCAGGCAAAGTGACAAGCCTATAATTCCAGCTACTGAAGAGGTGGAGGTTGCAGTGAACCAAAATCACATCACTGCAGTCCAGCCTGGGCAACAGAGTGAGACTTTGTCTCAAAAATAAAATAAAATAAAAATAAAAATTGTTATGGCCTGACGATTGAGCCTCCGCCAGCCTAGAATGCCCCCTTCTGATTGCTGGCCACCATGTTGGTTTAATGGAAGGGTCAATGAAATTAATAGTAGTTAAAACATAACAGAGAAAGTTGTGGAAATACTTTGTTTCTTTTAGAAGTAAGGATGGGGAGGGAAATTGAAGAAGAAACTAATTGTTATTGTGTGTAATGGTGTAGACTTGTGTCTTTGCATAAAGTTTCTGGTTTTGAACTGAAGTTTAAGCTTCTGTAGAACAGTCTTTTCTCAAAGCCTGTCTATAGACCTCCTGCAATGGAATTCTGGGCAGGGAGTGGCTGTTAAAAAGGCAGGGTCTATTGAATTGGAATAGGCCTTCCAGAGGGACCTGGGAAAGGGCATTTTATATCAGCGCCCGCTGCCCTTGGTGATTCTGTGCCTGTTCAAGTTTGAGAAGCACTGCTTAGGATCATTTGTTCTTGTTTTGGGTTGCTTTTTCCTGCAAAGTTTTGTTTAGCTGTTTTTCTTTGGTTTTGCTTAAATTGCTCTCTGATACAAAAATTGATAAACTGCCCCCGCCAACCCTTCTAAATTCATTTCTGCCTGTTTTGCTTTAAACTCCAGACTAATAATTATTAAACTTTAGGAATTGCCTTTCATTTTTGGATTTCTAACTCTGAACTTTAAATTTTTCCCACAGAGCTGAGAAAACAGAAGTCCTCAGTGAAGATCTATTACAGGTAATAAAATAGAGTCTATTTTAAATGATCTGTTTAAAGAATGGGGAAAAAAAAGAAAAAACCCTGGGTGAAAATTGAGGCTTGTGGTTTTTGTTTTTTTTTTTTTAAACTAGAAACAATAAAATTAATTAGTGTGGTTTTGAGCAGGAAAGAAAAGTCAAATTTGTTTCATGATGATGAAAAGGGGATCTGAAACCCAGCTTCCCAGGTTTGAATCTCAGGTCTGCCTCTTGTTAGTTTTGTGACCTCAGGGATTTACTGAACTTCCCTGTGCCTCAGTTTCCATTTCTCTAAACTGAGGGAAAGGCCATATCCACCTCATAGGGTTGCTGGGAGGGTTTGATGAGTTAGCAGGAACAGCACATGGTAAGTGCTACATATTAGTGATCTATTGTTGTTATTACCACCACTGCAATCCACAGAGACTGTTTCTGACATGAAACATCCCTTGATTTGCCTTATGTTCTCCTGCCTCTTTTTTTCAGTCTCTGTTAGAGCAGTTGTGTAGCATTTCCCAGGGGGCTGTACATCCCAGGTGGGCAGAACCAGCATTTATTTGCTGTTGTTTCTTGAGTACTTTGCACAGGGCCTTAATAGACATGGGTCCTCTCAACGAATATTAAATGAGCACCAAACAGACCCATTCCAGGCACTGGAGAAATCAGTGAATGAAACAAATCAAGACTCCTGTTCTTACAGAGTTTACATTCTAGTGGAAATTGGTATTGAAATTAAATTATGGAGTTATGTTCATTTTTTGCTTTTCTCTGGTGGCAAATGAAGAATGCGCGTTAGTTTTCTGATGTTTGAAAATCTGGTCATTGCAAGATTTGGGGAAGGTGATGTGGAATCTGTTCCTAAATCTCCCCTTCCACCAGCCTTGAGTCCTGGGAATATGAGCTTGGATCTGAAGAAACGCTGCTCTTTTGAGAAAGAGGCACAAAGCGTCTCACTGCGTAAAATGGTTTGGGGTCAAAATGTATTCTGTTCTGAATTTGTTGATTTGTCTTTAAAATAGAAAACATCCCAGAGGGCCTGCTCTCATTCTTCATGAGTCATCAGAATACACATTTTCGGCATTCCTTCCTGTAAAAAGCAGCTCTCTTTGCCATAAACAGCCATATTCTAGCAATAGTATTTTGGGAAGCTGCTTATGATGCGTGGGCCCCCTAAGTCAGTGTTTCTTACTGCTGACTGTCCATTCTGCTTTAGAGGTTTATTTAAAACACACACGCACACACACCCCCACACCCCAAACCCAATAAGGAATAATTTTGAAAACACAGATCTTGCAATTAAATTGTTGAACATTTATTTTGCTTCTTCTGAGGTACATTGTGTGGAAAGCTCTGTTGCCATGAGCTGGAGAGAGGTCTTTGGCATCCCTGTGGTTTTTTCCACTTGGTGGTTGATCTGGGCCTGGATCATTCATTTGCATTTCTTCCTGGTTCAACCTGGTGCTTTTCTGGTACCGTAGTTTGAAAACTGATTCATGCCACCCAATGTGATAGCAAGGCGTAGGCAAGATTGTCCCTTTTCCCTGCACATAGATTCAGCTGTACTTTTCCTACCAGCATGCAGACACCACAAAAGGAAGAGGATAAATTTGTTCTCTTTTGTCTTTGCCTTGTCAGATTGAGCGACGCCTGGACACAGTCCGGTCGGTATGCCACCATTCCCATAAGCGCTTGGTGGCATGTTTCCAGGGCCAGCATGGCACCGATGCTGAGAGGAGATATGTGAGTATCATGTGTGACTCAGAGCCACAGTTCTGTATCTCTCTGAGGCTTTTCAACCCCTGGATTGGTTGGTTGTCCTAGGTGGCATCAGTGGATTGGCCTTTGGATTGGTACCTTCTATCACTAAGCACGCTCATGACAACTTCCCAACCATAGCATTCTTTTGTGTTTAAGACATCGCTGGACTGGAAGCCCTACTAACAACAGAATCTTCTCCAGGTGCTCTTAAAGACTCCATGATCATTTGTCATTGATAAGAGAATGGCTGTCTTGGTTATATATCTTTTGATGGCAGAAAGCTGAAAGCCTGTCTTAAATTGACGTAGAAGTAATTTATTGGTATGCTAACTGAAAAGTCCAGAGGTTAGGGTAGACTTCAGGTCAGGCTTCATCTAGCATTTTGGTAATGTAACTAAAAACCTAGTTTCTTTCCTTGGCTCTCCTCTGCCGTCAGTGTCTGCTTTGTCCCTAGACAGTCACCCTCATAATGGCAAGTTGGCTATTGGCAGCATCCATGGGCTGCTTGTTCCTTGAGTGTGGACAGTGGGAGTGGAGAGTTCCTCTCCCAGAAGTTTCCCTCCCCTCCCCTCCCCACTGCCCCCACCCTGGCTTTTTCATTTTTCTTTTCTTTTTGTTTCCCTTCCCCTTCGCCTTTCCTTTTCTTTCCTGACAGGGTCTTACTCCATGACCCAGGCTATAGGGCGGTCATAGCTCACTACAGCCTCAAACTCCTAAGCTCAAGAGATCCTCCCACTTCAGTCTCCGAAGCAACTGAGACCATAGTACACACCACTGTGCCTGGCTAATTTTAAAAAATTATTCATAGAGATGGGGATCTCACTCTGTTACCCAGGCTGATCTGGAACTCCTGGCCTCAAGCAAGCCTCCCTCCTCGGCCTTCCAAAGCACTGGAATTACAGGCATGAGCCACCAACTTGGCCCCAGTAGTTTTCTTCATGGGGTGAGAAAGCTGCTTTTGGCAGATCTAAAGCGCTTTCCATTGTATTGATTTGTATGGAGTCACATTCCCCATTTTTGACTTTTCCCGTTCATCCTAGTTACTATGGATAGAGGGTGAGGAGATGGGATGTGCAGATTGGTTTAAGGTAGTTGGGCTCAGCCCTAGAGCATGGGCTATGGTCCTACCTCTAGCTCATAGACTTTATCAAGGCCAGGGTAGATCCCTGAGAAAAATGAGGATACTAGTATAGAGAGGAAGAGGGTGGACTCTAGGAGAGCCATCCAGTGTCTGTGCCAGAGTCCATTTGTTCAGAGCATTCAGTTCCTAGGTAGAGACAGTGGAGCACTGCAGCCTTTGTTCATGAGGGAGTTCCATACTTTTACAAGTTCCCAGCTCATGAGCGTGCAGTAAATCTTGTTGAAGTGACAGTTTTGGTGACACACAGGGAAACTATGATTTGCTGTATTGTCACCAGGTGTCTCAAAATTGAGAACTGTTAATGGTATGCAGATGATCTGTGTTACCCATTTATGTTCCTACAGACTTTTATGGGGCACCTTGGCAGCAGGGTTATTCCGCTCTTACATAACAGTGAGATTCTGCAATATCAGTCATAGGAATGGAAGTTTGCATACACCTACACTTCCACACTGGCTGCAGATCTCTGTCCCTCAGAACCAGACCCAGTTTACTGGTTCTGCTTCCTGCAGCTCCTTGTCCTTCTCTCGCCATGGCTTCTGCTCTGCTTACCCTTTTCACATTGTTTCCTTAGGTTCTCTGCTTCTCTTCCTTGTTCTCCACATCATATTCTCTTGGCCCCCTCCTCTGTTCTTATGGCTTCTAACTGATGTGTTTATGCAGTGACTGCTAAGCCATTTTCAACCAAGCAAAAAACTTCCTCTCTTAGATGTCTGTTTCAGCATGCGTGATCAGTTCTTCCTTCTGTGTTGACTCTGAATTCCATCCACCCTTTTATGTGAGCTGGAAACTGTGGAGCTTTCTTATATTCCCTGTTTTGTTTTATTTAAAAAATTTTTCAAGACAGGATCTCACTCTGTTGCCCATGCTGGAGGGTAGTGGGGCAATCCCGACTCATTGTAGTATTAACCTCCTGAGCTCAAACCATCCTCCCACTTCAACCTGTAAGTAGCTGGGACTACAGGATTGCACCACCAAGCCTGGCTAATTGTTTTTTTGTTGTTGTTGTTTTGTTTTTTTTTCCTGTAGTAGAGATGAGGATGAGGTCTCATCTGTTGCCAGGCTGGCCTTGAACTTGAACTCCTGGGCTCAAACAGTTCTCCCTCCTTGGCCTCCCAAAGTGTTGGGATTACAGGCATGAGCTACTCTGTTGGGTCTCCCTTTTATTTTATCCTCCAAACCCATAACTGCCTGATTAGCAAGTCCTTTGATTTCTCTCTGTGAATCTTTTAAATTCCTCACCTCCACTTCATCTCTACCACCTTGGCCTTAATGCAAGACCTGACTGCCTCTCACATGGACTGTTGTAGTCACCTCCTGAGCTACAGTTCCTGTCTATAATTTCCTTTCCAGTATGTCTTCAACCTGATCACCAAGTCAGTTACCTGAAATACAAATCAATTTGATCATCCTCCTGCCTTAAAAAAAAAAAAAAAAAAAAAAAAAATCCTGGCTTAGTGGTTTTTATCAGGGGCCAGAATTACACCCCTGGGAGTATATCGAAATGTGTAGAGACAGTTTCAGTCATCATAGGGACTGGCAGACACCACTGGAATTGGGAAGGTGAACCAAGATGCTAAACTTTTTTTTTTTTAGAGGCGGAATCTTGCTTTTTTGCTGAGGTTAGAGTGCAGTGGCAACATCCCGGCTCACTGCAACCTCTGCTCCCCGGTTCAAACGATTCTTCCACCTCAGCTTCCTGAGTAGCGGGACTGCAGGCGCATGCCACCAAGCCTGGCTAATTTTTGTATTTGTAGTAGAGACAGGATTTCACCATTCTGGCCAGGTTGGTCTCGAATTCCTGATCTCTTTGGCCTCCTGAAGTGCTGGGATCACAGGCATCAGCCACTGTGTTTGGCCAAGATGCTAAATGTTTTGTAGTGCCTGGTGAAATAATTCTACACAAGGAAGTATTTGAATGCTAGTAGTGCCTCTTCTGAGAGACACTGGCTGGTTTCCATTGCCTGGGATAAAGTCCATGCTCTTTAGGTGACCTAAGCCCTTTCTCAGGTGATTCCATTTCTCCTTATCAGCTTCATTGTCTCCTGCTTCTTCCCATTCACAGTGTCCCAGCCACATAACACCCACCAGCCCCCAAATATGTCACTGTCCCTCACAATTCTATCTAGTTCCTGTTGTCTGCTTTGAGACACAGTCCAAGTGTCACATATATTTAGTAGAAACAAATATTTATTGAACACCTACTATGTACAAGTGCTGGAGATATAAAATGAATGAAATGTAAGTTTTCATGATCTTGTGGGGAGATATATACAAACGGATCATTATAAAACAAGATGCTCAATAAAACATGCACAGGATGTTATGGGAGGCCCAGAATGGGTACCAAAGAAAGAGGGATGTAGTCAGGTGAGGCTTCCTGGAGGACGTGGTGTCTGCCCTATAAAGGAGGGAAATAAGTGGCAGGTGGGGCAAAAGTGATTGGCCCTCATTTCTGAAACATAATACTTTGGCTTTCCTTTTCCAATGTTAAACAAAAGTGCCAGCGACAGGGCTTTGACGATGCCTACACTTTGCACTTAGGAAGTGGAGTTACCACAACAATGGAGAGAAAAGACTAAAATGGAGAAAATTACAGCAATCTCTAGGGCTCTAGAAAACACTGGAGGAGCCTCCTAAAGGCCTCATCACTTGCTCCCTGCATGGGAAGAGGCAAAGATTGAAGGGAAGAGACATGGGGCAGGTGACGTTCTCAGCCCAGCCACCACTGACACGGCAGAACTGTCAGGGGTCAGATAAGATAGATGATTAGCTTATTGTTTCTTTTTGTATGGTTGGCATGCATTTTACAAATGAAGTCTTACAGAGCTTTTAAAATTCATCCTTGGCCAGGCACAGTGTTGTATACCTGTAATCCCAGCACTTTGGGAGACCAAGGCAGGCAGATTGCTTGAACTCAGGAGTTCGATACCAGCCTATGCAACATGGCAAAACCCTATCTCTCCAAAAAATACAAAAATTACCCACACATGATGGCCCATGCCTGTAGTCTCAGCTACTTGGGAGGCTGAGGTAGAAGGATGGCTTGAGCCCAGAAGTGGAGGTTGCAGTGTGCTGAGATCACATCACTGCACTCCAGCCTGGGTGACAGAGCCAGACCTTGTCTCAAAAAAAAAAAAAAAAAAAAAAAAAATTATCCCTAATGATAGAAAGCTGTTCACCTCTAGGAAGCACAAAGCCCTCTCTGTGGAGGAGTTCAGTGTTGATACTTGATTAATTAGCCCATGTGTTAAGCAGAATTTCCTTATTTATGTTCATGGAAAACAGGATTGTTGTGGCTTTGGGGTCAGGGCTGGGAAACCACAAAGCTGTTTACAGCAGTGATCTTGAATGATGCTTGTCAAAATAGACTTCTCCATTATTTTTTTCAGAGACTTCTAGAGTTCCAGAGTTGTGTAGTATATTTGTCTTGATTATTGCATTGATCTTTATTATGTACTTAACTTCCTTTAGAAAGCCAGCATAACCATAAGATAGGAATTATTCCCTATTATTCTCATATCTTCCTTGTCCAGAAATGGGGCAGCTGGGAATAGTCTCCTTGGAGTGCAGATGGAGCCCATTATTTATGTATTTGAAAATAATTTTGTGGGAAGCCAAGGTGGGAGGATTGCTTGAGATCAGGGATTTGAGACCAGCCTGGGCAACATAGTGAGACCTTGTCTCTGCAAAAAATTGAAATGAAAAAAATAATTTGGGGAGAGGGGAAATGGATAAATGCCTTTGCTGTTTATTTTTAAATTTCAGTTTACTATTTTGAATAGGTTCTACATTTACCTGGTCAAAATTCAGAATATACAAAAGAACTTAAAGTGAAGTGTCTCCCAGCCCATTTCCCTAGGCGCCTGGTTCTTTCCTCCAGAGCCATCACTCCTCGCAGTTTGTTGTATAGCCTTACAGAGACATTCTGTCCAGTATGAGCCAGTACATATGTGATTGTATCTGATGGGGCCCTTTGGAGGCAGAAGAGTCAGGTGACATGCTGGGGTGGACCCTGTGCTTTTTTTTTTTTTTATTTGAGACGGAGTTTCGCTCTTGTTACCCAGGCTGGAGTGCAATGGCACGATCTCGGCTCACCGCAACCTCCGCCTCCTGGGTTCAGGCAATTCTCCTGCCTCAGCCTCCTGAGTAGCAGGGATTACAGGCACGTGCCACCATGCCCAGCTAATTTTTTGTATTTTTAGTAGAGACGGGGTTTCACCGTGTTGACCAGGGTGGTCTCGATCTTTTGACCTCATGATCCACCCGCCTCAGCCTCCCAAAGTGCTAGGATTACAGGCTTGAGCTACCGCGCCCGGCGTACCCCGTGCTTTTAACATGAATGCCCTTTCTACTGCGCAGGTGAAATTTCATGGGGTGCTGCAGAATTGAAATCGTTTTTTGTTAGCAGATTATGACATTATAACCAGCTCACTTATACTTGGCCAGCCCTCTTCTGCACTTATTCTGAGATAAGCCGTAAGAAACTGAACAGGGGCCTGGGCCATCAGCACTCAGGTCTGGCTCTCCTGCCTCTCCCTAAGGTGCCTGGCCAGTCCACTTAACCTCCCTCAGCTTTGGGTTCCTTGACTGTACGATTAGAACATTAGAACATTAGAACATGTGATTCTGTAGTCATTGCCAGTTGAAAAACAAATCTCTGATAGGAAAATGAGTGGCTTTGTATTTAAAAACATTACAAAAACTGTTTGGATATTTAGCTCGAAGTTTTTAGGTGTTTAAATAAAGCTACGTTTTAGAATTATAGCCAAATTAAGAGCCAGTTTAGGCTGGGTGCAGTGGCTCAAGCCTGCAATCCCAGCACTTTGGGAGGCTGAGAATGGCAGATCACTTGAGGTCAGGAGTTTGAGACCAGCCTGGCCAACACAGTGAAACCCTGTTTCTACTGAAAGTATAAAATTAGCTGGGTGTAGTGGTGCTTGCATGTAATCCCAAAGCCTTGGGAGGCTGAGGCATGAGAATCACTTTAACCTGGGAGGCGGAGGTTGCATCGAGCTGAGATTGGCCCACTGCACTCTATTCTGGGCAACAAGAGCAAGACTCTGCCTCAGGAAGAAAAAAAAAAAAATCCAGTTTAATAATGAGTGTTCTAGTAAAAGCTTTTGAAATTGAGCACTTTATTGTATTTACCTATTGGGATAACCGTTTAGAGAGCAAGGTCTGTATCTCTCTCATGTCCCCAGTGCCTTGAACATAGTGTGCTTTGATTCATTAATAATAATAGGAACAGGCTAGGTGTGGTGGCTCACGCCTGTAACCCCAACACTTTGGGAGGCTGAGGCATGCAGATTGCTTGAGCTCAGGAGTTCAAGATCAGCCTAGCCAACATGGCCAAACCCCATCTCTACTAAAAATACAAAAATTAGCCAGACATGGTGACACAGGCCTATAATGTCACCTACTTTGGTGGCTAACACAGGAGAATTGCTTGAACCTGGAAGACGGAGGCTGAAGTGAATCAAGATTGCACCACTGCATCGCAGCCTAGGTGACAGACTGAGACCCTGTCTCAAAAATAAATATATAAATAAAGTAATAATAGGAACAACAGCAGCAGCAATGATAATAGCAGCTAATGTTTACTGAATATTTATAATGTGCTAGGTACTTGATATATTTTCTTTAGTCAACAGATAGCCCCAAACTGAAACAGAGAGATTGTCATACAACTAATACCTGTGAGACCAGAACCTGAACCCACACAGGCTGACTTCTACCTGTATAATTTGCCTGGAGGGAGAAATCAGTGAATGATGATCTGAAGAAGATCATTGAGAATGGGTAGCAAATAATAATGAGAAAAAAAAACACTGTCTTATGTCTTCCAGAAAAAACTGCCTCTGACAGCCCTTGCTCAGAATATGCAAGAAGCATCGACTCAGCTGGAAGACTCTCTCCTGGGGTAAGAGGGCTGCTTTCAGAGTGCCAGGCACCATTTAGGTTGGTGTAAGTGGCTGGGCCAGGTGGTGTATGTAGGACCAGAGGCACTGTGGGCACTGATGACATGGCTCATCTGCTAGGAGACCAGCTCAGACTCTTTGGGAGAAAGTGGGGCCAAGGCCACCGGGTTGCTGGAGAATCTTTGTTTTAGTAGGTGTCAGGCTGGAGTTGGATGGCAGAAAGGGCCATAGACAAAAAAGCAACGGGTAGGGTCAACAGTGCTTATTACCCTAATCTTGAACAGAAAGAATGTGGTCCCTTCTCTGTTCCAGGTTTCAGTTCTTAGAGTCACAGATTCTTTGCAGGTGGTCGCCAAACTATCCATGATAGTTATCTAAAAAGAGTGTGTTTGCTGAATTACTATTTTTTTAATAATTGGCAGGTATTATTTAAATAATTTAAAAATATAAATAATAAAGCTATTTTTATTCTGGGAGGGAAGGTTTACCCTTCCGTCTGTTCTTGCAGCAAGGCTGGTGTCCTCTAATCCTGTCTGCTCTCTCCAGCTGTGACATGGGCCCTGCTTCCCAGCGGGATGAGCCCTTTAGACTTTACAGTGCATTTCTGAGCGTCTGCAATTCTCTCTGTCCTTTGGAGAATAGTTTTCTCCTACTCTTCACTGTTCCTTTCTCCTATCTGCTCCCATGTTTGGGGGCCCTGGGAAGAGGGTGGCCTGTGCCCACCTGCCAGCGTTCTTCCTTCTAGCCTGGAAGTTTTTCCTGTTTGTGCTTCCTCATTCTGTTGCCATCGTCATCACACTGGAGTGATGCTGCGTGCTAACATGGTTGTAAGTGTTTTCCAAGTAATAGCTCATTTAATCCTCAAAACAACCTAGGAGGTAGGTATACCAGCACTTAGAACCCTGTTAGCACACAGCATCACTCCCATTTTGCAGACGAGGATACTGACAGAGAGGGCAGGGAAATTGCCTCAGACCACACAGTGGGAGAAGAGCAAAGCCTGTGTTCAGATTTGGGCAGCTTGGCACCAGAGAGCATGTTCCTAACTGTGACACCTTGGCTACCTCACACAGTACGTCATGCATTTCTGGTGTCAAAAGAACCCTACAGAGAGCTAGCAAGGGAGGGCAGGAAGGAAAGCAGGGAGGCGGGACGGGACAGGAGAGAGACTACAGAGTTACTTTGTAACTGCGCATGTATTTCATATGATATCAGCTGCATGTTTGCAAGAAAAGTAAAAGGAAACATGATACTCATGTAGCACGGCCCTTAAGTGTTAGCTGGCTAGCTCATCTGCACAGTCAAAAGGAAGCCTTGCTGAGGCTGGACTCACAGACATAAGATAATGTAATAAATTTGATGTCTAATTTAAAAGATTTTCAGGGTATTTCGTGAACACTTGGTTTTCACCTGACTTGAGAACCTAATTCTTGAGTAATTTGTGATCTCACTGTTCACACATCCTTCTGCCACCCTCACATACAAAGTACATGCCTGAGACAGTCATTTTTATTTTAAAGTGCAAATCTGTGGACTCCTGTTTTAGGCAACACCCTAAATTTACAATATTTTAAAGACTCTGTTAGGTAGCACCCTAATGCATTCCTGTCATATAGCAGGCAGCACTGCATCCACATGATAATCCAGTACCTGATTTAATGACCACATGCTCATTGTTGGGGTATCTTGTTTTTAAAGGAAGATGCTGGAGACGTGTGGAGATGCTGAGAATCAGCTGGCTCTCGAGCTCTCCCAGCATGAAGTCTTTGTTGAGAAGGAGATCGTGGACCCTCTGTATGGTATCGCCGAGGTGGGTGCTTCACTGTGCAGCATGGAAGAGCCGAGAGTGGTGTGGGCTGGACAGTGAATGTTAAAATTTTAACAGTAGTTGCTGGGTTTAACATGCGCTTCTTTTTGGAAGTAAGGGGAGTTAATTGAAGTTACAAAATCCTTTACCTAAGAGAAAAAACATTTGTAAATACTGTGTTTTAAGATGGTTAACCTAAAAGCCCTGAAGTGCATCTCATGTGGTATGTTATTCTTTTTAGGTGGAGATTCCCAACATCCAGAAACAGAGGAAACAGCTTGCAAAACTGGTGTTAGACTGGGATTCAGTCAGAGCAAGGTAATGCAAGGCTTGAGCCAGCAATGCAGGATTGTGTCCCATCCTCAGCAACCGTCACCATTCCCAACACAGTGGAGAGGAAGACCACTGACAGTGGACACGATGGAAGTGGTCACCAATTCGTGCACTTGACCCCGAGACTGGGTACCAGCCTCCTGGCACCTCCTATAGGCCTTGTTCTCAGCGTGGCAGTGGGGATTTTGTTAGAACATCCTGTTCTTAGTGAGCCAGCAGTGAAAAGAAATAATCTAAGGAAAATGAAATGAGTACATTTAGTGACAGAGGGGACCGTGGCAGCTCTAAGAGCACAACTCTTAGAGTGTAGGAGTAAACGTATCTGTGGCGCTAACTGCTCATGAGGGTCCCACCATGTCACAAACCCTGTGTACTTGTAATACCTTCAGTACCAAGAAAGGAGGCACTCACATGGGAGGAACTCATATAAACCCATGTAACCAAGTCAGCACTGCTGATGTGGGGATGCTGATGCCAGCAAAGGAGTCTGTCATGATTCAGGGCTGGACTGCTGCCTCTGCTCTGTCCTTGATGAAGATTTTGGCTTTTTTTTTTTTTCTTTTGTGACAAGGTCTTGTTCTGTTGCACCAGGCTGGTGCAATCATAGCTTACTGCAGCCTCAAACTCCCAGGCTCAGTAGATCCTCCTGCCTGAGCATCCCAAGTAGCTGGGACTACAGGCACATGCCACAGTACGTGGCTACTTTTAAAAATTTTTTGTGGAGATGGTATCTAGCTGTGTTGCCCAGGCTAGTCTTGAACTCCTGGCTTCGAGCAATCTTCCCACCTTGGCCTCCCAAATTGCTGGGATTACAGGCATGAGCCACGGTGCCTGGCCCTCGGTGGAGTTTCTGTCAGTAACTTAACATGGCTTACTTCTCAGGCATGTGAGAGTTGGGAATAGGGAAACAGGCACCACCAGCCTGAGTCCTGTTTTCTACTTTAACACAAGGGTTGACAAACCTCTTCTGTAAAAGGCCAGATAGTAAATCTTTCTGGTGCTGTAACTCAGTTGCTTCCTGTTGTAACTGCTTAACTCTACTGTTGTAGCATAAAGGTAGCTATGGGCAATGCATAAATGAATGAGCATGGCTGTGTTCCAATGAAACTATTTACAAAAGCAGGTGACTTGACTGACCTCAGCTTGCTTTGTTGGCTCTTTTCTTTCTTTTTATGAGACGGAGTCTTGCTCTGTCACCAGGCTGGAGTGCTTTGGCACGATGGCTCACTGCAACCTCTGCCTCCTGGGTTCAAGTGATTCTCCTGCCTCAGCCTCCTGAGTAGCTGGGATTACAGGCACTCACCACCACACCCAGCTAATTTTTCACCATGTTGGCCAGGATGGTTTTGATCTCCTGACCTTGTGATCCACCCGACTCAGCCTCCCAAAGTGCTGGGATTATAAGCGTGAGCCACTGTGCCCGGCCTTAGCTCTTTTCGTTCTCATTGCAGTCCTGTGAATTAGATATGATTATTTCTATTTGACAAATGTGTGGTGATAGAGGTATCATTTATTGAGGTCTTCTGTGTCAGATGATTTTATTATAAATTTATGGCCGTAATAAAATGGCTGCATTTTCTTGTTTCTAAGAAGCCGTTGAGTATTATTTGCATCACTGATTTAATATCAGGTTATTTGGAGAAAGTGAAGAAATGCCAGTTTATTAAATGTACAAATCAGTTGTTAAGATTAGTCCTGATTTAAGAAATGTTGAGATGAAAAAAGGTATGTCTAGGAATTCACACATGGTGTGTGTGAACTCTACAAGTACAATTATCAAGTAACTTACACATGCCAGAGATTGAGCTACTTTCATTGTATGTCAGCCCATTTGACTCTCTCACCAATCCCTGTTCATTTGTTCATCTATGTTTTAACAGATATCAGTTGGGTGCTCAGTGTGCACCAGACTTTGTGCTAGACACTAAATGCGTAGACCTCTCCTGTGACTTGGAGGGAACAGGATAGAGGTTAGTGTAACATTTCCTACTTTTGAGAGGAGACTTGTTTTGCAGATAAGTGAGGGACTTGCATATATTATCTATATGACTTTGTGCTTCAAGAGCATAAATTGCAGTGCTAGGATTCTGACAGCAAAGTCCATTGTCTCCTGGTCATGTGTACATGTGGTGTTTGTCACGTGGTCTGGAGTGCAGTGGTATGATCATAGCTCACAGCAGCCTCAAACTTTAGGGCTCAGTGGATCCTCTTGCCTCAGCCTCTCGAGTAGCTGCACACCACCACACCCGGCTACTTTTTTTTTTTTTTAAGACGGAGTCTCACTTTGTCGCCCAGGCTGGAATGCAGTGGTACAATCTTGGCTCAGTGCGACCAAGATGCCAGGTTCTAGCAATTCTCCTGCCTCAGCCTTTTTAGTAACTGGGATTACAGGCGTGCACCACCACACCTGGCTGATTTGTGTATTTTTAGTAGAGATGAGATTTCACCATGTTGGCCAGGCTGGTCTCAAACTCCTGACCTCAAGTGGTCTGCCTACCTTGGCCTCCTAAAGTGCTGGGATTACAGGCATGAGCCACTGCACCCAGCCCCAGCTACTATTTTTATCTTTAGTAGAGATGAGATCTCAGTATGTTGCCCAGGCTGGTCTCAAACCCCTGACTTCAACTGGTCGGCCTGCCTTGGCCTCCCAAAGTGCTGGGATTACAAGCATGAGCCACTGCACCCAGTCCCAGCTACTATTTTTATCTTTAGTAGAGATAAGATCTCAGTATGTTGCCCAGGCTGGTCTCAAACCCTGGCCGCAAGTAAACCTGTCTCCTTAACCTCCCACAGTGTTGAGACTACAGATGTGAGTCACCATGCCTGGCCTGTACCTGTGATTGGAATCCTGTGTAGCCGAGACTGCAGGCCACCCTGCAATACATTTTTGCTCAGAAGAAGGAAGAGTGTTCTACTGATTAAACAAGGCAGCAAATGCTTCCTCACTAGAGCTGGTTGAGCAGTATTATAGATGTTTATCTGACGGGAATTTTGCATCTTGAGTGCATGTATCCCATAGGTGATTTTAATACTGATTCTTGATCTTGCATTCATGGTCTTGTTTGCTTAATCACAGTAGGTATTGGAGAAGTTGAAACAATTGAGTGTTTCTACCTTTTCTTATTCCTGTAGCTTTTCCCTGGAGAAAAAAAAATGGTAATAAGTAGGAATCCATTATATGCCAGGCTTCATATGCTTGTGCACATGCACATGTGTGTTTTTCTTGCCTTTCCTCCTCATGACAATTCTGCTTGGCAAACAGTGTTTGTGATAGTTTTGTAGATGAGGCAACTGCAATGCAGAGAGGCTAAGTCACTAACTAGGTCACATAACTAGTTAAGATAAAGCTGAGCTCCAGACTTGGACATGTCAGACTCTGAAGTCCATGCACCATTCACAGCATAACATCTCCAGTTTTGCACTGGCGGTCTGGCTAAGCCTTTCGGTGGAGGAATATATCATGTCAGGGACACAAAGTGGGCAGAACATAGTGTTTTGGGGCAATGCAGCAGTCTAGAAAGTTTAAAAAGTAGCTACCATGGGTTTTCATGCTGCATTTTATAAAATCTGTGTTTGCATTTAAAGTGATCGACCTTTCCACAGCAGAGTTACCCATTTTCAAACAGAAGGATTAAATTCAAAGCACATTTGAAAATCAAAAGAAATTGTTTACTATGATTATTTCCTACTTATCCCCTATTATTACTAGTTTCTTTATTTATTTTTAGTGCTTTTATAGCTACTGATTGATACTTACATTATTATCACTATTGTTTGTAGACATGGAGTCTTGCTGTGTTGCCCAGGCTGGTCTCAAACTGCTGGTTTAAGTGATCCTGCCACCTCAGCCTCTCAAAGTGTTGGGATTACAGGCATGAGCCACTATACCTGGCCTAATAAGTTCTGTTTCACTGACTCTGGAAATTCTGGCATTTACTTGCTGAAAGTAATCACAGGTCACAGATAACAGTATGGTAGTAGGAAGAGCCACAATGAATTCTCAAGAGCAGGAGCTGACTCAGGTCAAAGCAAGAGACCAAGGAGAGCACCTTGCTTTCCTTCAGTGGTGAGGATTCCATGATTGCCTCCATAGGAAAGGGATTCCACAGATTTCTTTCCAGTAGTGGAGTTTGTGTGAGACAAGATGTGGTTGGTTATGTTCAGGGCAGACCACTCATGAGTCCTACCATGGTGGGAAGCTAAAGTCTCCTTTTGCCTGCTTCCATTCTTAGAGGATAAGCTCAAGAGAAGTTGGCATCTTGGGCAGTGATAACCCTTCCAGGACGAATCAGTTTTGGGGAAGGATCTGTCTCCGCTAGGTCCTACCTCCAGCTGTTGAGTATACACAGCTGGTTCTCAGATGCTGGCGACCCCTTTGTTTTGCAGGTGGAACCAAGCTCACAAATCCTCAGGAACCAACTTTCAGGGGCTTCCATCAAAAATAGATACTCTAAAGGAAGAGATGGATGAAGCTGGAAATAAAGTAGAACAGTGCAAGGTATGATAATTCCCTGATAAATGTGTACTTGAATCTATCTTTCACTTTTTGCAAATGAGGGATGAAGGGTCAAATCTAAGTTATTTAATGTTTTCAGTAATTTGTATCAGAATATTTTGAATGATTTTAAAGGTAGGTTTTATTTTCTTCTTTCTTATTCTGTAAGACTATAATATTTTATGATCAGAATAAAACATTTTAAATAAATTCAACTAGGATTTTTTTTTTTTTTTTTTTTTTTTTTGAGACGGAGTTTCGCTCTTGTTACCCAGGCTGGAGTGCAATGGCGCAATCTCGGCTCACCGCAACCTCCGCCTCCTGGGTTCAAGCAATTCTCCTGCCTCAGCCTCCTGAGTTGCTGGAATTACAGGCACGCGCCACCATGCCCAGCTAATTTTTTTGTATCTTTAGTAGAGACGGGGTTTCACCATGTTGACCAGGATGGTCTCGATCTCTTGACCTCGTGATCCACCTGCCTCAGCCTCCCAAAGTGCTGGGATTACAGGCTTGAGCCACCGCGCCTGGCTCAACTAGGATATTTTTTAACACTTGACAAGATGTCTAAGCTTACTTAAAGATGAAGGCAGAAAAAGGAAAGAAAACCATAGCAAAACATATCATAAAGTTACAGCAATTAAAACTGCATAAGAAAAACAAAAAGTAAGAAAAAAGTAAAACTGCATAAGAAGCATTAAAATAGATCAGTGAAATAGTATAGGTTTTCTAGAATTTAATGTTATTATATTGTAAGATTTAATATATAGTAAATGGCTCATCATATATCCTTGGAGAAGAGAAGATTACTTTTTAATGTTCCTTGAATAATTGGTTTGCAATTTGGGAGAAATACAACTTTTCATCTCATAAATTACAGATTAATTAGATGATTAAGTGATCTCATTCTCTCTGTGTCTATCTGTGTAGATAGATGCTCATTTTGAATGTTATTTGAGGTGGGAAATTATTTGAACTGGCAAAGGAATAGGTCTTTGGTGAGTCTCTGGAAAATCCAGAGTCTAAGGCTGGATTTACTTAGACTTTTCCTGCTTTTATTTTTTATTGTTTAAAAAAATTTTTTTTTTAATTTCATGCTAATATTAAGACGGTTATATTTTAGTTTATTTAGGTCATGACATACTTTGCTTTTCAAATAGCAAACCTTGATTAATTAACTGAAATTAAATGACTTGGTTGAAATAATACAGTGGATAGAAATATAAAAATATAAGAATAATATAGTGGGTAGAAATTGAAACTAAACTCACAAAGTTATGCCTTTAAAAAGTTTTTGTGTTTAAAAGATGATGCTCAGATAAATGCTTTTAGTAAAATAATGTCATATTGGTTTATTTGTGGTCTGAAGAGTTGTACCTTTGTCATTGTCATTTACCCAACAGTCTTCTTAATATCTGGTTTAACCTAGATCTTGGCTATTAGCTACTTATTGCACACAAATTTGGGTAGAGGTTTGGGAAGTCATCACGGGCTCATATCTCTTCTCTCAACTTCCACACTTGTCAGTGTTTCAAATGGTAAAAACTTGCGAAAATATTCTCTGGCTCCTTCTCTTTATGCTACCTTATGGGTAATTTCCTCAGATCTGTGTTCTCTTTCACTGACTCTCACTTTAGCTATGTCTGATCTGCTACTCAAATAACATTGAGTTTTTAATTTCATTGACTCTATTTTCCATTTCCGAAGTTCTGATTCTTCAAATCTGCCCTTTTGATACTACATTATTCTTTTCTAGTGTTTCTTTCTTTTAGATCATTTTAAATATACTTATTTAATAGTCTCTGTTAATTCTGTTTTCTGAAGTTCTCTATGAGAGTGGTAGGAGTTTGCTTATGGTGGATTATTTCCTTATGTGTTTTGTAATTATTTTGAACTCATTATAAGAGGGGCTTTATCTGTGGGACTATCAGGGATTGGGAATGAGGCTTCCCAGACAGTTACCAGTCCAGGTCCATTTTTAATTAAACTTAAATCAGTTTGCGTTTTCTGGGACCATAGGTCAGTAAATTTAAACTTCAAACCCTCATGAAAGCAGATCTGTGTTTGTGAAATCTATTGGCCATTGTTTCTCAGACCTAAAGCCCATTCCAGAACAGATACACTTCCCTCTGATTTCCATGTGATGCTAATTGCATTTGTTCTAATCTCTTCTTTCACGGAGAGTACAGTTCTTCAGGAATCTTATCTTTATGCATACTTGTTTCTGACCTTACCAGGCCTCAAGGCTTCAAATACCTTGGTCACCAAGACTGGCACAAAGCTACCCCAGGTCATCCTCAGCTTCCATTCATGCTTAGAATTCTGACTTTTTCTTTCTGCTTCTTTTTCTTCTTTCTCTCTTTGTGTGTGTGTATATGGTGGGGTTGGAGGGAGTCAAGGAATTTACTTTCTTTCTTTACCAGTTATTCTAAAAGGATAGTCATTTCTCCTAACTAGCATTTCCAAGTTTTTATCATAAATGGGAGGCCCTTCACATTAATTTGTATACCTTGATGCCAAAAACAGAAGTTAGTACATTAAAAAAAAACCCTCACTTTCTGCATATATGTTTTCCCATATATATATTTTCATATGTATATATATGTGTGTGTGTGTGTGATATATATATATATATATAATTCCTATGTATATTTATATTCAAAGATTGGAAATATATAACTAATTGCCTAATCTGCCACTTAAAAAGATTTTTTTTGACCGGGTGCAGTGGCTCACATCTGTAATTCTAACACTTTGTGAAGCTGGGGTGGGAGGATCACTTGAGGTCAGGAGTTCAAAACCAGGCTGACCAACATGGTGAAACCCCATCTCTACTGAAAAATAGGAAAATATTATCTGAGCATGGTGGCATGTGCCTGTAGTCCCAGCTACTCAAGAGGCTGAGGCAGGAGAATTGCTTGAACCCTGGAGGCACAGGTTGCAGTGAGCTGAGATTGTGCTTCTGCACTCCAGCCTGGGCTGCAGAGCAAGACTCCATCTCAATTTTTTTTTTTTTTTTTTTAACTCAGAGACTAGCTCTCACTCTGTTGTCCAGGCTGGTCTCAAATTCCTGGCTACAAGAAATCCTCCAATCTCAGCCTCCCAAAGTGCTGGGATTGTAGGTGTGAGCCACCACACTTGGCCTGCCACTGTTTACAAAATTATTTAATTTTTATATATGTAATTCATTTACATTAGATCGGATATGAAAAAGTGTAAAACAGTATACTATGAAGTCTTTCCCTTGCCATTATCCTCCTCCTGCCTAATTTCTATTGTTCCCAATAGGTAATAACTGCTACTAATTTCTTGTTTTATCATCAAGACATGTTTTTATATGTATGTGAGAATAAAAATATGGCATTGCCGAGCCTGATGGCTCACACCTGTAATCCTAGCACTGTGGGAGGTTGGGATGGGCGGATCACTTGAGGCCAGGAGTTTGAGACCAGTCTGGCCAGCATGGTGAAACCTCATTTCTGCCAAAAATACAAGCAGTGTGGTGGTGCATGCCTCTAATCCCAGCTACTAGGGTGGCTGAGCCAGGAGAATTTCTCAGGTGGAGGTTTCAGTAAACCAAGATTGTACCACTGCACTTCAGCCTGGGCAACAGAGTGAGACTGTCTCAAAAAAATAATAAAAATAAAAGAAAAATATGACATACCCTTCCACCCCTTTTTTAACCCAAATGTTAATACACCATAAGCGGTGCTCTGTACTTTGCTTCTTAACCAGGTGTGCCGAAAATATATCTTGAAGATCTGTCTGTGTCCGTCCATGTAAGAACCTTCCTTACTTGTTATGGTTGTACCATGCAGTTGATGGACATTTAATCTGTGGCACTTTCCATCACTTTTTCATCTTAGATCTCACAGAGATTGTTCTTAGTGTTCTCAGATGCCATTTTGTTTCACCTCTTTTTTCTTCAATAACATCTTCTCTTCTATTTACCCAGGATCAACTTGCAGCCGACATGTACAACTTCATGGCCAAAGAAGGGGAGTACGGCAAATTCTTTGTTACGGTAAGCACCTTCCCTTGACCAAATGTTAAAGCATTGTTAAAATGGAGTCATTTTAGTGTTTTTGCAAAAGATTTCATTTTTAGTTTTGCTCAGCCATTGTGTGTGTGTCCATCCGATGCTAACGTTACTTTTGTTTTTGAATGTGGGTCTGTTCTCAGTTATTAGAAGCCCAAGCAGATTACCATAGAAAAGCATTAGCAGTCTTAGAAAAGACCCTCCCCGAAATGCGAGCCCATCAAGGTAATGTAACCCGCGTGCGGCTGATGCTTCCTTCTCGCCTCTGCCACCTCTGCCTGGGTTCTTCTTCACCCTGACTCCTCTGCATGCACGTCCTCGGGATAAAGCTTCTCTGCCTAGGAGGGTACTGTTTCTCAGCATAATTTCATCTTCCTTGCTGCATTCTCTAATTTCTTCCGAACCCAAATTAACACACTAATGGAACATTTGTAGTTCTTCTGAAACCTTCAGTTGAAGAGAAAGCTGGCCTCTTTGGGGAGTGCCTTTGTATTTTCCCATCTTCTATAGGCTTGAAAAAGTCTAACATTGAATGATCCTTTTCCACATCAACCATTTGTTCCATAGGACTTAATTCTGGCCATGTGACTCCAAGAGCGTCCATTCTAGGGAAAATATTTTGGACTTTCCGAAAGAGAAGCCAGTACCTGATGCCACATCCTGCACATCACACTTAATAAGTGTAATTGAATCCTAAGACCATGGTCACTTCTTTCGGACTCCTCCATTGTCTTTATACTAAGCTTTTGTTCTATCAGCACTAATATTTTGCCCATCATATTCAAGCACACTGCAGATTTTATCTGCAAGTTGCAAGCAGACTGAACTTTCCCCTGATGTTGAGTTTGAAGTTGGGCATCTAAAGCTTTTACTTCATTTTTCTCCGTAAAGCTTTTGATGCCCTGTCTCTCTGATTTACCATTAGAGCATTTACCAGCAGAGAGCATAAGCTGTTGAGTCAGAAATTGCTCCGCCATCTTTGAATCTGTTTTGCCTGTTGTGTAGACCTGACACTTGGAGCTTAGGTTCTTCCACAGAACCACTGGTCTTGAGCTAAAAGGGGATCAGACCAGGTGCTGAGTGGGATGACTGTGATTTTGAGACTGGGCGAGTGTGTGTGTGTGTGGTGCCAGGGGATGGTTTGTGGATGTACATATACACCAGCACCCTCAAGAATGCCACTTCTCCCCTAAGTTCTAGGACATCCTTGGTTCTGGCTTTGTGCCTGAAAGTTTTTAGATTATGGAATTAGAAAACTTTATATTTTGACTGACCATACAGTCAGATCTTCAGCATTCTCAGGTGTAGTGTGTCTGATTTTCTCAGCCATTGCCCTTGCCTTCCGAAATAATAGAGATTCCTAGTTCATGGAAGGTGGTGTTGAGTTGCAGTGCAAAGGAATGAGGTCTCTGGAAAATGTTCTACCTTCCTAGGGACAGACGCTTGCTGAGCAAGATCAGACCACCAAGAAAATATATTTATGAGATACCTGCTGTGGGCTGGGCCCCGCATTTGACAAAGTAGTAGACAAATCATCATTTTAGCCTTTGAGTGGCTTAGAGTCTGATTTGAAAGAGTTGATTAACAAGAACAAAAAAAAGAAGATTGGATTTTTTGAGCAGTTTTTTTTTTTTTTTTTTTTTTTTAAAGAGACAAGGTCTCACTCTGTTCCCCAGGCCAGACTAGAACTCTTATTCTGTTTTTTTACCCAAGGCTATTTTCCTTAGAGAAATAAGTCAGGAAGCCATGGGGAGCAGGGACAAGGCAAGGAAGAGGTTCAGATGGAGCAGCCCATGGAGGAAGTGCAGTTTGTTCTTCTTGCTGGTGTCACCCTTCACCAAGTTACATTTCAGTCCCTCCCACCCTTGCCTGTCCTTGTACCTGCCTCTCACCTTAGTTCTGTCTCTTCTTCCCTTGCTTTCCTCTCTGTTTTCAGAAGGACTCAGCTTGTCCTTACTACATAAAAAAGTGTGACCTCCCTGTGCAGCCTGCTCACACCTGTGGACTCTGGTGTCATATTCAGGTCAGTTGGTGGTAATCTGCTGCCTCCCTGACCTGAACACAGTGCCCCATTTAATCTGTTTCTCCTTCATTTTTCTGGTGGGCACTTCCGATGACCCCTTTCCGCCTGCCACCTTCATTTTCTTACCACCTTCCCACCCCTTAATCTTTTGCAGTCTTATGTCTACCCCTAATCACTCTGCCGTTTAGGAAAAAAAACCAAACCATACTGCAGTTTTGCAAGGACCAGCGACCACCTGTTAGATCCTGGCATTTGACCCGGTGTCAGCCATCTCTTCCCTGTTAACATTTGTTTCCTCATTCTGCTTGATTGTCTTCTTTCATTGTGAGGACTCTGCATTGCTCCCATTTCTTTTTAAAAATTTTTCATCATCAAGAAGGATTATGTGTTGCTCCATTTCTGTCCCCACCCCAGAAGTCAGGCTTTTCTGAGGTCCAGTCCTTGCACCTCTGTTCTTCTCTCCTACCCTCACTCCCTCGTCCCCTTTTCCCTAGAAATCCCCTTCCTTTGACAGCGTTGCCTCTTCCCTGCATTTTAATCCTTGCAGCCTCCTAAGCATTGGCTCCCTTTGATGAATGGCCCTCACCTTAAACTCAAAAAGCAAACAATTCACTCCCCACACCAACTGTCTCTTTCTCTCTTCTTGTCTCCCTGATACCACCTTTCTCCAAATGATTCAGGTCTTAACCTTGGAAACGTTTTCTCCTTCCTCTCGTCCACCCCATGCCTGGGTTCTGTCCATTTTGCCCTAGGCTCTACCATCCTGTCTTCCCCTGGCCCACTGTGCTTCGTGCTCTCATGGCCTTGGTGTGAACTTGAGATAAGATGTAAATTCCCAGACTCACAATTCCTGGTCTTTTCTCAGCTGATTGCCCCTCACAAAGATGTGTTTGTCCATTTTTCAGCCTGTTTAATCTCTGTCCATCTCATGAGACTCTCTCCAACCTCACTTCCTTTGAGAAGCCTTCTCTGACAACTGAAGCCAATGGCGAATACTTTGCCTCCTGAATTGCACCAGCATTTGTGGTCTATGTTAGAAGTTGCAAACAGCCATGTCTCATTAAAAATTGTTAAAAGTTGGTTGCCATCATTTAAAAACCAGGCAGTTGGGCCAGGCGCGGTGGCTCACGCCTGTAATCCCAGCACTTTGGGAGGCCGAGGCGGGTGGATCACGAGGTCAAGAGATCGAGACCATCCTGGTCAACATGGTGAAACCCTGTCTCTACTAAAAATTCAAAAAATTAGCTGGGCATGGTGGCGCGTGCCTGTAATCCCAGCTACTCAGGAGGCTGAGGCAGGAGAATTGCCTGAATTCAGGAGGTGGAGGTTGCCGTGAGCCGAGATCGTGCCATTGCACTCCAGCCTGGGTAACGAGCGAAACTCCGTCTCAAAAACAAAAAACAAAAAAACCAGGCACTTTGATGTAACAGTCCTGATTTCTGGCTTCTCCTGAAAGTTCAAAACGTCTGGCAACACTGGCTCTGCTTTCCCACTTGGCAGCATTGGTTTGGTGCTGAAGGGAGGTTATCACCTGTCTGCAGATCGTGCATCCCCAGCGGGATTTGTGCCATTGTGCTACTTATCCGGCTCCTCTAGACAGTTGGATTTGCGACCTTGTCTGTACCACCGATCTGCCATTACTTAGCAAATATGTCTTGTCTTGTTATTGACTGTTCTGTGTTTACATATATGTCTTATATCCCCTTCATGATTCAGTTGCCCTCTCCCTGAGGATGGGGAGTCGCTGTGAACTTTACATGCCTCCTGCAGTATCTGCCACATAGTAGGTCTGTTGATTGAGAGGCCAGTGCCTGAGGTGGAGTTTGCCTTATGACTTGCCTCTAGTCAGTTGTTCTCACTTGCACCCTCTGTCAACATTATGCCAGGCTTGGGGGTGGGGTATACTCTGTTCAGTGTTTACTAGAAAGTTCTAGCAGAGGTTTGAAGCATGCCTGCCCCTCAGTGTTGCAGGGTTGGGCTTGTGGTGAAGGCGATGGCAGGTGTCATTTGCAGAACTCCCCTGGGTGATTCCAGTATATTCCCTGGTGGAAGGCTCATGTGGCCATTTTCAGCCTGTGTTGTGAATCATTGCTTTAGATAAAAGGGACAAAGTATTTCAGGTAAGATTTGCCTGCTGGGAAGGTCCAGACGTCTGGATGCATTTTCTATTGGAAATTCCCCTGGCTGGGGCTGGGCCAGAGACAAGGAGGGCTCCCCACAATTCTGAGAGTGGCTGGAGGCCTGCTTCTCATTTTTGTCCCCCCACCTCCCTTTCCGTCACCCCTTTCTTCAGCCTTTCTCTTGCTCTTTCCATCCATTTTTTACCTTTTCCTAAGCTCTCAGTTCTATGGATTTGCAGGATTTTATTTTTCTTCCCTCCCCATGTGCATATCATGTGGGCCTGTAACCCATCTGTGACATAGGAAAGAGTGTAAGAGGACACGCCGAGTAAATACTGCCTTCTTCCAACCCAACTTTCTAGCAGCAGAGTGGCTAAGGGACCAATGGCTGTTAAAGGTGCAGAGAAGGACATGAATCCTTCCTATTGGTGAAAAGAATTAAGTGTTTCTCCTGGAGCAGTTTTCACATCTGGTTTACCCTCCTTTGCTTCTGTGAGCTGCTCAGACAGCACTGGCTCTCTGCAGCTCGCACAGGCAGGCCAAACCCAGCCAGATCCTTCTTATTCATATGTCTGTTCTCTAAATTCTTCTATTTTACTGCTTCATTGTATTTCTGCAAAGCTGCCTCATATGATCTGAAGATAATATAAAATATGGCTTTCCTGCTGTCTGCATAGCCTTCAGCTGCTTTAGGGTTGCAGATTCTGCATTTCTTTCCACTCAGAATTTTTTGGAGCTCTTTGGGGACGCAGTGTTCTGAAGCGCTGCATGCCGTGGAGATGTCGCATCTGATGGAGAGTAACTGCAACGTGGGGAGTTCACGTTGACCATCTCCAGTCTTGTATGACAGATGCTTGACTTGTGTTTGAAATTTTCAGAGATTATTTCCATTTTCGCATAGCAAAGAGTCTGTTTCTTGTCCTCTAGCTAGAAGGCTTTGCATGGCTAGAAGAAATTTCTTTTCGGCGAAACAGTATGCTCTGGGGAATCTTTGTTTTAGTCCAAGGCAGTCCACTAAACCCACTGGCGTGTGTTAATGAAGCGTGGTGCAGGTGCAGCACGCCACTGCAGCTTCTGCTGGGCAGCCTGAGTTGGGTGCCATGGAGGTGCTCTCAGGCTTCTGTTCCACGAGTAACTGCCCCGGCCTGGTCCGTAGTTTGTGCTGCTCCAGTAGATGGCAAATAACAAAAGCAGATAGAAGAGATGTATCCCCTCTTCCTAGAGGCTCAGCTGCCAGTCTGCTAGAAAAGCCCACTTGGTAGTTTGGGGAACAAATAGCTTGGTAATGCTGGGAGTTTGTTGGGTGTCTAACTGAACCATCTGCTACTCTAGATAAGTGGGCGGAAAAGCCAGCCTTTGGGACTCCTCTAGAAGAACACCTGAAGCGGAGTGGGCGCGAGATTGCGCTGCCCATTGAAGCCTGTGTCATGCTGCTCCTGGAGACAGGCATGAAGGAGGAGGTGAGGGGAGCTTCGTGATCCTGTGCACCAAGTCTCCATGTCCTGTGTTCTGCCCAGAGCACCATGCTCCCCGCCAGCCCCTGTCCACGCCCCACCTTAGTTATCTAGCCATTGTCCATTTTGTGTAGAGCGTTGGCTTTCAAGCCTTTGTCACCATGACTCGTGTTTTAAATTGCAACCATGTACCTTATGATACCTTATGAATGAAACAATGGTTTTACGGAATATTTACCTTTCCTGCTTGCAATACATCCTGACTCTTTGTCCTGTTTGACTGTTTCATTTAAAACTCTGGTTATGATTTGTGACAATAGATTTCTTGATGCACTAATGGACTAATGAGCTTTAGTTTACATTTACATAATATTATGCAATTCTAGGGGGCCACGGGGAAGCATTTACATACTTAATTTTATGAGATTCTTACGCAAACCCCCCGTGAACCAAATAAGGCAGTTCTTATTACTCTTCTTGTATAAATAAAGAAGTCAGCATGCAGGGAATTTACACCAAGTCAGAACCGGAATAAGAATGCAAGGCTTTTTTTTTTTTTTTTTCCTTTTGAAAGCTTTGTATTGAAATATACAGAAAAGCATACATATCATAGGTGTACAGCTTGATGCACTTGCATGACTGAACCCACCCATGGAATCAGTACTCAGATCAAGGAATGTCCCAGAAGCTCTCCTTGTGTTTGCTTCTAGTCACTCCCCTTCTAACAGCCTAGGTTAGTGCTTCTTGTCTGGGGCCAGATTTGCTCCCCAGGAGACATTTGTCAAGGTCTGGAGGTATTTTTGATCATCACACCTAAGAAGAGGAGGTATTACTGTCATCTAGTAGTAGAGGCCATGTGTATTCGTCCATTTCACACTGCTGTAAAGAACTACCTGAGACTGGGTAATTTACCATGAAAAGAGGTTTAACTGACTCACAGTTCCACAAGCTTTACAGGAAGCATGGCTGATGAGGCCTCAGGAGACTTAAAGTCATGGCAGAAAGCAAAGGGGAAGCAGGCACAGTGTTCACATGGTAGAGCATGAGGGAGAGAGAACAAGAGAGAGAGAACATGCGCTCAAAGGGGGAGTTGCCACACACTTTCAAACAACCAGATCACTATATCAAGAACAGTGAAGGGGAAATCCACCCCCATGATCCAGTGACCTCCCACCAGGCCCCATTTTCAACCCTCCAGATCACAATTCCACATGAGATTTGGGTGGGGACACAGAGCCCAACCGTATCACCACAGATACTGCTAAACATCCTACAGGGCACAGGACAGCCTCCAACAAAAAATTATCTAGCCAAAAATGTCTGTAGTGCTGAGGTCGAGAAACTCTGCCTAGATTAATTTTCTTGCTGCCTGTCCCTGTGCTTGGATACATACTCAGCCCTCTTCGTTCCCCCTGACAGCCCCATGGGGCAGGCAGTAACACCACTCTCATCGACAAGAGGTGAGCAGAAATCAGGAGGTCCCCATCAGAACACACTGCTGCTTAGTCTGAGTCTCCCAACCTGCACTTGATGCTGATGGCTTTTCATTATCTTTAGGGCCTTTTCCGAATTGGGGCTGGGGCCTCCAAGTTAAAGAAGCTGAAAGCTGCTTTGGATTGTTCTACTTCTCACCTGGATGAGTTCTATTCAGACCCCCATGCAGTAGCAGGTGAGCACCAAAGAGTGTCTGCAAATCAAGTCATCCTCAAGGTGGTAGGCAGGTCCTGTCTCAGACAGATGGTCAGTTAAAATCCAGTTTTACTTACAGGTTTAAGTGACAGAACCTAAGTGGCCCCTTGCTACAATTCCTTAGTGTATATATAACGTAATGTCCACACATGTCTTCTCTACTCCTTTTTTTGTTTTTCTATTTTCTTGATGATTAAGTAAAGGTGAAAGTAACTTATAATGCAGATATTTGGAGACATATTTGTATTTTCTTCCCTTCTTTCATACTCTCCCCCCACCAAATCTGTATCTACCCTGAGGCCTCATCTACCCAGAAAAATTATGTCTGTTAAGGGGATGACTTTAAAACTAATTTTATTTGTAATTTATCTCTGAAAACTTTGTTTCCGCAAGAGATTGAATTTGTTTATGAACATTTTATTCTCTAACCACTCTTGCCAACTTATGATTTGTTATATACACCTTGGAAGATTGTAATTGAGATCATTTCAATTTGCAAAATATGTCCCAAGATTCCTAGCCTTACTCCTTTTTCATACTCAAAAAGAGTGTTAATGATTTCAGGTGCTTTAAAATCCTATTTACGGGAATTGCCTGAACCTTTGATGACTTTTAATCTGTATGAAGAATGGACACAAGTTGCAAGGTAAGTTTAAAGAGCACAGAGTTTTGGGCTGGGCGCGGTGGCTCACGCCTGTAATCCAAGCACTTTGGGAGACTGAGGTAGGCAGATCACAAGGTCAAGAGATTGAGACCATCCTGGTGAACATGGTGAAACCCTGTCTCTACTAAAAATACAAAAATTAGCTGGGCATGGTGGCGCACACCTGTAGTCCCAGCTACTTGGGAGGTTGAGGTAGGAGAATCTCTTGAACCCAGGGAGTGGAGGTTACAGTGAGCCAGGATTGCCCCACTGTACTCCAGCCTGGCGACTGAGACTCCGTCTCAAAAAAAACACAAAGAACACAGAGTTTTAAATGTTGAAGGGAATGATGTGCTGTTGTGCCCTATTTGTAAATCATTTTATTCTCAGGGATCATAGCATAACAGTAAAATGTATATTTGTTAAATAATATATGTGTCAGTTCTTACGTTTGGAGTAAAAATATGGAATAATTATTAGTGTAGGAAAGTGTTGCCACTTAAGCATTGGTTTAAATTTGTGTTATTTATTTGGATGAAGACATAGAGTCATACCCACATTAATGGATTGGCAAATCTCCAGCACCCTTTATATTGAAGAAGGCCCTATAACTAGGGATAGGGGTCATACTGACCCATGGCAGTGTGCCTTTTGAGCTGTGTGCAAACTTACCTGTGCAATAATACAGTTGGCCTTTAAACAACATGGGGATTAGGGCACTGATCCCCCACATAATCGCAAATTCAACTATAACTTTTAATTCCCCCAAAACAACTAATAGCATGCTGTTGACTAGAAGCCTTACTGAGAACGTAGTCAATTAACACATATTTTGTATGTTGTATGTATGATATACTGTATTCTTACAATCGAGTAAGCTAGATAAAAAATACTATTGCCGGGCACGGTGGCTCACGCCTATAATCCCAGCACTTTGGGAGGCCGAGGTGGGTGGATCACGAGGTCATGAGATCGAGACCATCCTGGTCAACATGGTGAAACCCCGTCTCTACTAAAAATGCAAAAATTAGCTGGGCATGGGGGCACGTGCCTGTAATCCCAGCTACTTAGGAGGCTGAGGCAGGAGAATTGCCTGAACCCAGAAGGCGGAGGTTGCTGTGAGCCGAGACCATTGCACTCCAGCCTGGGTAACAAGAGCGAAACTCTGCCTCAAAAAAAAAAAAAAATACTATTAAGAAAATTGTAAGGTGTAGACAGTCTATTTACTGTGCATTAAAGGGAAGTGGATCATCTTAAAGGTCTTCATCCTTGTCTTCATGTTGAGTAGATTGAGGAAGTATAGAAAGTGGAGGGATTGGTCTTGCTGTTTCAGGGGTGGCAGTTCATCTGTGAGTTTTTTCAAATTGTCACAGATCTCTTGGAATTTTCCCATATGTTTATTGAAAAAATTTGCATATAAGTGGGCCCTGTGTTGTCAGCTGTAAACTGATGACTTTAATATTTACTGAGCATTTTCTTGTGCTAAGTACTGTACTCATCTTCAGAGCCATTAGCTCCTGTAATCTTTAATTAACATTATAGAAGACAGATGATGTGATCCACATTTTACAGAGAGAACAGGGCCAAGATAGTAGCAAGTAATTGGCAGAGCCAGAATTCAAACCAGACAGACCCAAATGCTATGTGCCTGTTCTTTGTTTCTTTTCCTCCACCCTCAGCTTCAGTCTGTCTAGAAATAGTTGATTTTAAGCAGGGCAGCTTTGTTTGAAAAGCCTGGAGGCTTCTGCTTGGCTGGCCGGCCCACTTCCTCTCCTTTCCTTCATGTTACTGACTCCCCTCCTCTCCAGAGTGCCTACTCATCACTACCAAGGGAAGAGGAACAAATCTCACTTCTGTTATGCCCCCTTCCCTATCTGTGGACACTGTCCCTGTTCCCCTCAGGCAGGCCATGATCAGATAAGAGCCATTTGTTTCTGATTGGTTACACTTCAGTGGATGCGAGTCCATCCCTTGTCTCTTTAACCGGGTTTTGCATTTGAGCTTTTTTCAATTGAGACAGAGTCCCACTCTGTTGCCCCTGCTGGAGGGCCATGGCACAATCTCGACTCACTGCAACCTCCACCTTGCTGGTTCAAGCAATTCCCCTGCCTCAGCCTCGCAAGTAGCTGGGATTACAGGTGCACACCACCATGCCCAGCTAATTTTTTTGTATTTTTAGTAGAGACGGGGTTTCACCATGTTGGCCAGACTAGTCCCAAACTCCTGACCTCACCCGCCTCGGCCTCCCAGCAGGCTGGGTTTATAGGCATGAGCCACTACGCCTGGCTGCAGTTGAGCTTTTCTCTGTAATTGTGGAATGAGAGACTTTGTCCCTGGTAGATGGTGAGGTTTTTAAGTTCAGAAACAAGTTCTTAGTCATCACGTATCCTTGGAACCCTGCCTGGGGCCCAGCCTGCTGTCAGTATTAATGTTTATGGGATAGAATTCAGTAGAATCCAACATCAGTGTTAGGTGGAGGAGAGTTGTGGGACTGATTTCTTTTATTGGGTAACCTCCTGCCCAATAAAATGTTTCCTTGTTTATTACAAGAAAATAAACTTGTAAAAGAAGGTGCCTGTTGGCGTGTTGATTCTAGAGTTGAGACTTGTCAGCGTGGGCTTCCATCTCAGTAACACATTGACTCGCCTCTAAAGTGTAATTATGTTTAATCCCTATCCATACTCTCCAGAATGGTTCCATTCTGGGGGATGTTTCAAGTTCAAAGTGGTATTACAGAAGCCCCCCTAACACTTTTGGTCCCTAACGGGCAGAATTGACTATGCTTTATGGGCTTCTCCCACCCTTTTTTTATGTCTCTGCAAGTTTGTACGTCTCACCTATGGAGTAAAAGAGCTCTTGCAGTTGCTTCACAACAGAAATGGCCTTCTTGGTCTGCAGCCAGTTTGTAGTATTACATGTGAGGAAACACCCAGAGGTCTGGGTACTGGGAGCTCAGTCCCCTGATCTGTGGCTGGGCTGCTCTAGGATAAGAGAATTTGGGCTCCGTGAAGCCATACGTCAGTACACACTTTCTCTAGACAAAATTTTCAGTAGTGTCTTGTCTTCTGTATGCTAAGCATTGGTGGAGGTGGTTTTGCCACTGAAGCCTCAAAAATCATTCAGCAGAATCAACACTTAACCTGTTTTGCACATCAAGATATTGAAGGTTAACCGACTATGCAGTGTTAAACAGTTAATTGGTATTTGACTCTAAATCTGCTTATTTCCATAGTCTGAGCTGTCAAAATGGAGGCTTCACTTTTAATATAGCATATTAATAAGGTATTACTAATTGGTGTTTTAATAAATTGTTATACTTAAAAGTCTTTTTTTCTCAGTGTGCAGGATCAAGACAAAAAACTTCAAGACTTGTGGAGAACATGTCAAAAGTTGCCACCACAAAATTTTGTTAACTTTAGGTATGTATGATTGAGCTACAATGGCTCTGGAGTGAAGATAGATTTAATGCCCAGCAGAGAAGTCATTTAATTCAGGCATACTTGGCACATTAAAAAAAAAAAACTTTGGAGAGTAACTTGGGGCTATTGGGAATGGGATTTCATGTGTATTATGATGAATTTGAAGCATCAGTATCATGCCTGACATTAATACCTAAGTTGTCTTATAATTTTCCCACTATAGCTATTAGCAGTAAATTTCTTGTGAAAAGTTTGAGTGACTGTTGGGTTTGGAATCCAAATTGTCCAGTATGTTAAATGCAAAATTAATCAGTAGTTGCATGTGCTGTAATACTTAGATAAAGTATAAGTATCTTATTAAATAAAATTTCAAGGGATGGAGATTATATATTACTGTGTGGAATAACACAGTAATGCTTCTAAGAAAATTTACTGTGGGACCAACTTCTGTAATTTAACTTCCTTTTTCCTTTTGACTTAAAATGTAACTTTGAACAAGTATAGAGAAAAGGCAAAACCTGGCCCCAGGAAATAAAGTCACTCAAAACCAAACAAGGAAAATTTTCTAGGAGAACTTTCTAGAAAATTTTCTTTGGTTTTGAGTGACATTAAGGACCAACCAAAATTCTTTATAAGTGATATGTCTGGAATGTTACTTGTCCTTAAATTCAGTCTTGGGCTCTCGCACTAAACTAAGCTGCATATTCCCTTTTATATATTCCCTTTGATTAATTTAACTCACCCAGCTCAGAATTACAAATACTCTTACTTTCTTCAGTGTATGTGGTTGAGAACTCAATATGTAGTATGTTGGGAATTTGACTCTTTATTTTGTTTATTTTACTCTGTAATTGCTACTAATTGAATAGAGAGCACATTCCCATGGTTCAAAATTCAAGAGGTATACCATGAAAAATCTCTCTCCTGTTCCCATACCTCAGCCACCCAGTTCCACTCCTGAGATGCATCCAGTGTTTACAGTTTCTTACATATCCTCTCAGCAAGAGTTGATCTACGTGTAAGCAAATACATTCATGTGTACATACTTCCATACATATTTTTTCTCTCACACCCTCTTTTTGATTAATTTTGTCTTTAACATACAGGATGATTTGGACTCCAAACCCAGCATACAGTCACTCAACCTTTTCACAATAAATTTATTGCTAATAGCTGTAGTGGGAAAATGATGAGACAACTTATATGTTAATGTCAGGCATGATACTGATGCAGTCAGCCAAACGGTGGTGTATATTGTATACATCACTCTCCCCCTTGCCTTGTTTGCTTGACATCTTAAGGTATTTGCTTAATACATCTTGGAGATTTTTCCTTCTCAGTACATTTTGTAATGATGGTTGTGTAGTCCTCCACTGTATGGATATACTGTGATTTCTTTAACCAGCCCCCTATTGATAGATAGTTGGGTTGTTCTTAGTTTTTGCCTGTATACAGTTGTGTTTATACCTAAGATATATATATGATAAATTGGATATTTTTGTAATTCCAACATAAAGTATTTTCAGATAGCTTCCTTTAAGCAATGTAACTGTGTCTGTTTTGGTATTTAAAAATATTGAGCTCAGTATTAACACATTATAACTTATAATAGCAGTAGAATAGATAGGACAGAAAGGAGAAATTCATTAGAAATACACAGTAAATAGAGGTTCAGTCATTTTTATACTTAAGCTCTTTTCTTTAAGCCCTAATTATTCTGTTATCTGAAGCAAAGAACACAAGAAATGTATAAAATGCTTCACCTGAACCATATTCTGGTTTTGGAACCCTCTGCAGTTAGCACCTGAGCAACCTGGGATTGTGTACCTGGGCAGTAAGAGAATATTTCAGCAGCTGTTTCAGAGGCAAAACCCTCCCCTTCTCTTTTGACTCCTAGGTATTTGATCAAATTCCTTGCAAAGCTTGCTCAGACCAGCGATGTGAATAAAATGACTCCCAGCAACATTGCGATTGTGTTAGGCCCTAACTTGTTATGGGCCAAAAATGAAGGGTAAGTCATTTTTCTCTGTATCACATCATTTCAGTTTCTTCTTTCCCACCTTACGGGATGCACAGAAATGTAACTCAGGTTACACATTCTAGTTTAAGATCAATTCAAGGTGTTCTGAAATTGGTTTTCTCATTGAGCCGGTATTCTTGAACCCATCATTCAGCATGCCCACTGGTTCTTCCCTGAAGATAATTCTCATTTCAGTTTCATTGAGCTGGGTGCTGTCCCAGCTGGTGGTGACACAAAGATGTGCGAGACATTGTCCCAGTTCTCAAAATACGCTGCTCTTGGGCAGTCAGATACCTCAGTGGCTACAGTACAGTGATAAGATAAATACACATTATCTGTGTGTGTGTGTGTGTGTGTGTGTGTGTGTGTGTGTGTGTGTGTGAGATATTGTAGAAGGGGCAGCACTTTACTTCTACCCTCTTAGGGTCTCTGGCTGGGCCTAAGACCTAAATGGACATAAAACAGGTTAACAGGAGAAAGTGTACAGATTTTTACATTTTAATGCCCGGCAGAGGAGTCATTTAATTCATGCATACTTGGCACATTTAAAAAAAATATCACTTTGGAGAGTAACTTTGGGGCTACTGGGAATGGGATTTCAGGTATATTATTATGAATTTGAAGCATCAGTATCATGTTTGACATTGGAGTTCCCATAGGAAAATGAAGATCCAAAGAAGCGACTAGAGCCAAATGCTTATATATGAAGTTGGACAAAAAGTAAAGTGTGAAAATGTGACCAGACAGAGGGGCTTGGTCTAGGGCAGGCAGTTGTGGAGAAGTGACTGGGAGCACAAGGATTTGTTCAACAGGTTTGTTTATGGAGGTTTCCCTCAGCCTTGCCTTCCCATCCCTGGTGCTAAGAATGTTTCTTTCCTCCTGATGGGAAAGGGAGGGCATCCTTCACTTGGGTGTTTATCTCCTGCTTTCAGGATGAAAAAGGAAGATCAGAGCACTCTTATTGCATGTAATGGTTTTCAGGTGTCTTTAACTCAAAATAACCTTATGCCTAAGGGGCATATTTTGGGATGGCATATTCCTCCCCCTTTATCAAGTATGATGGCAACAGAGGTAAAGGAACGTAATTCAGGCTGAGAAGTCAAGGAAAGCTCTGGTTAGGGAATGGCACTGGAGCTATACCTTGATGAGTCAGGAGTTTCCTACAGCCAGGACCTGGATGAGCCAAGACACTGTGGGCATGAAAGGGCCTGGTTTGCAGTGTTGAGAGGCATGTCATGTGGCCTCATGAAATTTGAAGACAGAGAACATGAGGCTGTGACTGGGAAGGCCAGAGCCTGGCTTCAAAGGGCATAACACATCCCACTGAGGTGTTTCGGACTTATTTTCTGCGTGGTGGGGAGTCATTCATTAAGGTTCCTAAGCAGAAGAATGTCTTGATTAAGTTGTACTTAGATAACTTTGTTGGCGTTGTGAAATGTAGACTGAATAGAGGAGAGGTCGGGGGATCAGCTAGAAATCTTCTGGGAAATTGCCACTCATTGGTGGATTGTGATCTCATTTAGTAATCACAAATAACCTTTTGAATAGAGAACATAAAGGAGAAATTGATTAGAAATATATAGCAAATAGAGAATCATTGACATTTATACCTAAGCTATTTTCTTAAACTAGTAAGGTACTGTTGTCCTCGTTTTTACAGATGAGGACATGGACTCTTAGAACAAGTAATTTGCCTAAGGTCGCACAGCAGGAAAGCAGTGTGCCCAGGTTCTGGCTACAAAGCCTGTGTCCTTACTAACCCTTCTCTGCTTTCCAATACTCTTCGCAAAGAAAAATGGGAAAGGACACGAGAGGACAGTTCTTCTCTAATCCAGCAGGGTTCTAAGGCACACAGACTGATCAGACTCCAGATGGGAGAAAGGCTGGGAAGGATCATTTGCAGGCAGACCTTGCATTTTAAGCTGGAATTTGAAAGGAACTAGAAATTTAACTTGGTTAGAAAGTGGGTGAAAATGTTCTGGTGGGAAGAGAGGTCAGAATGATGTGAGAGGAGAGGAGAGGTTTGAGGCACTCAGACCTGGGATCAAGCTTCTTGGAAATCCGGTGTACTGATGTATAAAATAGGCCTCAAAGCAGGTTGTTGCAAAAATTAAGCAAGGTGAAGAACCTGAAGCCTGGTAGGTGGCCAGAAAGTGTCAGGCCTTTTGCAGGTGGTTTGCTTTTGTGGTGTTCTGACTCCCAACTGAAACAGGAGCTTGACAGCGGTGATGATAATTCTTATTTTCTTCTTATTTTTTTTAAGACAAGGTCTCTCTCTATGTACACTGGCATGATAAGGGCTTTCTACAGCCTCAACCTCCTGAGCTCAGGCAGTCTCCCACCTCAGCCTTTCCTGTAGCTGGGAGTACAAGTGCATGCCAGCACACCTGGCTAATTTTTATATTTTTGTAGAAATGATGTTTTACTCTCTTGCCCAGGCTGGTCTTCAACTCCTGGCCTACCCGCCTCAGTCTCCCAAAGTACTGGGATTACAGGTGTGAGCCACTGCATCTGGCCTACTTATTTTCTTCTTTCTGAGCCTTAGCATCAGACCCTCTTATCATCTGAAGACTCATCTTGAAAGTAGTCCACATATATGACAACCTTAAGTGTGAGTGGTGGGCTCAGGTTTTCCAGCATAATAAAAGGCACACTGTAACCATGAGTCTTCTTGGTGACATCATAGGCAAAATTGCTTTTTAGTGATCATTAGTCTTGGAACATAGCTACCACCCATGTGTGATGTTAGTCCTGTGGGACAGTTCAACCCTTGTACCAGACCAGTTTGAAACCAGCATTTGACACAGCATTGTTAACTGATTTCGCCGCTCGCAGAGTCTGTGCGTAGTAGTGGTTACTGTGGTTGTCATCACAGAGCAGACTAAGGAGCAGCTGGGTCAGAGTAATTTTTTCCTGGGTGATCACTGCCACGTTCATAGACCAGGACCTTGTGAATTTGATTTTTGCATCTGTACTTAAATATTTTATCCTTTAAAAATAATTGAATTGCCCTGACACAACCAGCAGAAATTAGATGCTGCCTACAGGAAGTATTTTAATTTTGTGAACTTCCTTTGCAGAACACTTGCTGAAATGGCAGCAGCCACATCCGTCCATGTGGTTGCGGTGATTGAACCCATCATTCAGCATGCCGACTGGTTCTTCCCTGAAGGTAATTCTCATTTTGGTTTCACTGCGCACCAAAGCAATGTGATAATCATACAAAAAGTCGTCTTAAAGGAGAAAATAAATCTGTTATCCTTCTTTATGATTACATAATTGGTTTTACTTTTTCCTGTTTCTTTCCAGCCTTTGTGCATTTGCATTTGTATTTTGACAGGATGGTTATCGTCTTGTATTTCACTTAGTTTCACTAAAACATAGCCAGTCAGTGTACATGGAATACCCACCAAGTGCCATATGTTTGCTGGTGAGACGTGCTGTCTTTCCTGGGGGAACTCAGGCCACTGGAGAAGAGAACCACATGAACAGATAAATTATAACAACATGGCAAATTAGAAGATAGGTGAATGGAGAAAGATTCGACGAACTCAGGTGCTGGGCAAAGGGAGCCAGGAATTGCTTTTTAGAAGAGCTGATGTTGAATATGCAGTTTTTCAGTTGAAAGAGGGCTTTTTGTTTCTCTAGCTAGATTATGGATTTGCACATAGGTAGGAGATAAAGCAGGAGATTGATGGGGCCAGTTGGTGAAGGCCTGAGTTGGCTGTGTCAAAGAATTAATATTTCATACTGTAGGCGGTAGATTTTCAAACTAGGTTTGTTGCAGTCCTGGGATCCACAGAGCTTCCCATGGCCCCCTTTGGGGATGCTAGCCAGGAAAGTGTTAGAATTCTGGATCCTCCACACCTACTTCCCCCAGACAGCCCTGCTACCATGTCCTGTGGGGTGCAAGCCCCATGATACCCATCTTTTCTTCACCACTTGGCCCGTCTTTTCTTCACCACTGTTTTGTCACCATCAAGAATCACATCTCATTCGTATAGGTTGCCCAGTGAAGATGGAATGGAGGAATGAATGCTAGCATTCTGCTCAAGATTTCCTTTGAGGACAGTTGGCACTTGATGTTGCCTTTTATTTCTGTTTTATATCAAAGTGTAAATCTCTCTCTCGCTCTCTATTTTTTTTTTTTTTTTTTGAGATGGAGACTCACTTTGTTGCCCAGGCTGGAGTGCAGTGGTTCAGTCTCAGCTCACTGCAACTTCTGCCTCTCGGGTTCAAGCGATTCTCCTGCCTTGGCCTCCCAAATAGCTGGGATTACAGGCATACACCACCACGCCTGGCTAGTTTTTTGTATTTTTAGTAGAGACGGGGTTTCTCCATGTTGGCCAGGCTGGTCTCGAACTCCTGACCTCAAGTGATCCGCGCGCCTCGTTTTCCCAAAGTGCTGGGATTATAGGCATGAACCACTGGCTAAATATCTCTTTTTGAATTATTCAAATAAGTGATCTGTGCTCATTGTTCTCTTCTGTATTCTAGATTTGTTTTTTTTCCACAAAAGAGAAAGCAGAAAAGTTGTGTAACTTATATTCTAACTCACACCTCTTCCCTATCTTGTCGTCTTAACATTACTTCCCACTGGTTTGATAGACCATTCTTGGGATATGAATGCCAGGAGCTTTCACCTTGAAATAGTGGGGTTGTGGACTGAAGAGTGAGGTTCCTGTTCCAGTGAGGGGTGTCTTAGACCTCCCTCACCTGATGTGCTCAGTGTCTCATGCACTTGTTTATTTTCCCTCTTGCAGAGGTGGAATTTAATGTATCAGAAGCATTTGTACCTCTTGCCACCCCGAATTCTAATCACTCATCCAACACTGGAAACGACTCTGACTCGGGGACCCTGGAGAGGAAGCGGCCTGCTAGCATGGCGGTGATGGAAGGAGACTTGATGAAGAAGGAAAGGTATGATTTGACTGTTCATTTCCAAACCCGCAGTAAATATGTCATTAGACCTGTGGTATCTGGTACCACTCAGTGGACTTAGAGAATGGTCCCCATCGACCTGTGACTAATGGCATCCAGATAGTTTTTGGAATTCTGCTGTAGGTCATTCTAAGCACTCATCTCACCATGAAGTTTCTGTGTAGCTTGTCAGTTAACATTTCTTCCACATGCGTTCCAGCTTAACTTGGTGGTCTTGTGGTAAGCCTTGCAGTGGAACGCCATCATACACATGTTAAAATTGACCTGAATGTACTTGATTGGGAGGAAACAGAAAGGAAAACAAATTTAATAGTGTGGACTTCTGTCCAGAATTGAGTGTGAGAATACCCACCTGTCACAGTGAGTTGAGTGATTTGGTGTTTAAGGAGATATATTTCTGGTATAATTTGGCCCCACAATGGAAGCCAACCGATAAATTTGATGTTCAGTGGGAAAAACCTCAATATTTGCCAATTCTAGAAGGAAAAAAAATGACAGTGTTGAACTTAGTGAGAAGCAATGTCTCTGTATACTCTTTTCTATGGGCAATTCATGGCATTTTCAAGGGTAATGAAGACTGATTTGTGCCTTTAGATGCCAGCCTGTCCCATGTGTGTGATGCAATGCCACTGTACTCACTAGGAATGCTAAGAATTAAGAGGCCTGTTGGAAGTAACATGCTTTTCTTGTGTGTATGAAATAATATTACTAGAAACAGTTTTACATTAAAATGAAATGACAAGCTCTTATTTTAATTGCCCAATCTGATAGTGAGGGTGCTATTTGTTTCTTGTTCTTTGTTTTGTGTTTTTTACCTCTAGCAAAGGAGTATATGTTATTCTGTCCCTATTCTGTCCCTCCAAAATCCACATTTATTCTATGTAGACACATCACCTCTCTGAACCCTCATTCATGCATTTAGAAGTATTTCCTGATGACAAACTCTACCCATAACAAAATTAGCTTTCATGTATTTTTTCAAAATACAGTGCTATGAGTCTAGTCACATGGGAGACAATTCTCAGTTACCTGCCTTGTGTATTCACCCTGCCAGCTGACCAGTAAGCACGAGATCAGGGAGCCAGGTATCTTTTTACTTTTCAGACTGAAAGAAAAAGTTGTTAAGTTCATAGATTAATGGGCTTAAGTGAAGTCAGCCTTCCTTCCACCCTGTCTTCCAGCTATATCCAGCCACCATCCCCTTCCCAAAAGCAACAGTTTTCTCCTGTCTGTTTTTGTTTTTTGACACAGGATTATGCACCCAGGCTGGAGTGCAGTGGTATGATCATGGCTCACAGCAGCCTTGACCTCCTGGGCTCTAGCAATCCTCTCACCTCAGCCACCCAACTAGCTGGGACCATAGGCATGCACCGCCTCATCCAGTTAATTTTCTAAAAAAAAGTTTTTTGTAGAGACAGGGCCTCACAGTGTTTCCCAGGCTGGCCTTGAATTTCTGAGCTAAAGCAATTCTCCTGCCTTGTCCTCCCAAAGTGCTAGGATTATAGCTGTGAGCCACTGCACCCAGCTTTTCCAGCCTTACTTATCTTTCATATGTATTCTTTGCATATACACATATGATTATTTCTCTGTCTCATCTCAGTTAAGAGGCAGTGTGGTGTGATAAACTTACACTGCCATTGGTAGGCCTTCTGGACTTGGCTTCTGCATCTTTCCCCAAAAATAGATTTGTGATGGGAACTAGGAAGTATGGAAATAGGCCTCGTGTGGTGACTTATGCCTGTAATCCCAGCACTTTGAGAGACCAAGGCAGAAGGATTACTTGAGGCTAGAAGTTTGATATCAGCCTGGGCAATGTAGTGAGATCCCATCTCTTAAAAAAAAAAAAAATTTTTTTTTAATACCCTGGTATGGTGGCATATGCCAGTAGTCCAAGCTGCTCCAGAGGCTGAGGCTGGAGGATTGTTTGAGCCCAGGAGTTTGACACTGCAGTAAGCTGTGATTGCTCCACTGGAGTGCCAAGCACTGCAGCCTGGGTGGTGGAGTGAGACCCTGTGTCTTAAGGGGGGAAAAAAAGGCAGAGGAAGAGGAAGGATGGGAATAAACACACTAACATGTCATTCAAGATGAGGCCTGCCTGTTTGCTTTTAGCTGCTCACACCCAAATTGATCAAAGACATTGAACAGTACCAGTTTCATTGGCTTTGCTCAGGCTCGAAGCTAAGTGGAGTTGCTTGCCTTGGTGTCAGGGGGCTGTTAATCTGATCCTTGCCACTTTACTGAACACAGGGCAACTTGGGTGGCTGTCCCTGTGTATGGTTTTAACACATGTGGATCGATGGGCTTCTGTCTCAGTAGTCTGTCGCATGGTGTGTTGACTGTTTCTTCTCTCTGTGTAGCTTTGGTGTGAAGCTTACGGACTTCCAGGCCCACCGGCGGGGTGGCACTCTAAATAGAAAGCACATATCCCCTGCTTTCCAGCCGCCACTCCCGCCCACAGATGGCAGCACCGTGGCGCCCGCTGGCCCAGAGCCCCTTCCCCAGAGCTCAAGGGCTGAAAGCAGCTCTGGGGGTGGGACTGTCCCTTCCTCTGCGGGCATACTGGAGCAGGGGCTGAGCCCAGGTGATGGCAGGTAAGGAGGCTGACTTCTGCTGGCAATGGAGGCTGGGCACTCCAGCCTTCTTGCAGGTGGTGGCCTTTGGGCACAGCATCCACGCCTAAAGAACTGCTACAGCATGGAGTGAACAGATTTATTTTCACTCCTCTGGTTGGCAAAGGACGGGAAAAAAGACTATGAATGGCTCGCTTCTTTTTCTGTTTTCCAAAGAAAGCAACATTGGTTTGCATTCTTTGCCACACTGCTTTGGTGCTGGAAACCGGAAGCCGGTGGGTGTCTTGCAGTGTGATAACTCTGTTACCTGTTTGATGTATACTGTCAGCATTAATGTACCATCTGTTCGTTGTCATCCAGTGTGCTAACCAGGAATCATTTAAGTGTGGCAAGTCGGTTAAATTTTAGTATTCCTGGCATTTATTCACTTACTCATTGATTCATTCAGTCAAACAGATTTTCTGAGTCACTGATACGTGCTAGGCACTGTGCTAGGCACATGAGGTGGCTAAGAATCCGCCCCCTACCCCCAGCTTTCAGTCTTGAAGGGCAGTTGATCCATGAGTCCCAGGTGGAAAATAAGATGGTAGCTTTTTCTTTTTTCTTTTTCTTTTTCTTTTTCTTAAGACTGCATCTTGCTCTGTTGCCCAGACTGGAATGCAGTAGCGTGATCATAGCTCACTGCACCCTCCACCTTCTAAGTCCAAGCAATCCTCCCACCTAAACCCCCCACGTAGCTGGGATTATAGGTGCTTGTCACCATGCCCAGCTAATTTTTTTTTATTTTTATAAAGATGGGGTAAACATAGATGCCCTGTGTTGCCCAAGGCTGGTCTTGAACTCCAGGCCTCAAGTGATCTTCCTGCCTTGGCCTTCCCAAGTGCTGGATTATAGGTGTGAACAACCATGACTGACTGGTAGATTTTCTTAAAAGGCTCTTTTAGTTGCTTAACCTTTAGATAAGCCAAAAAGTCATTGCAACTTTTAATAAAATGCACCTTAAACTTGAGATTTTTTTTTCTTTGTCTTTTTTTCTTTTAATCGCTACATCAAGTGTTTTACTTGGTAGAGATTTTTTTTTTTGAGCTGGAGTCCCACTACTCTGTCACCCAGACTGGAGTATGGTGGTGTAATCTCAGCTCACTGCAACCTTCACCTCCCAGGTTCAAGTGATTCTCTTGCCTCAGCCTCCCAAGTAGCTGGGATTACAGGTGCCTGCCACCATGCCTAACTAATTTTTTTTGCATTTTTAGTGGAGATGGGGTTTTGCCATGTTGGCCAGGCTGGTTTTGAACTCCTGACCTCAGGTGATCCGCCTGCCTCGGCCTCCCAAAGTACTGGGGTTACAAGCATGAGCCACTGCAGCCAGCTAGAACTTGAGATTTTTATTTAATTGGCTCCACATTGATCCAGGCAGATGACCACCAGAGGCTACTTCAGGTAGCATCTCTTGTGGTTTGGAACTGGCAGCTGCTGTAGCTCTGCACACAGTGTGTGCCAAAGTTTTTGTTGTCGTATGTTCTGCGTTGACCATCTGAAAATACATATATACAATCTGAATGATTGTATATAAGTAAGATAAATGCACACAAAACAAGGGCAGACTGTTTATCTACGCATTTCTTTCCCACACAGATAAATTTTCTTTGAAAGAACTTTCTTATCGTCCTTGGAATGAGCAAGGGATAGCCTTGTTGTGTGTGAAACTGCTCATGAGATAGGAATCTTGTTCCATCATGAAAACTGAATGCTGAATGCTTGTGCATTCCTGAATTCCACTTTCCTTACCTTGGGAAAGTATACTTTGGGGTTAAAAAAATTTAAGGCTTCAAACTTCATAGGGCTTCCCATGCACATCATAGGCTCCATGTTAGTGTGTCAATAATTCCACCCTATGCATGTACTTGTTTTGGTTTAAGTTTTTTTTTTTGTTTGAAGGGAAAAAGTCTAAGCAAATTCACTTATTTTTTTTTTCTTGTTTTGTTTTTAATTATCATTATTTATTTATTTTTTGAGATGAAATCTTGCTCTGCTGCCCAGGCAGGAAGGCAGTGGTGCAATCTCGGCTCAGTATAATCTCCCACTCCCACATTCAAATGGTTCTCCTGCCTCAGCCTCTCGAGTAGCTGGGATTACAGGCGTGCATTACCACGCCCAGCTAATTTTTGTATTTTCAGTAGAGATGAGGTTTCACCATGCTGGCCAGGCTGGTCTCAAACTGCTGACCTCAAGCGATCCTCCAACTTTAGCCTCCCAAAGTGGTGGGATTACTGGTGTGAGTCACTGCGCCCTGCCTGTTCTTTTTTATACCATATTCTGTAGATATTTTTATGTACGTTTCATTGATGTTATTCACTCTTTGGTGACCTTGACATAATGGAGCTATAATGTTAGGTATAAAAAGTTCTGGGCCAAGAAACAGGAAGCCTGAGTTCTGTTCTCTATCTTGCTGCTACCAACTCTGGACTTTGAGTAGTCATTTAGCCTCTGAATTTATTCAGTTCAAGTTATTGATGATAATCAAGCCCTTTATAATTTAGAGTCTTAGTTTGCCATGGCTTTTGCTTAGTTTTGTACAATGTATATGTCAATATCTAAATGCCCTTTTGTGATATTAAGTACTGCCCAATTTAAGTACAAACAGTAGAACTGAAAACTCTGCATTGGTTGCTTTGAAATGGTCTCTCCCATGATACTGGAGTGGCACAGTGGGTGGAGTCCAGTCTGATGCAATGAATCTCATAAAATAAATAGTCATGTAGTCCCAGCTACTCAGGAAGCTGAGGTAGGAGGATTGCTTGAGTCCAGAAATTTGAAACCAACCTGGGCAACATAGCAAAACCTCATCTCTTGAAAAAAAAAAAAAGGTAGTCCTATATGGTACCAAGTAAACATTAGCTTTATAAGCCCAGTGTGAGCTAGTTAGAATTTCAAATCCTTTTCCTGCCTGCCAAAGTGAAAACTCTGCCTGGAATCTTATGTTGTATGTATGTACAGTATGTTCAGCTTTTTCAGCTGGGATTTTCTGACATCTAACTTGAGTGTTACTTCTCTTAGTCCTCCCAAAGCCAAGGAGCCTGTATCTGCAGCTGCACCTGCACCAGGGAGAAACAACAGTCAGATAGCCTCTGGCCAAAACCAGGGCCAGGCAGCTGCCAGCTCCCACCAGCTCTCCGTGGGCCCACCTCACAATGCCGCAGGGCCCAGCCCGCATACGCTGCGCAGAGGTAAGCAGCCACCCTCCTCCTTGCCCTCAGGGAAGGATGTGCAGACCTCCTTCAGTTAGTGCAAGGATTCAGATGGTGAGGCTTATGACTGTATCTTTTCTGTGTCTGTTGTAAAATGGCAAGCAGAAAATTTAAATTCAGTCATTTAAAAGAAAAGTCATTAAAGAAAAAGGAAAAAATAGAGAACAGAAAAGCAGACATTTTAAAAAGTGTTTTTCCTTAGGCTTTACAAAGCTTAACAAAAAATGACTTCTGCAGAAATGCTCCCAGTTTTCCTGGCGTCCCAAGCCCTTGCTGTTTACAGACCACCACAGGCTCTGTACTTCTCAGCTTTGTGGGTCTGGGAGCCACTGTTGCCTCAGAATTGGGGTGAGAGCTTTCTAGGTCCTGATTAACAGAATCTGAACTGCTCCAAGCTGTCTCCCCTGCAGTCCTCCAGCCAGCAGCCAGGGAAATTGCTTTAAAACTCCAAGCAGATTGTGCCATCTCTTGGTTAAACTCTTCAGTGGCTTCCGTGAAAACGTCTCACCCTGGGTTTTCTGTGCTCTGGTGGGGCCTCCCTCTGAACCCAGAGCTTACACTCCCCTCTCTCAGGACACTCTGCTCTTGGTTCCTTTAATGCACCAAGCTCATCCCCTCCTTAGGGCTTTCAGAACTTTCTGTCCCGTATCTTCACATGGTTTCTTCTTACCATTCAGATCTCACCTCAAAAATCACTTTTTCCAGCTGGGTGTGGTGGCTCACACCTGTAACCCCAGCACTTTGGGAGGCCAAGGCAGGAAGATTGCTTGAGGCCAGGAGTTGGAGACCAATCTGGTCAACATAGTGAAAGCCCATCTCTACAAAAAATTTTTTAAAAATTAGCTGGGTGTGGTGACACGCCTATAGTCCCAGCTACCCGGCAGGCTGAGGCAGGAGGATCACTTGAGCCCAGGAGGTCGAGCCTGCAGTAAGTTATAATGCACCACTGCACTCCAGCCTGGACAACAGAGTGATACCCCATCTCTAAAATAAAGAAGAGAGGCCAGGTGCAGTGGCTCACACCTGTAATCCCAGCACTTTGGGAGGCTGAGGTGGGCAGATCACTTGAGCTCAGGAGTTTGAGACCAGCTGGCCAACATGGTGAAACTCCGTCTCTACTAAAAGTACAAAAATTAGCCAGGCGTAGTCCCAGCTACTCAGAGGCAGGAGAATCACCTGAACCTGGGAGGCAGAGGTTGCAGTGAGCCAGGATCATGCCACTATACCCCAACCTGGCGAACAGAGCAAGACTCCATCTCAAAAGAACAAAAGAATTAAATTCACAGTGTCTGTCTATGAAAGCATGGTCTTTATAAAGCACTACACAAATGTTAGTGGAATTTCTACAAATTATAGGCAGGAGGGCAAATTCGGGTCTCCTGCTTCGTTGCAGACCCCCACTTTATCCTTCTTAAGGCTGCCTCTCTGGGCCACTGTCACCTTAATCAGGATCTCAGCTGATTGTTGAGGGAAGTTAGTCTTCTGTACCTGGATTCCAGATGAGAGTCTGGTTTTGGATTAACAAGACTGTTTTCCACATAGTCACATTCAGAGTCTTTCCTGCTTCCTGAAATCACAGCTCCCAGGCTTCTTTGCAGGATGAGTTTGATTTTTGTTTGCCTTCCCCACCACCCAGCACCTCTAAGGTGGTCTCAGACCAGGCCTCCCTTTCTCCCAGCCCCCTCCCCGACCCTCTGCTCCCATGCTCCCTCCCCTAATCCTCTTCACACCCTTAAATGTCAGGAACCATCTTTTATTCAGTAGGCATTTATAATTAGTACTGCTTAGAACAGAAAGCTAGACTTTTAAAAACGCTGATGGCAATCTGGAGTAGAGCTAATGTAAGCTGGTTGGTGGTTTCTGTGGGAAAAGATCCTGAGTTCCAGAGTTGAAAGTTCAGACGAGTATAGCAGAGTAGACTTTACCCTTTTTTCTATTTTTTTTCTTTCTTAGGTTTTTTCAGAAGGAGGGTCTTTTTCTGACACCCATGCTGGAATACAGTAGCATGATGCTGGAATGCAGTAGCTCACTGCATCCTCCAGCCACTGGACTCAGGTGATCCTCCCACTTGGGCTTCTCAGAGTGCTGGTACCACAGTCACGTACCACCATGCCTGGCCACTTTGTTTTGTTTGTTTGTTTGTTTGAGTTGGGATCTCATTATGTTGCCCAGGCTGGTCTTGAGCAATCTTCCTACCTCAGCCAGTCACATTGCTGGCATTACAGGTGTGAGCCACCAAGACTTTACCCTTTTTAATCCTGAATTCTGGGTCCGGAAACAGGCAGCCAGGGAATGGAGGAAGGAGGAAGAGGAAAAAGCATCCAGGGAGTCCACATGTCATGGGTGGAGTCTCAGTTCTGCCCCTTAATTGCTATGTGACCTGTTATCTAGAACATTGGCCCTCTTCAGGCCTCAGTTGTCTTCTCCCTGAAAATGGGGATAACAGTGCTTGCCCTGCAATGAGCTTATGAGACTTAAATGAGATAAAGTATGTAAATTATAATGTGCATAATTTATGTAAAATGACTTACCTTGGTACTGGTGATATGTGAACAGTGAAACATGTTCATTTCTTCATTTCCTTCTCTTTTTCTTGGGGAACCAGTACGATCTTATCGGAGTATGAAAAAGGCTAAAGTCTCTCGTTTCTGCCTACCTTTCCCAGCCCCAAACCAGAGCCCCAGATCTGTCGTTTTCCTTCCTGCCCTCAGTACCAGGTTGCCATCCCTAATCTCAGCTGGTGTAGGGAGGAGAGAGTGATGTGATTCAGCTCTCATTAGAGAAATAATCCTAAGGCAACTCCCAGTTTTATTCATGCTTTTGTCCAGGACATATGTGTTAACTCAAATGGTTCCAGAATTGGTTAATTCTAATAAATTAACCAATTCTGGGATTAGAATTTTATTAGAATTGGGAATTCTAATAAAACCAATCAAACTCTCAAGGAGAAGGTGGCTTGGGGACAGGGGTCATGTTATGTCAGGGTGAACCAATCATCCTTGGTGGTCCCTTCTGGATGTTCTTGCCTCTTTCTTTGTCTTCCCATGGGTTCCTAATGAGGAGGCTGCTAAGTGGGCTGAGGGCAGCACTTCCATGTTGGTGGAGTGGCCTCTGTTAACAGTTTTCTTTTTCTTGAACTTTCAAAATAAAATTCCTTTACAGCCCTTTCAGATGTTCATAATGTACTTAATTTTTAAAATAAACTTACTAGTTTGGAGTAATTTTGAATTTATAGGAAAGTTGCAAAGCTAATGCTGAAGTTCCCATACACCCCTCACCCAGTTTCCTCTGTTGTTAATATGTTACATGACCATGGAACCTTTATCCCAGCTCAGAAATCAACATTGGGCCATTCCCCTTTTTTTTTCTCTTTTTGAAATGGTCTTGCTCTGTTGCCCAGGCAGGAGTGCAGTGGTGTGATCACAGCTCACTGCACCCTTCAACTTCCCGGGCTCACATGATCCTCCCACCTCAGCCTCATAAGTAGCTGAAATTACAGGTGCATGCCACCATGCCCAGCTAATTTTTCTATTTTTTTGTAGAGATGGGGTTTTGCCATGTTGCCCAGGCTGGTCTTGAACTCCTGCACTCAAGTGATCCACCCTCTTTGGCCTCCCAAAGTGCTGAGATTACAGGTGTGAGCCATCACACCTTGTGGTTCATTACCATTAACCAGACTCTACATTTTGTTCAGATTTCCCTAATTTTCCCTCTTTTAGTCTCCTGTGGTCTGTGACATGTTCTCTGTCTTTCTGTGATTTTCTGTGGCCTCGATGGTTTTGGAGAGTACTGGTCAGGCATTTTGAAGAAAAGCCCTCAATTTGTTTGTTAGATGTTCTTCTGATGGTTAGACTGGAGTTACGGGTTTTGGGGAGGAAGACACAGTGTGGTGCCTTCCTGACCGCCTCTCATCAGAGGCATGTGATGTTGCTGTGGCTTATTACTAGTGAGGTTAAATTTGGTCTCCAGGCCAGGGTAGTGTTGGTTTTGGTTGCTGCCTGACTGTTCCTACTGAAAGGTGTCTTTTCCCTCTTTGTGCAGCTGTTAAAAAACCCGCTCCAGCACCCCCGAAACCAGGCAACCCACCTCCTGGCCAACCTGGGGGCCAGAGTTCTTCAGGAACATCTCAGCATCCACCCAGTCTGTCACCAAAGCCACCTACCCGAAGCCCCTCTCCTCCCACTCAGCACACAGGCCAGCCTCCAGGCCAGCCCTCCGCTCCCTCCCAGCTTTCAGCACCCCGGAGGTTCTCCAGTAGCCTGTCTCCAATCCAAGCTCCCAATCACCCACCGCCGCAGCCCCCTACGCAGGCCACGCCGCTGATGCACACCAAACCCAATAGCCAGGGCCCTCCCAACCCCGTGGCATTGCCCAGTGAGCATGGACTTGAGCAGCCATCTCACACCCCTCCCCAGACTCCAACCCCCCCCAGTACTCCGCCCCTAGGAAAACAGAACCCCAGCCTGCCAGCTCCTCAGACCCAAGTTGGGGGTAACCCTGAGACTGCACAGCCACATGCTGGAACCTTACCGAGACCGAGACCAGTACCAAAGCCAAGGAACCGGCCTAGTGTGCCCCCACCCCCCCATCCTCCTGGTGTCCACTCAGCTGGGGACGGCAGCCTCACTAACACAGCACCAACAGCTTCCAAGATAGTAACGGGTAAGTAGGAAATCAATGTTCATATTTCCCCGTCTGCTCTACATTACTTTTGTACTACTCCATTTTGATTTATGGCAGGTGTCAGCAGACTACATGTGCAAGCCAAACCTGTCTTGCAGCCGGTTTTTGTCATTAAAGTTTTATTGGAACACAGCTATACCCATTGGTTAACAAATTGTCTATGGCTGTGTTTGTGCTAAAACAGCAGACTTGGGTAGTCGTGACCAGAGATCATATGGCCCACAAAGTTGGAAACATTTACTACCTGGTCCTTTAAGTTTGCTGACTCCTGATGTTTTTAAGACCGATATACATTTACATTTTTCTAAACATAATGACTTTTAATCCAGGTGGAAGATGCTTTACAACATGAGCATGAACTTGATTTCTTAGTGAATTTCTCATTAAAATGCTTAAAGAGTACTTCTAAGTACTTCTAAGAGTAAAAATGTTCATATTAAGTACAGAATTTCAAGTGTAAATTTAAAAAACATAATTTATGCCAAATTGAATGCTCCAAAAGGGAGATCTCAGGACACAGTCATATCAGAGTGCTGGCCTCTAATGGCTTAGGAGGGAAGAGGCAAGATTTCCCTGTAGACCCAGTGGGAACCTGTTTTGAAGGTGGTGGTGACTGTGCAGGCTTTCGTGGACTGTGTAATGGTATATTTTTTATAGTCTAGAACATGACCGTTTTATTTAATTCTGATTTCAAAAATATTTCCATCCCAAATGCTCTAATTTACTGTTTAATTAAGGATGGATATTGGATTTTTTAGTATGGTAATTAGGGGCCTCAAATTATTTTTTAAAGCAGCCTAGTTTAAATTGTTCTAAGTGGAGGACTTTTGGAAAAGAAGCTGAAATATACCTTGGGCCTTTCCAACCATATTGAGTGACTTTGCAGCTGAAAATGTGCTAAAGGTTTCTATTAACCCAGAGGGTGACGGTTAACTGATTCTAAAAATATCTTTCAAAAACTGTTTTTCAGGAATATAATGCATAATTTGCACGTTATAAATGGTTGATAACTTTTTTTCTGATGACATCAAGAGCTGGATTTTATTTTGAAAACAGCAAAGCCATGTTGGTTTCTTTGTTTGTTTCCCAATAGATGCCCTTCCTAGTGCCCTCACAGGTGGGGAAGGTTTCCAGGACTAAGGTCTGTAACAACCCTGAGCAGCCTGCACCACAGCTCCAAATGCTCCTGCTTAGCTGTGTTCCGCATATGTGCTTTTGACCGTGTGCTCAGGAACAGCCGTTTGACCCTGTGCCCGGACAGCCAATGGGCCGTCCATTCTGTAGCATGTAGACGTTTCTTTATTTTTATCAGAAGCACTTTGAGCTGCAGTGCTTCTAATTCAAGGAGTAGATGTCAGTAAATCAAGAGCCTGATTTCAAGCCACTCAGCTGAGAGTATCTTCTTTCTTAGGGTCAGGCGCAGTGGCCCATGCCTGTAATCCCAGTACTTTGGATGGCTGAGGCAAGAGGATCATTTGAGTCCAGGAGTTCGAGACTGCAGTGGGTAGTGATTATGTCACTGCACACTGCATTCTATCCTGAATGACAGAGTGAGACCCTGCTTCTTTAAAAAAAAAAAAAAAAAAAAGGAATATCTTCTATATTTTTGGTGAGCCTCTTACCAGCATTCTGCTCTTCCCAGTGTGATTTACCTGTCACTGATGGGCTCACCATCCTCCAACCAAAGAGGACCCAGGTGCAGTCAGCATGGGAGGAAATTGTGTCCTTTGTGTCTTGAGCTTTAATTTTAAATTTTTGTATCTTAAGTGCAAGGTAACTGCATGGAGCTTCTTAATTTGATATTTTAAATTCTCAAGACTAAACAATTAAAAAAATCTTCCCCTGAATACTACTGAATTCTTTTAAATTCCTTTGCGTTCTAGCATACTTACATTTTGCTTTATTAAACCATACGAGCTTTTCAAAAGGCACTGTGAGCTCATCTAATTCTGCCGTTGGGTCTCCATGTGGACAGCATAAGGCCCTCATTATGTGTACAGCTGCTTTAATCAGCTGACCTGAGCCTTACGCCTGTTGTGGGCCCCTTAGCCAGAGTGCTCACAGCTTAGGTCTGAGTAAGACTTTCTGTAGGAACCAGAAGTGGAAAACCAGAGTGTAGCCTTCAAAACAGGGAGGAGTCCTGGGTGTGATTCCACAATTTCATGCTAGTGACACACCAAAATGTTATTCTCAGATGTTTCTTTTTGTTTAAAGAAAGACTGCAAACCAGAATTATTACCTGGGGTATATTTATTCTAGAATGTTATTTTACTGATCTGCTACAACACTGTAATGTACTGCCTATAATTATTAGATAAGTGAAATTTTACATTAAAAATATGTTTTCCTAAGATATTAGCTATTTAAAAGCCAATCTATGTTATAAATTCTCCTAACTCAAGAAATTCCAGGTCACCACAGTTATCTTTGTATTACAGAATTAACCTATACTATCTTAAATCCCCTGGCCTGCCATTGGAAGTACACAAAAGGCCAACATTTAGAATTTTTGAATCTGCTAGTGTTGATCATGTTGCTATTAACCATTCTTGGATATAGCCATTGGATTTTCCAAGGAGGAAAAGAAATATAACTTCCTTGGACAGGATGGTCCTTTATTATGGCATAATGTTTTCACTTAGAAAACTTTAGATGGACAGATTCCTGAAAACAGGTTATTCCTTTAGAGTTGGATTAAGTTAGAGTTTTAAAGAGTTGGGTTAAGGCTAATGGGATTAAGAGAAACTTTTAGGGGAGATTATTGCTGCCAAGCAGGTTTGGCAACCAGCTTCTCACAGCTCAGCACCAGCACTGGAGGATGCCAGGGTTCTGGCATCATTTTGATTCTCCTGTTAATTGTGAATCTGGAGAGCAGTAAGACTTTTAATTCCCATGTAAAAGAGTTTACATCTGCTATTTTTGAAGTAATAGATTTTAGCAAAGAGTATTCTAATTTAAACATTTTATTAAATAATTTAGATGTATGATCCGCCATATTCAGTAAGAACTGAGATTGGAATATTTAATGGTAAGGAAAAGGCACCTGATTGGCCAATGCATTTTTGCTACTTGATCATATTTGTGCACTCATGCCTGTTACTAACCGGCCACCCTAACCCTGCCTGCTTGCATCCCTACTAATAGTGCATGCACTGAAGGAGGACTGGCTTTGTTGATGCTTGCTGCAATCATTCAGAATACTAAGTGTGTGCCCAGACGTGTAACAGGTGGTCACAGGGCTGGCCTTGTTACTTCCTTAATTACCATTCTTTTCTATATCAGGCAGGCTTGAAATATGGTAGAAAAAACATATATCATGGAGTCGGATCTGACTGAGTTAGAATTTCAGCTCTTGGTATAACATTGGTGTTACATGAGCCACCATGCCCAGCCTATTTATCTTTTTTTTTTTTTTTTAAGATGTAGTCTTGCTGTGTCACCCAGGCTGGAGTGCAGTGGCACGATCTCAGCTCACTGCAACCTTTGCCTGCCAGGTTCAAGCGATTCTCCAGCCTCAGCCTCCCAAGTAGCTGGGACTACAGGCTCATGCCACCATGCCGAGCTAATATTTTGTATTTTCAGTGGAGACGGGGTTTCACCATGTTAGCCAGGATGCCCTTGATCTCCTGACGTCGTGATCTGCCTGCCTTGGCCTCCCGAAGTGCTGGAATTACAGGCATGAGTCACTGCACCCAGCCACTATTTATCATTTTTATCTAGAAGATAATAGTTTTAATCAGAGATATATTAGAGTCACATGTCAGGGTTTTAAAAACTCAAATGCCCCCACCTGGCCTTCTAGGACCCAAACTCAGGAGATTAGGGATATGGCCCAGGTGTCCATATTTTGATTGAGTTGCACCACTTGGCTTTTTGAATCTCAGTTGTTTCGTGGGTTAAAAAGACAGTGCTCTGCAGAGGAGTTAAGAAATACATTCATAGAATTTAGCCTGAGAAAGTCTGTGAGGTGGTAGTCCACTGTACCACAGACAGACCAAATCACTCACATAATAGCCATAAGCCTGGACACTTTGCTGGCTAATTTCATAGGAGTGTTTGCTTTTTAAACTCTCACCCTTCTTATGTCATGAAAGTAATGCCTTTTTAAAAATAAGCATGAGTGGGGCACAGTGGCTCATGCCTGTGATCCCAGCACTTTGGGAGGCTGACGTGGGCAGATCACTTGAGGTCAGGAGTTCGAGACTAGCCCGGCCAACACTGCGAAACCCTGTCCCTACTAAAAATACAAAAAATTAGCTGTGTGTCATGATGGGCGCCTGTGATCCCAGCTACTTGGTAGGCCGAGGTAGGAGAACCATGTGAACCTGGGAGGCGAAGATCACAGTGAACCAAGATCGTGCCACTGTACTCCAGCCTGGGTGACAGAGTGAGACTCCATCTCAAAAAAATAAAAATAAGCATGGATATTAAAACTCTTGAGAAATGGAAATAAGAAGAAATCAACTGTAGCTATACAGTTGAAGAAGTCTATCATTTATATTCCACTTTTTTCCTTTTAGTTTTTCTAAAAGGCATGAGGTGCATGATCATAATTATTTGACATATACAGACTTGGATCCTGCATTTTATCTTACTTTACATCATATGCTCTTTCTCATGTGATAATGTATTTTTAGAACTATCTTTTTCAGTGACTACATGTTTCATCAAGCAGGTGTATTATTACTCCTAGTTGGATATTTAAATGGCTTCTTTTTCTACTTGCAGTTTATTTTTAACAAGTAGATATCATAAGTTTCTCATAGCCCTAGAAAACTGCTGAGAAATCATCAGTACCTGATAAAATTACAAAAATTTACTTTGACCAAAGAGGATCAAAGCCAGATTAGTTAGACTGTCATTCTTCTACTTACTTGTTTTATGTATGTTTTGCTCTGTCCCTCCCGGGCTGGAATACAGTAGTGCAATCTCAGCTCACTGCAACCTCTGTCTCCCGGGTTTAAGGGATTCTCTTGCCTCAGCCTCCCAAGTAGCTGAGATTACAGGTGGGTGTGGCAGCACCCAGCTAATTTTTGTATTTTTAGTAGAGATGGGGTTTCGCCAGGCTGGTTTCGAACTCATAGCCTAAAGTGATCCGCTCGCCTTGGCCTTCCAAAATGCTGGGATTACAGGCATGAGCCACCACACCCAGCCCCATCATTCTTAATCAGCCTAGCATTTTCCGTCTTTCCCAAAAGAGTTTTGTATGTCCTTGGGTGAGGATCCTGAAGGTGAAGACATTATCTGAGTAAATAGTGGTTTGGGTCTTAAACATTCTGGTTTATTGTAAAAAGGAAAAAAAGGTTGTTTTAGAAAGATATCCTTTAGAGCTTGCTTCCCCCCCCGCCCCCAACAGAGTCTCACTCTGTCACCCAGACTAAAGTGCAGTGGTGTGATCTTGGCTCACTGTAACCTTCACCTACCAGGTTCAAGTGATTCTCCTGCCTTAGCCTCCTGAGTAGCTGGGACTACAGGCATGTGCCATCATGCTTGGGTAATTTTGTATTTTTAGTAGAGATGAACCATGCTGGTCTCAACTTGTGACCTCAGGTGATCCACCTGCCTCAGCCTCCCAAGGTGCTGAGATTACAGGCATGAGCCACTGCACCCGGCCAGAACCTGCTTTTTAAAAGTACCCTAAGCCCTCTTTGGTTGTAAATTTATATATTTTCTGCCTTCCAAGGGCTGGTTTTTGATGATATTGCTTGGGACTAAGTTCATACAATAGATGTTTTATTTAAAAAAACAAAACAAAACAAAAAAAACAAGAGAGGCCAAGTGCGGTGGCTCACGCCTGTAATTCCAGCACTTTGGGAGGCCAAAGTGGGCCGATCACAAGGTCAGGAGTTCGAGACCAGCCTGACCAACATGGCGAAACTCCATCTCTATTTAAAAAAAGAAAGAGAGAGAGACCTCCGATAAAAGATTTTTTGTTTTGTCTGTTTTTTGTTTGTTTGTTTTGTTTTGTTTTGATTGAAATATACCTGTCTTGTAAACTTAGCTCCAAGCAGTATGCTCAAAGACCAGCCCTTCTTGGAATGCAAATAATACATAAATTTATAGCCAGAGAGGTTTAGAGGTGTTTAAAGAAAAACCAGATTCTTACAGGTGTCTTTCTAAATTAAACTTTATTTTTTACACAATCAGCCAGAATGTTTTAAGACTCAAACCATTAACTGGTGAAGGAAGCCATTCCCTGAGACGCTAGGTTTGAGAAGAAGAGGGATGGTGGTGGGGAGGGGGAGTTCATTCATCCTGCAGTTGTGCCTGTACCACTTAATTTCAAGGGCATATTTGGATCTGTTACTTGTCAAAGTGGCTGTCAGAATGACCTTGGACTTCTCGAAGAGGTGGGTTTACAACTGGAAGCACATACTCAAAATTGTTGAAGTAATAAGTAAATCTTCTAGAACCATACTCTTAATGATAACATTCCACTTCTAGCTCTTAAATGTCCACTTCTGTTTCCTGGATAAGATATTCAGTTCAGGAGGGAACCTGGGTTACATTTGTCAGAGCCCCAAATCTGTTCTGCCTTTGGGCTGAGGCTTGTTACTGGAAGTCATCCTCTGTTTTTCTTTTTTCTTTTTTTTTTTAAGAGACAGGGTCTTGTTCTGTTGCCCAGGCAAGAGTACAGCCACGTGATTATAGCTCACTGCAGACTTGACCTCCTAGGCTCAAACGATCCTCCCCAGTAGCTGAAAGGTGGGGCTAGAGGCATGCGCCACCACACCTGGCTAATTTTTGTATTTTTTTGTAGAGACAATCTCGTGTTGCCTGGGCTGGTCTCGAACTTCTAGGCTAATACCATCATCCCACCATGCCCAGCCTGTTTTGTTTTTTTAGATACAGTATCTGTTGTATGAATTTAGCTCCAAGCATATGCTCAAAAGCCAGCCCTTGAAGTGCAGATAATATACAAGTTAGTAGCCAGAAAGATTTAGAGGTCTTTCAGACAAGCCAGGTTCTTAACAGGTGTCTTTCTAAAACAGCCATCTTCTCCTTTTTACAGCATACCAGAGTGTTTAAGACTCAAACAATGATCTCCTCAGATAATGTCTTTGAGGACCCTCACCCAGGGATTTACAGACTCCTCTTGCGGAGGAAGGAAAATGTAATGTGAAGAACCAGAGTTCAACCAAACTGGCTTGGATCCTTTTTGGTCCATACTGGCTGTGTCACTTTGGGCAAGGAATAGAGCTTCTGAGTCTCCCTTTCTTATTTCTGCAGCCTTAGGGTTAATGAGGATTCAGTGAAACTGTGTGATAAAGTGTGGGTGTATGGTACAGTCTCCGGTGTAAGTAAGTGCTCTCTAATAATGTCAGCTATCAAGGCTGGGCATGATGGTTCATGCTGGTAATCCTAGCACTTTGGGAAGCCAAGGTGGGAGGATTGCTTACGGCCAGGAGTTCAAGACCAGCCCAGTCAACATGGTGAAAATACAAAAATACAAAAGAATCTCTACCAAAAATACAAAAGAATTAGCCAGGCCTAGTGGCATGTGCCTGTAGTCCTAGCTAATCAGGAGGCTGAGGTCGGAGGATCACTTGAACCTGGGAGGTGGAGGCTGCAGTGAGCCAAGATGCACAACTGTGCTCCAGCTTGAGCAACACAGTGAGACCCCATCTCAAAAAATTGTTTAGGCCGGGCTTGGTGGCTCACACCTGTAATCCCAGCACTTCGGGAGGCCCAGGCAGGTAGATCACGAGGTCAGGAGTTCAAGACCAACCTGGCCAACATGGTGAAACTCCGTCTCTACTAAAAATACAAAAATTAGTGGAGGTGCAGTGGCACACATCTGTAATCCCAGTTAGTCGGGAGGCAGAGGCAGGAGAATCACTTGAACCCGGAAGGCGGAGGTTGCAGTAAACCGAGATTGTGCCATTACACTCCAGCCTGGATGACAAAGCAAGACTCAATCTCAAAAAAAAAAAAAAAGAAAAATTTTTTAAATGTTAGCTATTGTGATGAAGTCTCCTTCTGAAAACTGGTTCTATGCAAGTTGCCATCATTCTTTCTACTTTTTGTATGTAAACAAATTCATTGTTTTCTTTCAGGGAGTGATTCATGTAGGAATAGAGAGGGGCTGGGGAAACCAGATGGGGCAGGTGGGAAGCAGAGGAAGGGATTTCCTTTACACCCAACCACACGTTTCTCCCCCTTCAGTAAACAATGTGTTTGGATCATAAATAGAAAAATTCAGAGAGGCACAAATCTAGAAATTATCTGTTATGTATGAGAAAAAGAGAAAGAGCAGCTGTGGAAGGGCTTGCTGGCTGATAGCGTTAGCTCACCTGTGAGTACAGATATTAACAAGTAGAAATCTCATCCGTATGCACGGTACCTTTGAATCATGCATTCCTCGCCAGGTCATGTCTGTTCCATAGTTTCTGGTAAACTTAGGGCTGAGAAGAGATACAGGCTGGTAGCTCCTTGTGTTTTGTTGGGCCAGGATAATAGGGAAAGGATTGCCTTTGCAGTAATTTTCTTATACTAGTGTCGTCTTCAAGTCACAGCTACTTCTTTGCCTAAGGATGTAAGAACAGAGCATTGGAAAGATGGTTGCTCTAGATGACTTCATTCATTCATCCAAACATCAAAGCTACAAAATTTATTGAACATATGCTATTTGCCGGTCACTGTTTCAGGTACTGAGGACACTCTGTAAGCAAGACAGACACAGTCCCTGTCTTCGTTGACTTCCATTCTGCTTAGGACAAACCCAAGACATCGCCTATTCTGTACACACAGGCCACCTTTACTGCACTGTAGGCTGGTGCAATTCTGCGCAGTATAATTGGTTTTATAGTTATCACAAGGCCTGAATTGTCTGAAATGACATTTAGCACCTGAATTCCTTGACACCTTGGTACCTCCATAAATCTAGAAATTTCTGTGGGTTGTGTGCATAGGAAACCTTGAGGGACAACCCAGAAGTCACTGTGAGAAAAAGGATGCCCCAGAGAGTAAATAGATGTCACAGCTCAGAACTGTAGAGACAGGAGGGTGGAAGGGATGGGAGCTAGAACAAGTCTTCAGGCAGTGAGCTCCCCCAAAGTGCATCAGCGTTTTCAAGCTGTGCCTGTGTAGATGGGAGTAGATCAAACAGAAATACAGTCAAAACTAGCGCCTGGCAAGGACAGACACCTTGTCACTTTGCACCACAGCAAGTAGGGGAAAAGCAGCTCTGGAGCCTAACTGCGAAATGCCCCAGGAAGCCCACCTCCTCCTCTTGTTCCCTTACTGCTGCCTGCCATAGCTACCTCTAACCCAGCAAAGCAAAACCACAGTACATCAAAACATCTCTCTTCTCTCTTACAGCAGTTTCGAGGAGAGACCTCTTCCTAGGGCAGCCCAGGGGCCATCAGGAGGGTTCATCTCATCATTAGAGGCCTTGATAAAAATGAGGCTTCCTTTCCTCCATCAAAGCAAGCAAATCCTTTGAAAGCTGCCTCTCTACAGGCTGCCCTGGGCTCATAGCCAACAACATCAGAGCCTGGAGGTGGGGCTGTACCACTCAGCCACCCTCTGGGATCTCAAAGGCTCCACTTGGCTTCTAAGGGCTGATGAGGGCCTCTCGCAAGGGACTCTGTGTGCATGGGCTGACTTTGAAACTTCCCAGCCTCTCTCCTTCTCAGAGCACCCTCAGATGGCCTCTTGGGCGTTAACCCTTCATTGATATCATGTCTTCTCGTGTTTTTGTCCAGACGCCAATTCCAGGGTTTCAGAACCACTTCAAAGCATCTTTCCTGAAATGCACTCAGACTCAGCCAGCAAAGACATGCCTGGCTGCATCCTGCTGGATATAGACAATGATACCGAGAGCACCGCCCTGTGAAAAACGCCACCTCCCAGCCCTTCACCCCGTCCACCTTGGCAAATGGAGCAGGGGAAGGCAAACCTCTTTCTTTGCAGACCAAACAGTGAAAAGCTTTCAGTGGAGGACAGAGGAGGGCCTCACTGTGCGGGACTTGGCCTTCTGCACGGCCCAAGGAGAACCTGGAGGCCGCCACTGAAGCTGAATGACCTGTGTCTTGAAGAAGTTGGCTTTCTTTACATGGGAAGGAAATCATGCCAAAAAAAAAAAAACCAAAACAAAACAAAACAAAAAAAACAGAGAAATACCTGGAATGGAGAGAGTATTCCTGCTGAGATGTGCATCGGAAGCTTTTGTCTCTGCTCCGAATGCGGGCAGCACCTACAGCAACTTGGAATGAGTCAGAAGCAGTATGTTAACTATTTAATAAAATGCGCTCATTATGCAAGTCGCCCACTGTCTGCTACCTGGACCTTCATTCTTATGTATCAGGAGGGAGGCACTTCTCCTTCAGACTTGCTGCAGAATCATTTTGTATCATGTATGGTCTGCGTCTCCCCAGTCCCCTGAGAACCATGCACATGGATGGTGACTGCTGGCTCTGTCACCTCGTCAAACTGGATGTGACCCATGCCGCCTCGTTGGATTGCCGGAATGTAGACAGAAATGTACTGTTTTCTTTTTTAAACAGTGTAATTGCTACTTGATAAGGACCGAACATTATTCTAGTTTCATGTTTAATTTGAATTAAATACATTCTGTGGTTTATATGAAAACTATAATTCTTGCAGACAAATTGTGGAGAGTATGTGTGTACGTGTGTGTGTGTGTGTGTGTGTGTTGTCACTCAACCAAATAGAATTGTGGCTGGAACATCTTGGAAGAGAGGGTCTAAGTGTAGCTGTAGGAGTTTGAAGAAACAGCCACGTCACAGCAGTGAAAAAGGCCACCAGGTGCCCCAGAAACCTCTTAGCCTGGCCATCTCTTAGCACGTGGGTTCTGGTCAAGGCTGCATCCTTGGTCCTCTTGTCCTGGCATCCCTTTCTTTCCATCTAGAGATACTCAGACTTCAGGAGCCACTCACAGGAGCTCAGCCCCACTGGGTTGGTGCATTCATCAGCAGCTGTGAATTGCCATGGAGAGCCCCTTTACCAATGACTGATTGCTTTCGTGCCCTATCCAAGGCATGAAAATCATCCCATCTCTCCCAGGATTGAAATACTAGGGAAGAGCCGATGGGGAATTGGAGCGAAGTGAGGCTGAGGCCCTGGACGGCTGGTCTCATGATAGCACCTTCCCGGTGACCCAGATAAGACCATTTTCTCTTGGCAACAGAGCGGGACACACGCTGCCAGAGTTGGCTGCCCTGAGCCCTCTATTGATGAAGTTTGCTAGGTGTGTCTGTCTGCTCCCTCCGTAGAAGACATTGGACCTCTTTCCACTATGAACTGACTTAAGCCTGATTTTAAAAGGGCAACCACATTTTCCATTTAGTTGTTTTTTTTTTTTTAATAGCTCTAACTCTGTGGCCCAGGCTGGAGTGCAGTGGCACAATCAACTCACTGCAGCCTCCAAACTCCTGGGCTCAATCCTCCCAACTCAGCCTCCCAAGTAGCTGAGACTACAGGTGCATGGCAATATACCCAACTAATATTTAAATAATTTTTTTCTAGAGACAGGGGTATTGCAATGTTGCCTAGGCTGGTCTTAAAATACTGGCCTCAAGCAGTCCTCCCACTTCAGCCTCCGAAAGTGCTGGAATTACAGGCATGAGCGACCATGCCCAACCCACATTTTCATCTGTACTGTTTGCTCTGCCCTCAAAGTACTCCCTATTATTAATTACCTTGAAATTACCTTCTTATTAATTAGGTAATAACTACCTTATTAATTATCTTGAAAATATGCTCCTATAAGCCCATTTTTTGAGATAGCGTTTTGCTCTTTTTGTCCAGGCCGAAGTGCAATAGCATGATCTCAGCTCGCTGCAACTTTTGCCTCCCAGATTCAAGCGATTCTCCTGCCTCAGCTTCCCATGTAGCTGGGCTTATAGGCACACACCACCAGACCCAGCTAATTTTTTTATTTTTAGTAGAGACAGGGTTTCACCATGTTGGTCAGGCTGGTCTTGAACTCCTGACCTCAAGTGATCCACCCGCCTTGGCCTCCCAAAGTGCTGGGATTACAGGCATGAGCCACTGTACCTGGCCTAGCCCAGTAGTTTGATGTTGCAGTGAGCTTGACCATGCCTCTGCATTCCAGCCTGGGTGACGGAGGGAGACCCTGTCTTAAAAAAAAAAAAAAAAAAGAAAACAGCTAAGTGTCATGTTGCAAATGGTCTATAAACACTTGGAAGCCTTGTGGTAAACAAAAGCTTTATTATTTTTTCTTTCATTTAAAAAATGGAGCATTGAAGAGAAACAGTTTGGACCCCTGGGTTCACCCCACACTAAGCAAAGTAGCCCCAGATAAAGATGGCACAGCTAACACAGAAAATGAGGTTGACATCCAGAAGGGTCTTCACCGAGGGGTTTTCTTCCAGGGAAACTATGGCGGGTTCTGCTCTGGCTGGGAGCTCTTCCTTGCCCTTGTCCTGTATTCCGCAGAGCCACAGGATGGCCTTCACCACTTTAGACTGCTTCCGGGTCACATCACCTAGCAAGAACCCAGCAAAAGAAGACCATAGAGGTGGTTTGTGTCTCCCAGAGACGTGAGAAGGGAACACTCACCAGGTGTGTTCAAGTGCTGGAATTACAGACATGAACCACCATGCCTGGCTGAAATCTTCCAAATTTTTTTTTGTTTGTTTGAGATGGAGTCTCACTCTCTCACCCAGACTGGAGTGCAGTGGCACAATCTCTGCTTACTGCAACCTCCACCTCCCAGATTCAAGCAATTCTCCTGCCTCAGCTTCCCAAGTAGCTGGCACTTCAGGCATGCACCACCATACCCGGCGAATTTTTGTATTTTTAGTAGGGATGGGGTTTCACCGTGTTGGCCAGGCTGGTCTTGAACTCCTGATGTTAGGTGATCCACCTGCCTCGGCTTCCCAAAGTGCTGGGATTACAGGCTTGAGCCACCGCGCCCGGCCAAAATCTCTCAATTTTTAAACGCTAATTCACATTTTATTAAAACTGTAGGTGGGCTAAACCAAAATATGTCTGCAAGCTGCCAGTTTAGCAGCACTAACAGAGAAGGCAAGTCATTTTCCTGTCTACCCACGTGGGGTGCATGAGGATGAAATGAACCATGTAGGCACTCAGCAAATGTTTGCTGTTAGTACCCATAGGAAGCTTCTGTTGAAAGTTATTAAAAACTCCTTTCCTATGGCTGGAGCGTGGGGACGGATCAGACACTGGAGCCAGAGGTTGTTAAAACTCCAAGTCTGCCCACTTTCCTGGCTGGTGATTTGATGGGGGGATGGGAAATCCCTTTAACATATAATGCTTCTCGCTGTAACGGAGGACAGAGGCTACTCACAGCTGTGGGTTTTAGACATGTTTTCTGGAACCATCTCCAACTGGACCCTGCTGCTGCTGGCCTCTGGCATCCCGTTGTGAGAGAGGTTAAGAGACAAAGGAGTTCCTGGTGGCCCTTGTTCCTTCTGGACCATGGGGTCATGACGAGTAAACCAGGTCAGGTGGCTGACCTAAGGAGCAGGGATGATGATGATATTTGTGGTGGAGGTGGGGGGGTTCCATCCTCTTCTCACACTCCCACCCCACACCCCACACTCAGCCTTTGTGTCTGAAGAATCTACTCCCAGCCCCACCCTCCCACCCCATCCTCTAACAAGCGTCACGTCCCTGTGCTCTTCAGCATCAGCGCACAGTTCCCCGACTCATTCCCATGTCTTTCTCTGATAAACCCCATCCTCGTGCTGCTGGGATGTGATTATCCCTCATTCTAATCCTCAGAGCTTAACCCTCACGCTAGAGTACTGCATAACCCCAGAATCAGTCGTTTGGGCTTATCCATTTCTCTGGCCACAGGGACTGAATTGGTTCATGGATGAGCATGTGTCCTAAGCTGACTCCATCAATGGGAATCTAGAATTTTGCTAGAAATTCTGGGATAGAAATGCTTGTGTTTACTTTTTTTTTTTTTTAAAGGGTCTTGCTTTGTCACCCAGGTGGGAGTACGGTGGCACAGTCATAGCTCACAGCGGCCTCAAACTCCTGGGCTGAAGCAATCCTCCTGCCTCAGCCTCCCTAGTAGCTGGGATTACAGGAATGAGCCATCACACCCTGCTAATTTTTTTTCTTTTTCTTTTCGAGACAGGGTCTTGCTCTGTCGTCCAGACTGGAGTGCAGTGGCATGGTCAGAGCTTACTGCAGCTTCAAGCTTCTGGGCTCAAGCAATCCTCCCGCTCAGCCTCTCTAGTAACTGAGATTATAGGCATGAGCCATCACTCCCTCCTAATTTATTTATTTTTTTTAAGAGATGGAATTTTACTATGTTGCCCAGGTTGGTCTTGAGCTCCTGGCCTCAAAGGGATCCTTCCACCTCAGCTTCCCAAAGTGCTGGGATAACAGACATGAGCCACTGCACCCTAGCCTTATGTTTACTTAATGATAGTAAAAGAGGATGATATATCTCTAGAAGCTACTGAGCTCCGTATGGGACCTAAGAATCGAAGCAGAAGTGAGAGATGGATTCTGATGACCTTTTCAGAGTCCTGAATCATCCTGCCCCTGAACCCCAACCCTGGACTTCTCAGCTTTTTGGACAGTCTCCTTCGCTTAAGCCACTTTGGGTCAGTTTTCTGTCACTTCCAACAAAAAGTCTCAGTGGATCTAGCCATCATTCCAAATGTACCATCTCCTTGGAGGGCGACTCTGTGAACCAGCTCACGGTGGAGACAGTGATGAGGGTGACTGTGGACAGGATCATGGAGAAGTAGAGGTAGTGAATGCTCTTCACCAGGACCGGGCGCTCATCTGGCTGGTCGCACCGAGGCTGCACGTAAATAAAGTCCAGGACCAGCCTAACCAAGCCCAGGAGCAGGCCCGAGATCAGGCCCCAGAAGGCACCCTGCAAAATCAGAACAAGATCATCTTAGAGATGCCAAGGGCTCTGGCCTCCAGGAACCTCAAGGAGCATCTCCAGGGCTTGTCTTTCTTGTGGCGGTCACTCCACATGTGGATCCGCAATTTGGAAAGGCTCTGCCCTACTTACCCATTTACCTTTAATAATCAATTACCAATAATTTACTAGCTCCCTCTTAATTTAGCTTCCCTGTTCAATAACAAAAAATGATGCATCGAGATACTTTTAAGAACCTCTGTCACCCAGGCTGGAGTGCAGTGGCACGATCTTGGCTCACTGCAACCTCCGCACCACCCAGGATCAGGAAATTCGCCTGCCTCAGCCTCCCAAATAGCTGGGATTACAGGCACACTCCACCACACCCAGCTAATTTTTGTATTTTTAATTAAAATGGGGTTTCACCATATTGGTCAGGCTGGTCTTGAACTCCTGACCTCGTGGTCTGCCCACCTTGGCCTCCCAAAGTGCTGGGATTACAGGTGTGAGCCACTGTGCCCGGCTGAGAACCTCTCTCTTTTTTTTTTTTTTCTTTTTTGAGACAGTCTCTCACTCTGTCACCCAGGCTGGGGTGCAGTGGCGTGGTCTTGGCTCACCGCAACCTCCACCTCCTGGGTTCCACTGATTCTCCTGCCTCAGCCGCAGAGCAGCTGGGATTACAGGCAGACACCACCATACCTGGCTAATTTTTGTATTTTTACTAGAGATGAGGTTTCACTATGTTGGCCAGGCTGGTCTCAAACTCCTGACCTCAAGTGATCTGCCCACCTTGGCCTCCCCAAGTGCTGGGATTCCAGGTGTGAGCCACTGCACCGGCCCTCTCATTGCTTTTTTGCAAAGTTCAGATAAACACCCTCCCTGTATCTTCCACCATGGAACACCCTGTTGACACCCAAGTCCAGCCTGTGTCATCCTCCAGTGCCCTCCCCTCCTATCCTGTCTCAGTCCTTAAGGGGCAGCACTTGGTTCTGGCATAGTGGGAGCTGTCCAGAGCTACCTTTTCGTTGGTCCTCTTCCAGAAACATCCCATGATGAAGACTACCGCCACGGGCGGCTGCAGGTAGGAGCTGATGGACTGGATGTAGATGAAGAGCTGGCCACCCTGGCTGGCCTGGACCACAGGGATCCAGAGGATGGAGACCAGGACCAACAGCATCACAAACACCCTGGTGCCAGCGAGAGGCACAAATTAGCATCATCTTCCCTAAACATTTACTCCTCTCTCTCTCTCTCTCTCTCTCTCTCTCTCTCTCTCTCTCTCTGTCTCTCTAAATAGCTAGGGTCTTGTTCTGTTGCCAAGGCTGGGGTGCAGTAGAGAGAGTATAGCTCACTGCAGCCTCCAACTCCTGGGCTCAAGTGATCCTCCTGCCTCAACCTCCCGAGTAGCTGGGACTACAGACACATGCCAACACTCCTAGCTTATTTTTATTATTTTAATTTTCTCTGTCTTTTCTCTCTCTCTCTCTCTCTTTCTTCCTTCCTTCCTTCCCTCTCTCCCTCCCTCCTTCCCTCTCGATCTCACTCACTCTCTCTCTCTCTTTTCTGAGACAGAGTTTCTTCCTATTGCCCAGGTTGGAGTGTAGTGGCGTGATCTCAGCTCACTGCAACCTCCGCCTCCCGAGTTCAAACGATTCTCCTGCCTCAGACTCCTGAGTAGCTGGGATTACAGGTGCCTGCTAGCATGCCCAGCTAATTTTTGTATTTTTAGTAAATACAGGGTTTCACCATGTTGGCCAGCTGATCTCAAACTCTTGACCTCGTGATCCACTCTCCTTGGCTTCCCAAAGTGCTGGGATTTCAGGTGTGAGCCACCACACCTGGCTGAGATAGTCTTGCTCTGTCACCTAGGCTGGAGTGCAATACTCACGGGAACCTCTGCCTCCCGGGTTCAAGTGATTCTCCTGCCTCAGCCTCCCAAGGGGCTGGGACTACAGGCACATGCCACCACGCCAAACTAATTTTTTTATTTTTAGTAGAGACAGGTTTTCACCATGTTGGCCAGGGTGGTCTCAAACTCCTGACCTCAGATCATCCACCTGCCTCAGCTTCCTAAAGTGTTGGGATTACAGGTGTGAGCCACCACACCAGCCTCTATTACTTTAGTTTTCATTTTATTTTCTTTTCCTTTCTTTTCTTTTGAGACGGAGTCTTGCTCTGTTGCCCAGGCTGGAGTGCAGTGTCGTGATCTCAGCTCACAGCAAGCTCCACCTCCTGGGTTCGAGTGATTCTCCTGCCTCAGCCTCCTGAGGGAATACAGGCACATGCCACCACGCCCGGCTGATTTTTGTGTTTTTGGTAGAGATGAGGTTTCACCATGTTGGTCATGCTGGTTTCGAACTCCTGACCTTGTGATCTGCCTGCCTTGGCCAAAGTGCTGGGATTACAGGCATGAGCCACCGCGTCCGGCCAATTTAATTTTGTATTCTTACTGAGACAGGGTTTCACTGTAACCCAGGCTGAAGTGCAGTGGCACGACCATGGCTCACTGCAGCCTCCATCTCCTAGGCTCAAGTAATCTTCTCACCTAAGCCTCCCAAGTAGCTGGGACTACAGGTGTGCACCATCATGCCCAACTTACATATATATATATATATATATATATATATATATATATATATATATATATATTTTTTTTTTTTTTTTTTTTTTTTTTTTTTTTTTTTTGAGACAGAGTTTTGCTCTTGTTACCCAGGCTGGAGTGCAATGGTGCGATCTCGGCTCACCGCAACCTCCGTCTCCTGGGTTCAGGCAGTTCTGCCTCAGCCTCCTGAGTAGCTGGGATTACAGGCACGAGCCACCATGCCCAGCTAATTTTTTGTATTTTTAGTAGAGATGGGGTTTCACCATGTTGACCAGGATGGTCTCGATCTCTCGACCTCGTGATCCACCCACCTCAGCCTCCCAAAGTGCTGGGATTACAGGCTTGAGCCACCGCGCCCAGCCTGTTTTTTTTTTTTTTTTTTTAAGAAATGACCATGTTTTCCAGGCTGGTCCTGAACTCCTGGCCTCAAGTGATCCACCCGCCTTGGCCTCCTAATGTGCTGGGATTACAGGTGTGAGCCACTGCACCTGGCCTTTTTATTTTTATTTTTTTGGAGATGGAGTTTCACTTTGTTCCTCATAATCATCTGAAACTCTTGGGCTCAAGTGGTTCTCCTGCCTCAGACTCTTAAAGTGCTGGAATTACAGATAGAAGCCACTGCTCCCAGCCTCTATCTTAAAAAAAGAAAAAAAAATATTTATTGAGGGGCTGGGAGTGGTGGATTATACCTATGGTCCCGGCTACTCCAGAGAGTCACTTGAGCCCAGGAGTTTGAGGCTGCAGTGAGCTGAGATCACACCACTGCACTTCAGGCTGGGTGATACAGAGAGAGACCTTTTCTCAACAAACAAAAACCATGTATTGAAGTATAATTTACATGCCATGAAATCCACCCAATGTACATGTGCCATCCAATGGCTTTTAGTAAATCTGTAGAGCTGTGCAACCATCACCAAACTCTAGACAGAACATCCATCACTCCAGAAAGCTTCTGGCACCCATTCACAGTTACTTCTGGCTCGCACCCTAAGCAACCACTTGTCTGCTTTCTGTCTCCATGGGTTTGCCATTTCTGGACATTTCCTATAAGTGGTATCATATGGTATGTGGTCTTTTGCATCTGATTCTTTCACTAAGCATAATGTTCGAAGTTTATCCACGTTGGAAGATGTGCTGGCATTTCATTCCCTTTTATTATTGAAAAGTATTCCATTGTCATGGATATACCATTGTTTATTTTTTGCCACTCGGTGGACATTTGGATTTTTCTATTTTCGGTTCTTATGAATAGTGCTTCTTCTTTAAAACATTTTTTTTAAATAAAGATGGGGTCTCACTATGTTGCCCATGCTGGTTTTAAGCTCCTGGGCTCAAATGATCCTCCCACCTCAGCCTCCTGAATAGCTGAGACTATAAGCACACACCAGCATATATGCCTATTTTTTTTTATTTTTATTTTGAGATGGGGTCTTGCTATGTTGCCCAGGCTGGTCTCAAACTCCTGGCCTCAAGCAATCCTCCCACCTGCCCCCCACCAAAGTGCTGGGATTGTAGGCATGAACCACCTGCCTGGCCTTTTTTTTTTCTGAATTGTGTTTTGGCATCATATCAAAGAATGTTTTTCCTAACCCAAGGTGGAGACAGCCTCAAGGTGCATCTTCCTGAGAGACTGAGCCCCAAGGTGCTTATTTGCCTATGTTTTCCATAATATTCACATGCCATTCATTTCAGTCATTTTAGTTCCTCCCATTAGCCATTAGGACTTTGCAGAAACCTTTTCCCCAATCCCCAAAACACCTTTCTCCCTTTTACCTGGCTAACTCCTATGCATCCCTCAGCTCCCAATCCAGGTTGGGTGTTCCTCCTCTAAATCTCCAGGTCTCCTGACTCCCCTGTCATAACTGCCATTGGGTTGTAGTTATTTGTTTTTTTGTGTACTGGAGTGCAGTGACGTGCCTCCAGTACACAAATCGCCTCTAGATTCAAGCAATTCTCCTTCCTCAGCCTCCTGAGTAGCTGGGATTACAGTCGTGCGCCACCACTGCTAGTTTCTGTAGTTTTAATAGAGACGGGATTTCACCATATTGGCTGGTCTTGAACTCCTGACCTCAAGTGACCCACCCCTCTCGGCCTCCCAAAGTGCTGGGATTACAGGTGTGAGCCACCGCACTCAGCTGAGTTATAATTATTTGCTTATTCTCCTCCTTCCCTAGCTCCATGAAGGCGAGAACTGAGCCCTTTCATGGTTATCTGCCCTGTGCCTGGTCCACAGTAGGTGCTCGCTGACCATCTCCTGAATGAATGAATGTCTTGCACGTGGAGTCCTAATGCTCTTCAGCCTGGGTAAGTTGCTGGCTGGACCTGGACTTTGCCTCTGGGTGGGCTCAGCTCTCTCTTCCCCCTGCCCTGGCCCCACCCAGTGGGGACTTACCTGCCCACAATCATGAGCTCCTTCTCAGATGCCTGAGGCCGGAGGTGATTCCAGAGGTCCATGGTGAAGATGGTGCTGGCACTGTTAAAGATGGAGGTGAGGGAGGACATGAGAGCCGCCACCATCACAGCCATCATCAGCCCACGGAGCCCTGGGGGGTGGAAGGGAGGTCATGGGCCTTGGTCCTTTTCTGCCAAAGCAGCCAATCCCGGTGGGCTCAACTGGAGGAGGCAGAACCTCAGGGAGGATGGCGGGGCAGAGCTTCCTGCAGGACTTAGCCTTTCTTTGGGGAGCCTAGAGCCTGTTCCTAACCCCAGCCCTCCCTTCTTGACCCTGCTTTAGATCAGAGCCCAGCCAGTCATCTCCTTTCTGGGTGCTCCAGGGGACTTGATTCAGGGGCGAGAGGACATTACCTGTGGGCAGGAGTTCCAGCACGAGTTTGGGATACGCGATGTCAGAACAGCCTGAGGGGTTGCTGCAGACCTTCTGGCAGATCTCTGGATCTGCACAAGCCACTTGATCTATGGAGGAAACACAGGCCCAGAGCTGAGCAGCCAGGACCCCACAGACTCAGGCCCAGGCAACATGGGGACAGACATAAGTTTATTATATAGAAGTTTATAGCTCAATGAAATAAAGGAGGGTCTAGACTTTATAAGCTGTGACCCTGTTACTTAAGCTTTCTGAAGTGAATTGCCCTATTTGTAAAACTAGGATAATAACATGACTTTACAGGAAGTGCTGGAAAAGCTTTAGCTATTGTTATCATAATCCAGATAAAGACACCTAGTGGCCAGCTTTTTTTTTTTTTTTTTTTTTTTTTTGAGACGGAGCCTCTTGCTCTGTCGCCCCAGGCTCACTGCAACCTCCACCTCCTGGGTTCAAGTGATTCTCCTGCCTCAGCCGCCCCTGAAGCTGGGATTACAGGCACACACCACCAAGCCCGCCTAATTTTTTTTTTTTGTAGAGATGGGGTTTTGCCATGTTGGCCAGCCTGGTCTTGAACTCCTGACCTCAAGTCATCTACCCATGATTGTTAACTCACTGTTCAGTAACAGCTGCTTACCTGTCCTGGGTTAATGAATCATTTCTATACAGAGAAGTCAGAATGCTTCACACCCACTGATGTCTGAAATAAGATGCCTCTAGCCCAGTCAAATCCCAACTTAGCACAAAACCTTTCTTCCACAAACCCAACATTAACTCAAGCTTCACTGCGACTCAGGGCCTGCAGCAAGCTTTGTACATACACCTCATTTAATTTTCATAACTCTACGGGGAAGATGCTGGTATTATCCCTATCGTAAAGACAGATAAACTGAGGCCCAGAAGTTAAATAGTTTCTCCAGATTATATTGCCAGTAAGTGTTATGGCCAAGAGGCAAACCCTTAGTTTATTACAAAGCTCAAGTAGAGAAGATTGGCTTTGTAAATACTGCATTTCTAGACTGTGTGTGTGTGTGTATGTGTGGTTTTTTGTTGTTTGTTTTGTTTTTTGAGACAGGGTCTTGCTCTGTCCCTCAGGCTGGAGTTCAGTGGTGTGAACTTGGCTTACTGCCATCCCAGCTTCCCAGGCTCGAGTGATTCTCTTGCCTTAGCCTCCTGAGTAGCTGGAATTACAGATATGTATCACCACGCCCAGCTAATTTCTTTTTCTTTTAATTAATTAATTTTTTATTTTTTATTTTTTCTTGAGCCCAGACGAGTGCAATGGTACAATCTCAGCTCACTGCCACCTCTGCCTCCAAGTTAACTGATTCTCCTGCCTCAGCCTCCCAGCTTGTAGCTGGTATTACAGACATGCCACCACACCGGCTACTTTTTTTTTCTTTTTAGTAGAGATGGGGTTTCATTATGTTGCCCAGGCTGGTCTCCAACTCCTGGCCTCAAGTGTTCCTCCTGCCTTGGCTTCCCAAAGTGCTGGGATTGTGTTTTGAGGGTTGTTTTGCTTCTCTCTTAATTTTCATATAAAGTTTCTTGAAAAATATGTGCCATTTCTCATGGATGAAGCTGGAAAGCATCATTCTCTTCAAATTAACACAGGAACAGAAAACTAAACACTGCATGTTCTCACTCAGAAGTGGGAGTCAAACAACGAGAACACATAGACACAGAGAGAGGAACATCACACACTGGGGCCTGTCGCGGGGTGGAGGGCGAGGGGAAGGAGAGCATTAGGACAAATACCTAATGCATGCGGGGCTTAAAACCTAGATGATGGGTTGATGGGTGCAGCAAACCACCATGGCGCAGTATACCTATGTAACAGACCTGCGCTTTCTGCACATGTATTTCAGAACTTAAAGTTTAATTAAAAAATAAAACATGCCAGTTTTCAGATGGACTTAGTGGAAGAGGGTTTTTTCCAGGCTCACAAGAACTCAGGATCAGAACATACTTTTAGGCAGCTGTGGACCTAGTTGAAGATTTATGAAGGAGCTGGTGGAGCTATCATGGCGAGAGAAGTCCACATAGGGAGGCAGAGTGCTTGGCCCTGGGGTTTAGGAGCACTTTAGGCCTGGGATTCTTGACCTTCTAGTGGACTTGTTAATAAACGTGGGCTGGCACAGACATATGAAAAAATGCTTAACATCACGAATCATCAAGGAAATGTAAATCAAAACATTATCTCACCCTAGTTAGAATGGGAATCATCAAAAAGACAAAACCTAATAAATGCTGGTGAAGATGTGAAGAAGGGAACTCTCATACATCGTTGGTGGAGATGTAAATTACTACAGCTAGTATGGAAAACTGTATGGAGGCTCCTCAAAAAACTAAGAGTGGAACTACCCTATGATCCAGCAATCCTGCTACTGAGCCCGATACGGTTTGGCTCTGTGTCCCCACCCAAATCCCGTCTCAAAGTGAGTCGAGGGAGGGAGGTGATTGGATCATGGAGGCAGTTCAGGGAACTACTCTGGAACCACAAGACCTTAACTTAATGGTTTCAAAAATACATAGTTGAGGCAAGATCCCAGTTGAGTCTCCACTCAATCTGGCCTAGGATACCTATAGAACTTGCCTGTTGAACGAGTGTTGAGAAACAGCATAGAGTCAATAGATGCCTAGATAGAGATCTCATCACTAGAAAAGGACTCTATGGCCAGGTGTGGTGGCTCATGCCTGTAATCCCAGAATTTAGGGAGGCCAAGGCAGGAGGACAACTTGACGCCAGGAGTTCAAGACCAGCCTGGGCAACATAGCAAGACTGCATCTCTACTTTTTTTTTTTTTTTTTTTGAGACAGGGTTTCACTTTTGTTGCCCAGGCTGGAGTGCAATGGCACTATCTTGGCTCACTGGAACCTCTGCCTCCCGGGTTCAAGCAATTCTCCTGCCTCAGCCTCCCAAGTAGCTGGGATTACAGGTGCGTGCCACCATGCCCAGCTAATTTTTGTATTTTTAGTTAAGATGGGGTTTCACCATGTTGACCAGGATGGTCTCGATCTCTTGACCTCGTGATCCACCCACCTTGGCCTCCCAAAGTGCTGGAATTATAACATCTCTACTTTTAAAAAAAACTAGCCAGGCATGTGGTGCATACCTGCAGCTGCAGCCACTCAAGAGACTGAGGTGGGAGGATTGCTTGAGCTCAGTAGTTTAAAGTTACAGTGAGCTATGACTGCACCACTGCACTTTTAACCTGAATGACAGAATTAGACTCTGTCTTAAAAGAGAGAAAAGACTGTAGTCACATTCTCTTGAGGCTTCTGATACTAGGTTTAGAACAATTCACAGGGTCTGAGACTCACATACTGATGACCTCTTCCCCCAACTGTGTTGTCACCTGGGAAGAGAATGCGGCTGGCCATCCCAGGGAACACCATTATGAAGAGGGGCAGCACTTTCAGGTACGCGGCCATCAGAGCACCTCCTTTGGCATGGGACAGGTTCTTGGCAGCCAGAGTCCGCTGGACAATCACCTGGAAAAGAGCAGGTGGGTTGGAAACTGGGAATACTGATATGGTTTGGCTGTGTCCCCACCCAAATCTCATCTTGAATTGTAGTTCCCATAATTCCCACATGTTTCGGGAGGGATGGGATGGAAGATAATTGAATCATGGGGGCGGTTCCCTCCGTACTGTTATCATGGTAGTGAATATGTCTCAGGAGATCTGATGCTTTTAAAAGGGGAAATCCCTTTTGCTTGGCTCTCATTCTCTCTTTACCTGCTGCCATCCATGTAAGATGTGACTTACTCCTCTTTGCTCTTCTGCCATGATTGTGAGACCTCCCCAGCCATGTGGAACTGTGAGTCCATTAAACCTCTTTCCTTTATAAATTTTGCAGTCTCAGGTAGGTCTTTATCAGCAGTGTGAGAACAAACTGTATTAAGAGACTTTCTCTTAAGGCAAACAGGGTGTGTATAGTCTCTTGGAGGTGTAGGAGACTTAGGATCTTGGTTTGCCAAGCTTCTCTTTGAGGAAACATGTCTTTCCTATGCTGAGTTCCTGTGGTCTAATTTGGGTAGCTATGACACCCATCCCATTCCCTCCCTACTCCTTTATCCATGAGTTACACCTGGCCAGGTAGAGTTCTCCACAGAATTATTCCACCTCTCTGGCTACCATGATCCATTAAGGAAAAGAACATTCCCAAGGCAATCCAACCACAGCTCTCCATGGAACTTCTTTCTTAAAAAGGCAAAGGAGGCCAGGTTGTTGGGGAAAACAGCAATGGAGGAAGGGCTACGGAGTGCCCACATAACATGGTTACAAGTACTGGGAACAATAAACCAGGGCAACATGTGTCAGGCCTCTGGGGAGGCAAACTTCCCTAAGGCTTCATGTTCCAGGTGCAGAGTGAGCTTGACTCTGCTACAGTACATAACATGCTCAAGGACTTAAAACCCCTTTTGTAGCATTACAAAGTCACCAGACTTGTCGGCTCCCTGTGAGATTCACTCCCTCCAGCTGCACCTGGAATGCAGCCCATAGATAACCATGTGCTTCTGTGTTTCAGTTTCCCACAGAGCCGCCACTGCTAGCAGTCTTTAGAATGACGAGCCCAATTCCTGTTCAACAAAGATGGCTCCACCATCAGGCCACCACCTCCCCACTCTCACCCCACCATCTGCTGACTGCTCAAAGTGATTGTAATCAGTAAATACTGTGGGGAACCTAAGCTCAGGGCCCTCACTGCCTCCATTACAAGTGATGGTCCCTGGTCCCACTTTCATTTTTAAGCTGTCTTTTTCTCATTCCTTTTTTGCCACTGAACTTGGGGTACCCATGGGTGGGGTATGAGGGCTGGCTCCCTACATTCTGGTGCCCAACTGTGGGGGCTCAAGAATTTTGGTGAAGGCACACCTGAGCATGGTAAAGAGGAGGAATGACGGACAGAGGACTCCCAAGGACGAAACTGATCAGCTGTACAGGTGAGTAGGGCACTCGGAAGGATACCAGGGTAACAATGGGACCAGCTGAAAGCAAGTAGGTTACTTATTCACACTTAGTGAAGCACCTCTTAAAAAGAGTGGGAGTTAAAATGAGCACTAGCCGCTTGCTCTGTCCGTTGTTTTCAATGAGTCTGGGCTTTCTTACTCTGTTCTTCTGTTGCTGTCTTTGACTTTCATTGCTTTATCAAGAAGGAGCTGGGGAAGAAGGAGACTATAACTGGGAGGAGGAAATTAAAGACAACGCAGTTAAGAAAAAAGAAAAAATAAATGAGGAAAAAGGAGTCCGTCTGTCAGCCCCTCCTCAGTGTTTTATCAAGGAGTTGCCAGATCCACTGGACAATCCTCCATTAGAGGAATCAGAGGCCGTTTCAAAAGTGGAACTTGCTGCTCCAGCAGCAGCATCCAAGCCAACAGGCTCAGCCCAAGGCCAGCAAATGCTGCCTGGGCGCAGGAAGTGAGCAGCACAAGCGAAACGCCAGCAAAAGGCTGCAAGCAGCAAGCAGCCGCTGGGCGGGGCCAGCACAGCTGCCCTCCCGGGACCCTCGCTGCAGCCTCTGGTTCCATGGGTGTCCCACAGTAAAATTCTGTGTGTTCTTTGTAAACAGGTAACATCCAAAAATGTAACTCTCTGCTAAGGCTTAAGTAAAATTTATAATCTAATAATAACTACTGTGTTATCTCTAAGATAACTCTTAAAATCCAATTTAAGTAAAACAGTAACCTCTAAAGGGGAAAAAAAATTAGTTCACAAATTAGTTAAAAATCAATTAAAAGCTAAACATGTAAAACTGTGCACACCCTTTAAAGGAAAACTTTAAACCAAATTAAATAATATTAGTTAAGCTGAAAAGTAAAAATGTTAAGCCCATTCTTAGAAAGTAAAAGAAAATTGTATGTAAGGGTGGTAAAAAACATATGCATTAGACTGATTAGAAACAGTCTTTACTCACTAGTGAGTAACTGTTTTCAAAACAGCTGTGGTTTATTGTTCACAGTACTTGTAACCACTTTATGCAGGTACTCTGTAAGACCTTCCTCCATTTCCGATTCCCCCAGCACCAGGCACAGTGGCTCAAGCCTGTAATCCCAGCACTTTGGGAGGCCGAAGCAGGAGGATCGCTTGAGGCCAGGAATTTGAGACCAGCCTGGGCAACATGGTGAAACCCCATCTCTATAAAAAATACAAAAATTAGCCAGGCACACTGGCACACGCTTGTAATCCGAGCTACTTGGGAAGCTGAGATAGGAGAATCGCTTGAACCCAGGAGGCAGAGGTTGCAGTGAGCCGAGATCGCACCACTGTACTCCAGCCTGGGCCACAGAGCAAGACTCTGTCTCAAAAAGGAAAAAAAAAAAAAAAAAAAGGCAAAGGAAAGAGGTCTCCTAACCCCTGGTGCCTCCTTTGCAATTGCTAACTGTGAAGGTGGCACAGAGCTGCTGGCTGCATCCCTGCCATCATATGGGAAGGCCTGTTTGAAACTAAGTCACCACAGAGGAAAGAAAACCAGGAAATGTAGAGGTGTTTGATGATGTAGTGTCAGAGACAGGCCGTCTGGGTTCAAATACTCCTTCCCCGCTTCCCACCTATCTGATCTTGGGCAAGCAACTTCACTTCTCTTGGCCTCTGTTTCCTCATCTATGAAATGAGCATAATATCAGGGCAGTTTTGACAATTACAGAAGTAAAAGCACTTAGAATACTTAGAATATGACACACAGTAACTGCTTCATAAATATTAGTTGTTACCACTGTCGTTAGCCACCTCTGGACTTCCCCATCATGTAAGTTTTTAAAAATGCCTTTTTTTTTAGAGATGGGGTCTCACTCTGTTGCCTAGGCAGAGGTGCGATGATGTGATCATAGCCCAGCCTCAAAGTCCTGGGCCCAAATGATCCTCCCACCTCAGCCTTCAAGCAACTGGGACAACAGACATGAGCCACTACACCCAGCTCATTAAAAATTTTTTATTTAGAGATGGAGTCTTTACTGTGGCAGCTGAGCTTGAACCCCTCACCTCAAACTATATTGCGGAGGCTGGTCTTGGACCCCTGGCCTCAAACAATCATCCTGCCTCAGCCTCCCAAGTAGCTGTGTCACCATGCCTGGCTAAATTTTGTGTTTGTCTTTACTTTTTGTACAGTCAGACTCTCACTATGTTGCCCAGGCTGGTCTCCAACTCCTGACATCAAACAGTCCTCCTGCCTCAGCCTCCCAAAATGCTGGGATTATAGGCGTGAGCCACCACACCCAGAAAAAACAAAAAAGAGTCTTTTTATGCTTAAAGTATTTTTTTTCACACAAACAACTAAACAAATCCTCACTAAATCATCAAAGAACCCTAAATGGGAAGCATGTGGTGAGGTAGGACTTGCTGCAAACTCCATACCACAGCCCCAATAATTATTTTGGATTTCACAGCACATTTTCGTGGGGAGAGAGATGTCACCTTGGGCAGTGTTTCATCTGCAGAATCCATGGGACCGAACCTTGTCAGAGACAGTTGCCTGAAGACATCCGTATGCTTGAGGACAGTGTGAGATATGCAGCTTTTGCTAATGACCTAACTGCATTAACGGTTACACTGGATTTGGTGGACACGTTTCAAGGACAGGTCCATACCCACTGGACGAAACACATTCAGCCAGTCAGAACTCAAAAAAGCTCTGGCTGTCCAACTGAGGGGTTTTCTTTTCTTTTCTTTTCTTTTCTTTCTTTTTTTGAGATGGAGTCTCGCTCTGTCACGCAGGCTGGAGTGCCGTGGTGAGATCTTGGCTCACTGCAGCCTCTACCTCCTGGATTCAAGTGATTCTCCTGCCTCAGCCTCCCAAGTACTGGGATTACAGGAGCCTGCCACCATGCCTGGCTAATTTTTGTATTTTTAATAGAGATGGGGTTTCACCATGTGGCCCAGGCTGCTCTCAAACTCCTGACCTCAAGTGAGCCACCCACCTGAGCCTCCTGCAGTGCTGGGATTACAGGCATGAGCCACCATGCCAGGCTGGGTCTGTTTTCTGTAACCATCAGATCCTAAAAGGGAGAGTAGTCAGATGGTGCTTCTTTTTCTTTTTTCTTTTCTTTTCTTTTCTTTTCTTTTTTTTTTTTGAGGCAGAGTCTCAGGGTCTCAGGGTCTCACTCGGTCACCGAGATTGGAGTGCAGTGATGCGATCATGGCTGACTGCAGCTTTGAACTCCAGTGCTAAAGTGATCCTTCCACCTCAACATCCCAAGTAGCCGGGACCACAGGCATACACCACCAGACCCAGCTATTAATAATTTTTTATTTTTTATTTTTAGAGATGAGGTCTTGCTATGTTACCCACTGGTTTCAAACTCCTGGGCTCAAGCAATTCTCTCCTCTCAGCCTCCCAAAGTGCTGGGATTATAGGTGTGAGCCACGGTGCCCGGCCAAGTGGTTCTTAAAAAGTAACATCTCAGCTGCAGGGAAAAAAGTGAGCTAAGAGGAATGAAAATGCAACCTGAATATGTGTTTCAGGAGGAGGGGCCATGAGTAGCTGTGTCAGCATCTGTTAGGGCATATGTCATCTAGTGACCTTATCTTTTCTTGCTTTTTCCACAATAATCATGTACCAATTTTCCCTTCCTTGGGGTGGGAAAGGAGGAGGGAGAGCTGTCATGGGTGTGGAGCACCGTGACCAGGGAGTAGGCGTCTGCACAGAAATGCAGCTGGTGCGGATCCAATAGGTGCGGTGCAGCGAATGAATGGAGCGATTTAAAGTGCAGACGGACTTAGGTGTGAATCCCCCCCACCAGCTGTCTGTGAGCTTGGACGAGTTCCTTAACCTCTCCAGGCCTCAGCTCTCTCATCTGTAAAATGGGAATGATAACTGTACTTGCTTTTGAGGTGTCTGGAAGCTCTTTTTTTTTCCTTTGGTTTTAAGAAACAGAGTTTAATAGGCAAGAAAGAAGGAAGAAGCTCCCCCGTACAGAGACAGAAGGAGGGGGGCTCCAAAGTCAAGAGGACTCTAGCAGCTTTTTAACAAAGAGAGCAGTTGTGATTATTGTCATTGTCACCATCACTGCTGTTGTTAGATGAAACCAGAGAAAGAAGTTCCAATAGGTCAATGAAATAGAAATAGAGGAGAGAAGGATTAGATAGTGGAAGCTGGATCAAAGAGCTGTAGGTCAGAAGTTTAGAAATCTGGCCAGGCATGGTGGCTCATGCCTGTAATCCCAGTACTTTGGGAGGCTGAGGCGGTTGGATCACTTGAGGCCAGGAGTTCAAGACTAGCCTGGCCAATATAGCGAAACCCTCTCTCTACAAAAAATACCAAAAATTAGCTGGGCATGGTGGTGCATGCTTGTAGTCTCAGCTACTCAGGAGGCTGAGGCATGAGAATTGCTGAAACTGGGAGGTGGAGGTTGCAGTGAGTCGAGATCGCACCACTGTACTCCAGCCTGGGCGACAGAGTGAGACTCTGTCTCAAACTAATAATAATCATAGATAATAAAAATAAATAATAAAAATTAGTTCAGAAATCTGAAAACAGTAAACATTGGTTCAGTAAAGGAAGGAGGAAGGTGGTCTTGGGGGAATACCTGGGCAGAAGTAATTGTTTCTGGCTTTTTCCTGGTGATAGAATGGGTCAATTGTCTCTTTTTATGTTTTTTTTGTTTTGTTTTGTTTTGTTTTTTGAGACAGAGTCTTGCTCTGTTGCCCAGGCTGGAATTACAGGCATGAGCCACCATGCCCAGCGTTATTTATTTATTTATTTATTTATTTATTTATTTATTGAGATGGACTCTTGCTCTGTTGCCTAGGCTGGAGTGTAGTGGCATGATAGCTCACTGCAACCTCCACCTCCCTAGTTCAAGTGATTTTCTTGCCTCAACCTCCGGAGTAGCTGGGATTACAGGCACCTGGCACCGAGCCTGGCTTATTTATTTTATTTTATTTTATTTTATTTTTACTAGAGACGGAATAGCACCATGTTGGCCAGGCTGGTCTCAAACTCCTGACCTCAGGTGACCCACCCGCCTCGGCCTCCCAAAGTGCTGGGATTAAAGCTGTGAGCCACCGTGCTTGGCCAGTTCTGTTAAATTTAAAGCCCATGATGTTAGCCTGGATCAGTCCTGTTTCTCACAGTCTCTCCCACCTGAGATTTGCTGAGGAGGGGAAGGGGGTCTCTCTCTTAAAGGGGCAGTACATGTGCATTGCTCTTATCACTGCTTGGTCCTTAGCTCTTCCCTCAAAGGAGGGCTGGCCATGGATGGGACCAGGGTTTCATTCTTGGTAAAGTCTCCTACATCAAATCAATGGTCCAACGCCATGATTATTGCTTTAATTAAACTCTCATCAGCCCTCACTACTGTGTAGTATAGCTCCCCAAATGGCACATAGATCTCTGATGTTTAATGTAACAGAAAAAGAATATTTGAACAAGTGATATATTCACTCACTTTAAAACCTGAGACAATATAATATGCAGTGAATTGGCTCCCATTCATCCTTCCCACCCTCCCTGCCTCCCTGCCCACAGGTATCCACTCCTCTTAGTTTTATACACATCCGTCCAGAGTTTATGCACACATAAGTAAATGAAAATGTTGATTCTATTCTCCCCACCCCCTGCTTTTTTTTTTTTTTTACACGAAGGGGCTTCTTGTAGACATGGTTCTGCTTTTTTATTTTCTCCTTTCTTTTTTCATACCATTTATGCCTCGGCTCTGGCTGTTCCTTCTGTTGCAAACTCTTCCTCCAAAAATCACAGGGAGCTCTCGCTCTTCTACAAATCTTTGCTCAAAGGTCACTTCTCAATGAAACCTCCCGTCCACACCCTACTTTATTTGAGACAGGGTCTTGCTGTCTTAAGTCTGTTGCCCAGGCTGGAGTACAGTGGTAAAATCTCAACTCACTGCAGTTTGACCTCCTGGGTTCTGGCGATCTTCCCACCTCAGCCTCCCGAGTAGCTGGGATTACAGGCGCACACCACCATGTCTGGCTAATTTTTAATTTTTTTGGTGGGGGGACAGGGTCTCATTAAGTTGCTCAGGCTGGTCTCAAACTCCTGGGCTCAAGTGAGCCTCCTGCCTCAGCCTCCCAAAGTGCTGAGATGACAGGTGTGAACCACTGGGCCGGCCTCACTTCATTTTAAATTGCACTCCCACACCCTCAGTCTCCTTGACTTCACTCTACTTTTTAAAATGACATTTATCATATTTTAACATCTCACATAATTTACTTACTGTCTCTCTGTCTACTCCCATTAGGAGAAGGGAAGCTCCATAAAGGGCAGAAAGCTTTGATTTATTAGCTGTTGGTTTTAAGTGCCCAGAGGAGTGTCTGGTACGTAGAGGATACCCAGTTGAAGAAATGATGTTCAATCGGAGTTATAACCCCTTAAAAATCATCTCCTTTGCTTACTGAATCTTCATAAAGCAGAATGTATTTGGCTGGGTGCAGTGGATCACACCTGGAATCCCAGCACTTCGGGAGGCTGAGGCAGGAGAATCACTTGAACACAGGAGCCTGAGAGCAGCCTGGCCAACATAGTGAAACCTGCATCTCTACTAAAAAATAAAGATAAAAAAAAATAGCTGGGCATGGTGTCATTTGCCTGTAGTCCCAGCTACTCAGGAGGCTGAAGTGGAAGGGTCTCTCAAGCCCAGGAGATGAAGGCTGCCGTGAGCTATGATCGTGCCTCTGACTTCCAGCCTGGGTGACAGTGAGACCCTGTCTCAGGAAAAAAAAAAAAAAAAAAAAGCATAATGTGTTGAGTTTTTCCCTTTGCAAATACCATCAGCTTTGGGTTTGTCATTCATATTCACAAAAGTTAGACATAAAATAGCATGTAGAGCAATGGAAAGCAGGAAGCAGTCAAGGAGGCAGGGAAAACACAAATGAGAGAAGAAATGGAGGAAGAAAAAAGCACCAACTTCAGCCACCCTAAGGCAAGAAACAAAGAGAAGGAAGGAGCTTGCTCAGGCCACTGTCCTGTACCTGATCCGTGCACCAGTACCAGAGGGACGGGATGGACATTCCAAATAGGACCCCTGGCCATGGGAGATCAGATGTCAGCGGATCTCGGAAAATATGGAAGGCATCTTCCCGGGGCAGCCCGCAGCTGCTGTTCTCACTTCGGTTGCTAGCCAGGGCCAAGAAGTACTTCTCCTTCAGGCCTTCCATCCCACCAACCGCAGCAAAACCTAGAATTCAGGGGAAGCCTGTTTGCCAGGGGAACTCAGCTAAGTCCGTGGCAAGTGATGAGCAGATGGTTGGAGACTGGTGAAATTCTAGTAAGAACAGAGCCACCAAAAAATGTTGATCCCCTTAAGGGTTCTTAACCTCCCCCCACCCACTTTTTTTTAACTTAAAACATAATAATAGAGTTTTATTGGACTATAACTGACCTAGCCATAAATTGCAAATATTTAAAGTGTAAAATCTGGTAAGTTTGACATCAGTATTCACCCATGAAACCTCCGCCACAAAGTAATGAATATCTAATCAAGTTTCTTTTCTTTTTTCTTTTTCTTTTGAGACAGTCTTGCTCTGTCACCCAGGCTGGAGTGCAGTGGTACGATCCTGGCTCACTGCCACCTCTGCCTCTCAGGTTCAAGTGATTCTCCTGCCCTAGCCTCCCAGGTAGCAGAGATTAAAGGCATGCACCACCAAGCCTGGTTAATTTTTGTATTTTTAGTAGAGATGGGGTTTCACCATATTGGCCAGGCTGGTTTCAAACTCCTGACCTCAATTGATTCTTCTGGCCATCGTCCCAGGCCATTGTATGTTGTTTAAGCCCATTGACTTCCCCCCAAAATAATTTACTACCTCCAAAAATCATCTATACTTGCCCTAAGAAGGATGTCAATTATTTGTGACCTCAAACTCCTGGGCTTTAGCAATCCTCCTGCCTCAGCCTCCGGAGTAGTTAGGACTACAGGCATGCATCACCACATCCGGTGACTTTTTAAAGTTTTTTGTAGAGACAGATCTTGCTGTTGTCCAGGTTGGTCGTGAACTCCTAGGCTCAAGCAATTCTCCTGCCTCGACCTCCCAAAGTGCTGGGATTATAGGAGTGAGCCACTTTTTTAGTTCTTTTCAGAGAAATAGATATTGGGTGGAGTGAGATTGCTCCTGCCTATAATCCCAGCACTTTGGGAGGCCGAGGCAGGCAGATCACCTGAGGTCAGGAATTCAAGACCAGCCTGGTTCACATGGGGAAACCCTGTCTTTACTAAAAATACAAAAATCAACCACATATGCTGGTGTGTGCCTGTAATCCCAGCTACTCAGGAGGCTGAGGCAGGAGAATCACTTGAACCTGGGAGGCAGAGGTTGCAGTGAGCCAAGATCATGCCACTGCACTCCAGCCTGGATGACAGAGTGAGATTCCGTCTCAAAAAAAAAGTCTGGGAGTGGTGGCTCATGCCTATAATTCCAGCATTTTGGGAGGCCGAGGCAGGTGGATTGCTTGAGCCCAGGAGTTTGAGACCAGCCTGGGCAACATGGTGAAACCCCATCTCTAAAAAAAAAATTGTAAAAATTAGCTTGATGTGGTGGTGCATACCTATGGGTCCAGCTACTTGGAGGCTTGAGCCCAGCAGGCAGAGACTGCAGTGAGACAAGATTGTCACTGCACTCCAGTCTGGGTGGCAGAGTGAGACCCTATCTCAAAGCAAACAAACAAAACCTTCTGTAAGAGCTGTCTCTTCATCTTCTTTTATTTATTTATTCTATTATTTTTCCATATTAGTATAGAAAGAGATTAATTTTTACTTAAACAAAAACAGTTCTAGGTAGGGTGGCTTTGGGAGGCTGAAGCAGGAGGATCACTTGAGGCCAGGAGTTTGAGATCAGCCTGGGCAACACAGTGAGACTTCGTCACTACAAAAAAACAAAATAATAAAACAATTAGCTGGACATAGTGGCTTATACCTGTAGTCCCAGCTACTCAGGAGGTTGAGGTGGGATAGTCATTTGAGCCCAGGAGCTCAAGGCTGCAGTGAGCTGTGATCCTGACACTTCAGCCTGAGTGACAGAGCAAGACCCTGTCTCAAAACAAAAAACGAAAACAGAAAACAGTACGTTTCCACAGTAAGCACAGTTCTCTTCTAGCTAAAATAACTGTGCTTCAAACAAAGCACCCATGACAAAATTTCCCCCAGTAGTATGCTCTTGACAGCTGGGTTTGCCTCTCACAGTGATGAGAGTAGATATCCCTGCTTGAGAGAGGTGCTGTTGTCCACCCAAGTGACCCTGGGACCCCACTTACTGTAGCCCATCAAGGTGAGTGCTCCTATAAGCATGATCAGCGTCTGCAGAGCATCCGTGTAGATCACAGCAGCCAGGCCACCTGGTGGGATGAGCACAGAGGTGAGGCTCAGGAAGTCTGATGAGAAGGGGTTACTCTGGGTCACCAAGGGAACCTGGAAGGCCAGGACCCAACGGGAGATTTCGTGGTGCTGACTGATTGCAAAGATGGCCACGATCACTCCTCCCTGTGTGCATGCCCATTTTGCAGTGTGACTTTGCTGCTCCTTTCATGATGAGGGAAATTGATTTCTCTGCTTCTCAAAGGGGCTTTGCCATGTGACTTGCTTTGACCAATAGAATATGGGGGAAGTGATATTGTGCCTCTCCAAGCCTGGGCCTCAAGGGTCCCTGCAGCTTCTGCACTTACTTTCCTGTTGTCCTGAGACCATTTGCTTTAAGAAACCTGGACTAGGCTGGGCACCGTGGCTCACACCTGTAATCCCAGCAATTTGGGAGGCCGAGGCAGGCGGATCACGAGGTCAAGAGATTGAGACCATCCTGGCCAACAAGGTGAAACCGTCTCTACTAAAAAACAGAATCAGCCAGGTGTGGTGGCGCATGCCTGTAGTCCCAGCACTTTGGGAGGCTGAGGCAGGGGTTCGAGACGAGCCTGGCTCTACAAAAAATACAAAATATAGCCAGGTGTGGTGGGGCGTGCCTGTAATTCCAGCTACTCAGAAGGCTGAGACAGGTGAATCGCTTGAACCTGGGAGGTGGAGGTTGCAGTAAGCCGAGATCGCACCACTGCACTCCAGCCTGGGCAACAGAGCAAGACTTTGTCTCCAAAAAAAAAATTAAACTTGGTTGAGATATGAAAAAATGCACATCATCACTAATCAGAAAAATGCACAGGCCGGGTGCAGTGGCTCACACCCGTAATCCCAGCATTTTGGGAGGCTGATGCAGCAGATCACTTGAGACCAGGAGTTCAAGACCAGCCTGGCCAACACAGTGAAACCCTGCCTCTACCAATAAATACAAAAATTAGCCAGGCATAGTGACTGGCACCTGTAGTCTCAGCTACTCAGGAGGCTGAGACAGAAGAATCACTTGAACGCAGGAGATGGAGGTTTCAGTGAGCCAAGATTATACCACTGCACTCCAGCCTGAGCGACAGAGGGAGACCCTGCCAGGAAAAAAAAAAAAGAAAGAAAGAAAGAAAAAGAAAAATACAAACCACTACCGCAATGAGATACTATCTTGCACCAGGCAGAACAGCCTTATTTTTTTATTATTTTTTTTGAGACAAAGTTTCACTGTGTTGCCCAGGCTAGAGTGCAGTGGTGTGATCTTGGCTCGCTGCAACCTCCACCTTCTGGGTTCAAGTGATTCTCTTGCCTCAGCCTCCAGAGTAGCTGGGATTACAGGCGTGCGACAACACGCCCAGCTATTTTTTTATTTTTTATTTTTAGCAGAGATGGGTTTTCACCATGTTGGTTAGGTTGGTCTCCAACTCCTGACCTCAGGTGATCCACCTGCCTTGGCTTCCCAAAGTGCTGATATAGGCACGAGCCACCACACCTGGCCTGTCATTATTTATTGATTTCCTTGTTCATTGTTTGTCTCTCATCCTCACTTAAGTTCCTCTGGAGTAGAGATATTTGTCTTGTCTACATCTGTGCCTCACTCCCTAGCATAATGTCTGGCACATAGTTGGAAATGTATATACATATATGCATACAAGTATATGTAAATACATAATTTATAGATACAAGGTACATAATATATCGACACCAGGGGTGTGTGTGTGTCTGTGTATGCACACACACACAAGCACACACATATATATGGAATGAGTTACATTATGCCAAGAGGAGGCAGAGAAGGGTGAACATAGAGTGGAAGATAAGATAATGAATATTTAAAAACAGGTACTTCTCAAGGCCCTACTGTGTGCCAGGTACTCTTCTAGGATACAGGTGTAATGGGGAGAGATGAGGTTATTTGCTCTCAGGCTTCAGGATTGAAGTAGTTTATTACCCAGCCTTGTATTGTGCCTGTGACTGCACATGGCTCAGCAGTTAGTAGGTGCTCAAGAAACAGTTCTGGGATACATGATCAGGAAAAAACATTATGCCATTGTGGTGTATTTTTAAAATGTTTTATCCTTTTTTTTTTTTTTTTTTTTTTTTTTTTTTGAGATGAAGTCTCACTCTATCACCCAGGCTGGAGGGCAGTGGCATGATCTTGGCTCACTGCAACCTCCGCCCCCCCAGGTTCAAGCAATTCTTCCACCTCGGCCTCCTGAGTAGCTGGCATTACAGGTGCCAGCCGCCACATCCAGCTAATTTTTGCACATTTAGCAGAGATGGGGTTTTGCCCTGTTGGTCTGGAATTCCTGATCTCAAGTGATCCACTTGCCTTGGCCTCCTCAAGTGCTGATATTGCAGGCATGAGCCACTGTGCCTGGCCTAAAATGCTTTTCCTTATCAGGCAGCCCTCTTCCTTTGGATAATGGTCAGGAGAAATCTTTTTATCTAGGGTAAAGAAGTGATGTTTCATGAATAAATGGGTCTTAGCATCATGGAACATGAGAAGATGGGCAAGGAGAAGATGGAGTGGCCCTCAGCCACTGCCCACTGCCCCTGCCAGGTGTTACCCTCCATTCAGTCTTACCAGCAACTGTGTATACAGCAGTGATGGCTAACAGCCCCACTATGGCCAGGTACAGATCCAGGTGCAAAGACTGCTGGATAAAGATGGCACCTGCATACATGTCTACCTGCAGAGAAAGGAAGTTGATGGATGAATGAATTAATGGACATTTGCGGCACAGGTTCCCTGGGATCAGGGCCTAGCCAGATTCTGCCAAACACAGAAGAGTCATGCATTGTCCCTTCTTCATCCATCGCATCCCAGATCAGGAGTCTTATGCTGGAGCCCTGCATGCCCTGGGCTAACACAGTAGCCTCCTCAGTGGTCTTCTTGCTTCTGCCTTTAGTCCTCTTATGCTCCATCCTCCACACTGCAACCTTCTTCAGACACCATCATGATCACATCATCCTTCTCCCCATTCAAACTCTTAAGTGACTCTCCCATTGCTCCCAAGATAAAGGCTAAATAAATAAGGCTAAATACTCACTTCTTATTTCCAGTCCTCCAGAGACTTTGAAATATATCCCGCATTTCTCCAACAAGTCATGTGTACCTGGGCCTCCCAGATTTCATTTGTGCTGGTGCATCCATCTGGAGGGCCAATCCCCTTTCTCTAACTGGTAAGTTCCTCTGGGGATGTGACTTCCCCTAGGAGGCTTCCCACATCTGCAGCTTCCCACCAGACGGCAAGTGAACATTCTAGAAAGGAGCTTGTGTGTCTGTCCTGCAGTCTGGAGCTGGTGTAGAGTCACTTATTGTTTAGATTCAATGGAACCCCTTCTGCTCCCCCTCACCCCTTCCCATAGGATAAGCTCCTCCCTCCTCCCCAGCTGGAAGTGGAGACAGCTTCTCCTGAGGGGCAAGAGGTTGCCATACACCTGTTCTTTGCCACTTCCTAGGAGATCTGCCCATCCAAAAGTAAGGGTGGGGCAGATGCAATCAGCCATCAGCACATCTGATAAATAGCTGATCAATATCTAATTCCAGGAGGAAGAGAACAGTCCTATCCAAGGGTTGGCAGGGTTCTTGGAGTCCCATTGAGCAACCCACACCATCTTGAGATGTTGCCAAAGAAACTTTTGCAGGAGTAGGAGAGAAAGTCCTTCCCTCCTTTTCTCTACCTTTTCTCTTTTTTTTTTTTTTTTTTGAGACAGAACCTTGCTCTGCTGCCCAGGCTGGAGTGCAGTGGTGTGATCTCAGCTCACTGCAACCTCCGCCTCCTGGGCTTAAGCAATTCTCCTGCCTCAGCCTTCCGAGTAGCTGGGACTACAAGTCTGCACCACCACGCCTGGATAACTTTTGTATTTTTTGGCAGAGGTGGGGTTTTGCCACGCTGGCCGAGCTTGTCTCGAACTCCTAACCTCAAGTGATACACCTGTCTCAGCCTCCCAAAGTGCTGAGATTACAGGCATGAGCCACTGAATCCTCCCATTTTCTCCCAGTTTTCTCCTGTCCACACTAACCTCCCCCCAATCCCTTCTTCCTCTAAACTCCCTGCAGCCTACGAAAGAGGAGAAGGGATGGGGAGGAGACACTCCTGAGCAGTGATCTGTGCCTTATCTTCTTCCCATGCTGCATGGGTGTGGCCAGGCTGTGTCCCTGCCTTACCGAGATCTTGGTGAAGATGTAGATAAATAGGTAGAGTACCGCCAGGATGATAGGGATTCTGGTGCCACCGAAGCGCTTCCGTAGGTATTCTGGCATCGTGGTGACCTGAGGGCCAGAGCTGAGATTTCACCACCAGCTGACTTCACCACCAGCATGTGACCTTCCCACACCAGCCCTTCCCATCAGCTCCTGCCCATCCCTCAACTCAGAGGCACAGATGGTCTTCTTGGGAGTCTCAGTCAGAGACTTAAGAAGGGACAAGAGGGGCCCAGCACAGTTGGTTCTCATCACTTTGGGAGGCTGAGACAAGAGATCACTGGAGTCTAGGAGTTCGAGACCAGCCTGGGCAACATAGTGAAACCCCATTTCTACAAAAAATACACATTTAGTCAGGCGTGGTGGCAGGCGCCTGTAGTCCCAGCTACTCAGGTGGCCGAGGTGGGAGGATCACTTGAGCCTGAGCCCAGGAGGTCGAGGCTGCAGTGAGCCATGGTCATGCCTAAGTGACAGAGGAGATCCTGTCTCAAAAAATACACATAGTAGACAAAAATAAATTATTGGTGGATAATAGATTTAATTGCGAGGCCACATATGGTGGCTTACACCTGTAATGCTAGCACTTTGGCAGGCCAAGGTGGGAGGATTGCTTGAGCCCAGGAGCTCGAGACCAGCCTGGCCAACATCTCTATTGCTACAGTAAGACCCTCTCTCTCTCTCTCTCTCTCTCTCTCTCTATATATATATATATATATATATATATATATAGAGAGAGAGAGAGAGAGAGAGAGAGAGAGAGAGTCTCACTCTGTCACCAAGGCTGGAGTGAAGTGGTGCGATCTTGGCTCACTGCAACCTCCACATCCAGGTTCAAGCGATTCTCCTGCCTCAGCCTCTCAAGTAGCTAGGACTACAGGCACCTGCCACCACGCCCAGCTAAATTTTTGTATTTTTAGTAGAGATGGAGTTTCATCATATTGGTCAGGCTGGTCTTGAACTCCTGACCTTGTGGTCCGCTCATCTCAGCCTCCCAAAGTGCTGGGATTACAGGACGTGAGCCACTGAGCCTACCCCCCATCTCTATTTTTTTTTTTTAAATAAAGACATATAACCTAATAAAAAAATGGGCAGAAGTCCTAAACAAGTTACTTCCTCAAAGAGGAAATCCAAACGGCCAGAAAATGTACAAAAAGAGTTGCCCATTAAAAGCAGTGAGATGGCTGGGTACAGTGGCTCCTGCCCATAATCCTAGCACATTGGGAGGCTGAGGTGGGAGGATCATCTGAGGTCAGTAATTGGAGACCAGCCTGGCCAACTTGGCAAATATCGTCTCTACTAAAAATACAAAAATTAGCTGGCCTCCCAGCTACTGGGGTGGGGCAGGGGGTGGGATGGGGCCTGCGTGAGACAGGAGAATTGCTTGAACCCAGGAGGCGGAGGTTGCTGTGAGCCTAGGGCATGCCACAGCACTCCACCCTGGGCGACAGAGTGAGACTCCCTTTCAAAAAAAATTTTTAAAGCAGTGAGATACTACTACACATGCACCAAATTAGCAATAATTTTTAAGTTGGAGAATATGAAATATCATCAAGGATACAGTGAATTGCAGGCAAGGGAATTTTCATATGCTGCTGGTGGGAATATAGTCTCAGCCTACAGGCTCAAGTAATCCTAATCCTCCCACCTCAGCCCCTTGAGTATCTCAGACTATTTAGGTGTGGATCACCACACCCAGCTAATTTTTGTATTTTTTGTAGAGGTGGGATTTTGCCATGTTGCCCAGGCTGGTCTCAAACTCCTGGCCTCAAGCAATCCATCAAACTTGGCCTCCCAAAGTGCCGGGATTACATATATGAGCCACCATGCCCAGCCTACTTTGTGTATTTTTTAACATTTCCATTATAAAAAGCTAAAATCAGTTATTGCTTTTGAACAGCACTGTGATACTGTGTGATCTTGCCATGTGCAGTAGAACGTCCAGAACAGAGTTAGGTTTAGAAAGTATGAATGATGCAAATGAGATCATAGATGATTTTTTAAAAATTGCTTTTCAAAGAGTCAAAAGCAGCATTAGTTTGCACTAAAACGTTGACATTTTGTACCAGTCAAAAATAGCTCAATTATTATAGTTTTGTATGCAAAGGAAGAAAAAAAATCACAAAATCATGTATATATAATTTAAATATATATATATACTTTTTTTTTTTGAGACAGGGCTGGAGTGCAGTGGCATGATCTCAGCTCACTGCAAACTGCAACCTCTGCCTCCCGGGCTCAAGTGATTCTCATACCTCCTCAGTCTCCTGAGTATCTGGGATTACAGGTGCATACCACTATGCCTGGCTAATTTTTGTATTTTTTTTAGTAGAGATGGGTCTTCACCATGTTGCCCAGTCTGGTCTCAAACTCCTGGGCTCAAGTGATCCACGCACCTTGGAAAGTGCTGGGATTACAGGCACGAGCTATATACTTTTTGTTGTTGTTGTTGTTTTGTTTTTTGTAAAGAGCAGGAACATAGGCTGGGCATAGTGGCTCATGCCTGTAATTCCAGCTACTCAGATTGGGAGGCTGAGGTGGGCAGATCACTTGAGCCCAGGAGTTTGAGACAAGCCTGGGCAACAACATGGTGAAATTTTTGTATTTTCAACTAAAAAAAAAATACAAAAATTAGCTGGGCATGGTGGCATGCACCTGTGGTCCCAGCTGCTGGGGAAGCTGAGGTGGGAGGATTGCTTGTGACCAGGAGGCGGAGGCTGCAGTGAGCCCAGATTGCACCACCCCATTCCATCCTGGAGACAGAGCGAGAAGCTGTCTAAAAAAAAAAAAAAAAAAAAAAAAAAAAAGAGCAGAAACATGGTGTGATTTAAACATTTTTAAACATTTAAAAGAAATTGTGAGCTTTACATTTGTGTTTTGTTATTGGCAATTTTTGGACTCCATATTTTTTCCAGCCTCCAAATACCCTCTGTGTACCTTGGATATTGGGGACTGGGGGACGTGCTACAGACTGGGTTCCTCATTGTCTCACCTGTGAATCATCCCTCCTTTTCACTGGGGCCTCTGAGTGGCAATCTGATGGATGACCATAGGCAGGAGGGAGGGATCACAGAATGAGGGAGGGACTGCAGGGCTGATATTCCCAAAGCATCTTTCAATTCTACAGCATCCCAATGCCCCCCTCCCCAACTCACCTGACCAGCAATGTAGATGGGGAGGAAGATCCAGGCCAACATCAGCACAGAAAACAAGCCCTGCTCAAGAAAACACAGTCAGGACTTGGCCCCAGCTCATGACAAGGTGCCCATTTAAATTTCCCTCTGTGCCGTGAGGCAGCCTGGCCTGAATTCCACCTGTGGTGTAGTCTCTTACTTGCTGAGTGATTCTCCTTCGCTGGCCTTCATATTTCCTTTTTTTTGGAGATGGAGTCTCACTCTTGTTGCCCAGGCTGGAGTGCAGTAGTGCGATCTCGGCTCACTGCAACCTCCGCCTCTCAGGTTCAAGCATTTCTCCTGCCTCAGTCTCCCAAGTAGCTGGGATTATGGCATCCTCCATTATGCCTGGTTAATTTTTCATATTTTTAGTAGAGATGAGGTTTCACCATGTTGGACAGGCTGGTCTTAAACTCCTGACCTCAGGTGATCCTCCCGACTTGGCCTCCTAAAGTGCTGGGGTTACAAGCATGAGCCACCGTGTCTGGCCCCACAATTATATATATATATTTTTTTTTGAGACGGAGTTTCGCTCTTGTTACCCAGGGTGGAGTGCAATGGCGCGATCTCGGCTCACTGCAACCTCCGCCTCCTGGGTTCAGACAATTCTCCTGCCTCAGCCTCCTGAGTAGCTGGGATTATAGGCACGCGCCACCATGCCCAGCTAATTTTTTGTATTTTTAGTAGAGACGGGGTTTCACCATGTTGACCAGGATGGTCTCGATCTCTTGACCTCGTGATCCGCCCGCCTCGGCCTCTCAAAGTGCTGGGATTACAGGCTTGAGCCACCGCGCCCGGCCACCATTCTATTTTTAAAGTGCAGGGCATTCACACAACTTTCCCCTGAGATCTACCTATGAGGTAGAGGCAAGATGTCATCTATGCCCTGGGTAAAATACTTACATTAAGCTCATAAGCTGACACAGAAAGGCCTGTAGCAGCACCTGACCCTGCCAGGCCAATGAAATGTCCACTTCCAACATTGCTGGCAAACAAGGATGCACCCACCTGTGGGGAGATGGATAGGTCAGATCTTGGGGACAAAGTCGAGGGTAGCTGCTCCCCTCCCCCAATTCTTTCCATGCTCCAAAGGGACAGAGAAGAGAAGTGGAGGAAGGCAGGGCCATCCCTACCTATCTGTCATCTTTGTTTAATTAGAATGAGTTTCTCCTTCCCTAAGACTCTTACTTGGTCAGAGTCCACTTGTCAGAAATTGGTAGATAAATATTCACGTCTACAGCACCTAAAATGCAGATCGCACCCCTACGGTTGTGCATTGCACAGCTTGAACAACTGTATGCAGCATGCCTGTGGAGGCTGGGGGGAAGATGACAGGTATTATAGAAAGTGATTCATGGCGAGAATCAGGAAGCCTGTGTTACTCCCAAAATCAGTTTCTAACTTAGCAAAGAAGACAGTCCTCCTGGTAGAGCACTCAATGGCTAATGCTGTACTTGATGACTCCAATCCCTGGTCTCAGTTGATTGGTCTGGACAGGCCTGGGTGCCTGGCCCAAGGTGGGCAAATTACATTCTCTTTCCTCAGAATTTGGAACTGGGACATTGTCTCTGCTGGTCCCTTGGACTAGAGATGTGTAAACCAGGGAGGTGTGTGAAGGGGTGGTGTGGAGGCACGTTTCACCACGTGCTGTTCATCACTGCCAGTTCAGAGAGAGGGGAGTATGAAGACATGCACAGAAAGGTAGGTCCAGCTGGGCACTCTGGCTCACTTCTGTAATCCCAGCACTTTGGGAGTCCAAGGTGGATGGATCACTTGAGGTCAGGAGTTCAAGTTCAGCCTGGTCAACATGGTGAAACCCCGCCTCTACTAAAAATACAAGTTAGCCGAGCGTGGTGGCACATGCCTGTAATCCTAGCTATTCAGGAGGCTAAGGCAGGAGAATTGCTTGAACCTGGGAGGTGGAGGTTGCAGGGAGCCAAGATTGCGCCACTGCACTCCAGCCTGGGCAACAGAGACTCCGTCTGGAAAAAAAAAGAAAAAGAAAAAGAAAAAAAAAAAGGCAGATCCAGTGAGGAGGGGAAAGGAGGAAGAGAGAAGAAAAAGAGGAGGCCGGGCACAGTGACTCACACCTGTATGTAATCCCAGCACTTTAGGAGGCCAAGGCGGGCAGATCACTTGAGGTCAGGAGTTTGAGACCAGTCTAGCCGATACGGTGAAACCCAGTCTCTACTAAAAATACAAAAATTAGCCAGGCATGGTGGCAGGTGCTTGTAGTCCTGGCTACTTGGGCAAGAGAATTGCTTGAACCCAGGAGGCAGAGGCTGGAGTGAGCCAAGATTGTGGCCATTGCATTCCAGCCTGGGCAACAGAGTGAGACTCAGTCTCAAAAAAAAAAAAAAAAGAAAGAAAGAAAGAAAGAAAGAAAGAAAAGAGAGAAAAGCACTGTTTCTGGCTGGGCGTGGTGGCTCGGGACCTGTAATCCCAGCACTTTAGGGAGGCTGAGGCAAGCAGATCACATGACATCGGGAGTTCGAAATTAGCTTGACCAACAAGGAGCAAACCCACCTCTACTTAAAATACAAAATTAGCCAGGCGTGGTGGTGCATGCTTGTAATCCCAGCTACTCCGGAGGATGAGGCAGGAGAATCGCTTGAACCCGGGAGGTGGAGGTTGCAGTGAGCTGAGATCACGCCACTGCACTCCAGCCTGGGCGACAGAGCCGAGACTCTGTCAAAAAAAAAAAAAAAAAAGTAGATCCAGTGAGGAGGGGAAAGAAGGGAGAGAGAAGAAAAAGGAGGAGGAGGAAGGGAAGGAAGAGAAGGTTGGAGGAAGAGAGGAGAGGAGGGAGAATTGTGAGAGGGACATTTTGCCTCCGTACTGACTTTCCCGTCTTTGCTTCTTATCAAATTCTATTTCATCGATCTATATGTTTATCCTTCTGTCAGTATCACACTCTCTTGATTACTGTAGCTTTGTAGTAAGTTAGTGTGAGTCCACCAACTTTATTCTTTTTCAAGATCGTTTTGGCCATTCTGGGTCCCTTGTGTTTTCATATGAATTTTAGGATCAGCCTGTCAATTTCTGCCAAAAAAAAAAAAAAAAAAAAAGCAGAAATTTCGATGGGGATAGTGTTGAATCTACAGATCCATTGAGGGAATATTGCTGCTTTAGCAATATTAAGTTTTTGAATTCAAGAACTCAGGATGTCTTTTTAATTGGTTAGTTCTTTAAGTTTTTCCAATGACTTTTCAGTGTATCAGCATTGTATCCTTTTGTCAAACTTATTCCTAAATACTTTATTTATTTATTTATTTTTTGAAAGAAAGAAAGAAAAGAGAAAGGGGGAGAGAGAACAGGAGTCTTGCTCTATTGCCCAGGCTGGAATGCAATCTAAAAATAGTTGTTAAAAACCTCTTTTATGCTGATAATTGTGCTCAACAGCGGAGACAGGAAGGAATAAGGGAAGAAAATAACAAACAGCCAACCAATATTTCATTTAAATCTGTGAAACGCTATGCAAATGCTGAAGAGTGATTTACTTCCAATTATGTGGTCACTTTCAAAATAGGTGTAATGTGATACTGAGAAAAAAATATATGTTCTGTACACCTGGGGTGAAGAATTCTATAAATATTCACTGAGTTTACTTGTTCCAGGTCTGAGTTCAAATCATATATGTCCCTGTTAATTTTCTATCTCGATGATCCATCGAATATTAACAATGTGGTGTCAAGTCTCCCGCTATTATTGTGCAGGAGTCCACGTCTCTTTATAAGTCATTAAGAACTTGTCTTATGTATCTGGGTGTTCCTATATTGGGTGCATATATATTTATGATCATTGACTCCTGCTGTTACATTGATCCTTTTACCATTATGTAATGTCCTTCTTTGTTTCTTTTAGTCTTTGTTACTATTAAAGTCTGTTTTGTCAGAGATAAAAGTTACAACTCCACTTTTCTTTTTCTTTTCTTTTTTTTGCTCTCCATTTGATTGGTAAGTCTTCCACCAACCCTTTGTTTTGAGTCTTTGTGTGTCCTTGCTTATGAGATGGATCTGGATACAGCGAACTGATGGATTTTGACTTTTTATTTAATTTGCCTGTCTGTGTCTTTGATTGGGGCATTTAATCCATTTAAATTTAGGATTAATATTGATATTTGTGAGTTTAATATTGTCGTTTAATGCTAGCTGGCTATTTTGCCCATTAGTTGATGTATATTCTTCATTATGGAGATACTCTTTATCTTTTGGTAAGTTTTTTGGATGACTGATACTGGTTGTTCCTTTCTGTGTGTAGTGCTTCCTTCAGAAGCTCTTGTAAAGCAGGCCTAGTGGTGGTGAAATCTCTGAGTGCTTGCTTGTTCAGGAAAAATTTTATTTTTCCTTCATTTATGAAGCTTAATTTGGCTGGATATGAGATTCTGGGTTAAAAATTCTTTTCTTTGAGGATATTGAATATTGACCCCCACTCTCTTCTAGTTTGTAGGGTTTCAGCTGAGAGATCTGCTGTGAGTCTGATAAGGTTCCCTTTATGGGTAACCTGACCTTTCTCTCTAGCTGCCCTTAGAATTTTCTCCTTTATTTCAACCCTGGTGAATCTAATGATTATGTGTCTTGGGGTTGCTCTACTTGAGAAATATCTTTGTGGGGTTCTCTGTATTACCTGAAGTTGAGTATTTTCCTGCCTTACTAGGTTAGGAAAGATTTCCTGAATAACATCCTGAAGAATATTTTCCAGCTTGGATTCATTCTCTTCATGACATTCAGGTACACCTATTAAACATAAATTAGGTCTTTTCACATAGTCCCATATTTCTTGGAGACTTTGCTCATTCCTTTTTACTCTTTCTTCTCTAATCTTGCCTTCTCATTTCATTTCATTAAGTTGGTCTTTGACCTCTGATATCCTTTCTTCTGCTTGATCAATTCGACTGTTAAAACCTGTGCATACTTCGCTGAGTTCTCGTATTGTATTCTTCAGTTCCATTAATTCACTTACATTCCTCTCTAGATTGTCTATTCTCGTTAGGATTTCGTCAAACCTTTTTTCAAGGTTCTTAGTTTCTTTACATTGGGCTAGAACGTGTTCTTTTAACTCATAGAAGTTTCTTATTATCCATCTTCTGAAGCCTAAATCTGTTAATGGAACACACTTGTTCTCCATCAGGCCTTATTCCCTTGTTGATGAGGAACTGTGATCCCCTGTAGAGGGATAGGCATTCTGATTTTAGGGTATTCTCAGCCTTTTTACGCTGGTTTCTTCCCATCATTGTAAATTTATCCACCTGTCGTCTTTGTAATTACCAACTTTCAAATTAGGTCTCTGAGCGGACGTCCAACTTGTTGATTCCCAGCACCGGAATCTAAGCAACCCACTGCGCAGGCCAAAACAGCTGCGTTAAGATTCGTGGTGCTTTTCTGCCCGGGAATCTCGGGGGTCTGGCTTCCCTCTTGAGTCCCTTTTTCAATCAGCTGAGTAGGCAGCTCTGCCTTCCCGTAGCTCCAAACGTCGACCAAAAGAGGACCCAGTCCCGTTTACTCTGCACCAAGAACCGCCACGCTGGGACGCTGCCAAAATAGCCGCGCGGCCGCAAGAGTTGCGCTGGCAACCCGTGGGTCTCCTCCGCTGGGAATCTCCTGGTCTGTGAGCAACAAAAATTCGTCTGAAAGTGTGGCGTCCTCTCGTTCTCTGCGCTTTCACTGGGAGCTACAATCCTGAGCTCCTGGTAATCAGCCATCTTGGATCTCTCTCAATACTTTATTCTTTGGATGCTAATGTAAGTAGAATTACTCTCTTAATTTCATTTTCAGGTTGTTCCTTGCTAGTGTATAAAAATACAATTAATTTTAAAAAGTTGATCTTATAATCTGCCATCTGACTAAACTCATTTATAATGTCTAATAGTATTACTCATTCTCGGGTTATTTAGAAGTTTCTGTGTACAAGATCATGTCTTACACAAATCAAGATAGCTTTGTTTCTTCTTTCAATATGGATACTTTTTACTTCTTTTTCTTATGAATTGCTCTGGCTAGAACCTCCAG